GTGTTTTTGATGTGTGTGATATCGGAGAGAGCCGAGAGTTCTGAACAAAACTCTGCTTCGTGTACATTAGCCCGTGCTTGTCCCCGCTCTTTTTTTGTATGATTTTGCATCGCCGTTCAATGTGGTTTGGCTAATCACCATTTCTATTCTCGTTTGGCGCTACATATGATACCCTAACAACTTTGCCCCTGGTGTTGATTATCCCGTTTTGCCACCAGGTTTATCCATGTTCCTGTCTGATTTTTCGTTGTAATATACAGCGGAATTGTTACTACTTCTTTATCCGTCCATGTATCTTGATTAAGATGATGCTTCCTGTCTTTTACATTGCCAATCTTGGTAACGAAGTCCCTCGGCATTATGAAGTCGGGGATGGCGGTTTTCCAGGCTGATTTACTTTCTGCAATTTGCCTTCTCTCAAGGGTCCACTGAATATTATAGAAACATGAAATGAAACAGACGGTATCACGATGAATATACAAATTTGTAGAGTTGCTAAGACGTAGATAACTAACTACGTTGGATATGTTTGCCTGGTTTGTCAGGGTAACACGCTAGCCATATATGGACTAGCCTATGGGAGCTCCCACTTCGCCTGGAAATTTGATGGAATGCGGGCGAACAGCGTTGAAGTCGGAACTCTTGGATTGTCATCTTCGTGCAATATTTTGTTAATATTGACAAGTGATAAACACCCTTTTATATCTAATCCCCACTCAAACTACAACAAAACACCGCCAATATGCAGGCTCCGGTGGTGGTGATGAGTAGGTTACCCCCCATCGAGTTGATCCCCTTTAAGTGCTAACGAATCATCCAGACACCAATTCCGGCGAGCGCCAGGTTGGCCGGAAAGCACAGATGTCTAACATTACCGCGGCGAAGACGTACATTATTCCATGACCCTCCGCTGCTCTCCCCTGCTCGATGCTAATTCAATAAACACCAGTGTTGCGGACATCATTCGGTCATGTCTCGGACCCAAGGCGATGTTGAAGATGCTACTTGACCCTATGGGTGGTATTGTTTTGACCAACGATGGCCACGCTATTCTGCGAGAGATCGAAGTGTCGCACCCTGCGGCCAAGAGCATGATCGAGCTCAGCCGTACCCAGGACGAGGAGGTCGGAGATGGTACCACAACAGTCATCATCCTTGGTATGATAAGATTCATCTCGGAAGGTTCGAGGGTAAATGCTGATATTCTGTAGCCGGTGAAATGCTCGCCCAGGCCATCCCCCAGCTCGAACGCAACATCCACCCCGTCGTCATTATCCAGGCTTTCAAGCGTGCCCTCGCCGATGCCCTTCAGATCGTGGAGGATGTCTCGACACCCGTCGACATTCACGATGACAAGGCCATGTACAGCCTTATCCAGTCCTCCATCGGAACCAAGTTCGTGTCCCGTTGGTCAGAGCTCATGTGCAGCCTTGCCTTGCGCGCTGTGCGAACCGTCTCCTTCGATGCCGGCAGTGGAAAGCAGGAAGTCGATATCAAGCGCTACGCCCGTATTGAGAAGGTCCCCGGTGGTCAAATCGAGGACTCTGAGGTGATTGACGGTGTGATGGTCAACAAGGATATCACGCATCCCAAGATGCGTCGCAGAATCGAAAACCCGCGTATTCTTCTCCTGGATTGCCCCCTTGAGTACAAGAAGGGAGAGTCCCAAACCAACATTGAGATCTCCAAGGAGGATGACTGGAACCGTATTCTCCAGATTGAGGAGGAGCAGGTCAAGCACATGTGCGAGGCCGTTCTGGCTTTCAAGCCCGATGTTGTTATCACCGAGAAGGGTGTTTCCGGTAAGCAAGCGGTCTGATTAGGGTGATTGATTGCATGTTCTAACCACCGAGCTTTACTAGATCTTGCACAGCACTTCCTGGTGAAGGCCAACATCACAGCCCTCCGCCGTGTGCGAAAGACCGATAACAACCGTATTGCCCGTGCAAGCGGTGCTACCATCGTCAACCGTGTCGATGACATCCAGGAGTCTGACATTGGTACCGGGTGCGGACTGTTCGAGATTGAGAAGATTGGTGATGAGTACTTCACATTCATGCGCAAGTGCAAGACCCCGAAGGCCTGCACAATCCTGCTGCGTGGCCCCTCCAAGGATATCCTTAACGAGGTTGAGCGCAACTTGCAGGATGCCATGTCCGTTGCTCGTAACGTTATCTACCACCCTCGTCTGTCTCCCGGTGGTGGTGCTACTGAGATGGCTGTCTCCGTGAAGCTCAGCCAGCTTGCCCGCTCCGTCGAGGGTGTCCAGCAGTGGCCATACAAGGCTGTTGCTGACGCTATGGAGGTTATTCCCCGTACATTGGCCCAGAACGCTGGCTCCAGCCCCATCCGTGTGCTTACCAGTCTTCGTGCCAAGCATGTTGAGGGCCACAACACCTGGGGTCTGGACGGCGAGTCTGGCAACTTGGTTGATATGAAGGAGTACGGTGTTTGGGAGCCCGAAGCCGTCAAGCTTCAGAGCATCAAGACTGCGGTCGAGGTACGCATCCTAACGTTATCCCACACATTTTACATTTCACTAACATGTTTCTCTCTAGTCCGCATGTCTTCTTCTCCGTGTCGACGACATCTGTAGCGGAAAGTCCGCTCAACAGATCGCCGGCGGCGGCGGCGGTGGCGGCGAGGAATGATTGATAGACGAAAAAGAAAAATGATTGGGCTCGAGGTCCGTACATAATGTTACACGATTTGCCTCATGGCTGTCTTCCTTCTGTATGAATATCCTAGATTCAAAAAACCAAAATCCAGATGGGTATCTTCGTATCGTACACAACCAGCGTTTGAATCTGCCTCCCCTAGTCCTCATCGTGGAAAATGACACCAGGAACTTCCTGCTGGGCCACCTGGCCATCCACATCGCCTCCATCCTGATCTGCCATAGTGACCATCGAGCCCGGGGCAGCAGAGCTCTCCACAGGAGCAGTATCCATCTGATCACCACCCTTCTTCCCACGCGCATTCTTCTTCTTCTCCCTCCTCTTCCGATTCTTTTCCGTCTTCTCGTCATCCTTGCGCTTCTTCTCCTCGCGCTCCTTCTCCCAAGTCTCATTATTCTTCTCGGCATCCACCTCGGACTGCATCATTCGCAGTCGTTCATATTCTCGCCGCCGACTGGCTTTGTACACGTGGAATTCGCCGGAGCCCGCACCGGCCGATGATCCCTGCACATTGGTGACAATCTCTGGTGGCGCCGAGAGGGACGCCACGGTGCGAGGCTTCAAGGCATCTGGTAGGTGCAGGTCTTTACTCGGATCTTTGAAGAGTGTCTGGATCTCACTTGCGACCTCGGAATGCGGTGTCACGGCACGCCGTTTTGTTGGACGCTTACTGCGTGGATCCGCGCTTGTGGGGATGGATTCTGGGCCTGGTTCGGACATTGTGTGGGTGTTGGGTTGAGGAGAGGTGATGCGACCGCGTAGAATCGGTGGGGTTTGCGCGAGTGGGAGGAATTGATGTCTTCTCCTTTGGAGTGGTAGTGAAAGAGGTTTCCCTTTTGGCACTAGGAGATTTCCTCTGTATGTTTTGTGGGGGTTTGATTGCTCGAGTGCAGAGAGAAGGTGAGTAGTAGGTAGTAACAAGCTCAAGATGTAGACTTGGGCAACCTTCAACCATCGAAATTGTCTAACCGCCTTTGGTTAGCGGCATAAGCACATGGCAGATCACCGTTTCCAGATGTTTTCTTCCTGTGATGTATACCTAGGTAGCTTGCGATACTTATTTTGATGCTATTCAGATTGCTCATGATCTGATATCTCCCAGACACATGTGTTAGTGATATCCAAAGTGGCATCTCGGGAATTATGTATGTGTGGACTGCCAATTCTTTACCTATCCCTGCTTGGAATACCCATTCATGGGCTGTTCCCACATTGAATCGGGCCCTCGTGGCTGATTCTCATACAATCCATGCCTATAGAATGGGAACATCTATGAAGTTGGTGCCTAAAGGTGTAGATATCATGGCAGCATCGTACAATCAACTCCCATCAACGTCTCAGGCCGTGGGTGAGGACACTTCTTGTCACATCCTTATGCTATGTAAATTTCTCAATGCTATGAGATATCATGGTTTCCTCATTGCCAAGATTACAATTTTCCCCTGTAATGATTATCAATTGTTTTGAGCTATATGTTGTCGACGGTACGGATATCTTCAAGGAAGACATGATACAAAGAAGGTTATAGGAAGTATTACCATGCCCCAATTCAAAGTCGCCTCATAATGATGGATAGTAGGACGAACATTTAATATCTTAAATATAACAGAAAACCAAGTTTACTACTACTCAGACTCTACCTAGGTATATTTTCAACCATCTTGTTGACCACTTGGGAAACACACTGTCCAAAACGTCAGACCCTTTTTAGGCCTAGTACGCACGATACATATAGGCCAATCAAATAAAGCAATAATAGCATAAAATGCAGCGATTAAGGAAAAACATTAAAGAAATAACACAATACCTCCATAATTATATGTCGAGATGACTTCTGATTGGCTGGAGAATGCATGTTCAAAAGGGGCTGGGACAAACAAAGAGATCATTTCTTTGTTCTTTGTTCTTTGTTCTTTGTTCTTTGTTCGGTACTGTTGTTCTTTTCCTCATATGGGAATTCATATCTCACTATTTACTGAGAACAATGAAAGAGAGCATAAGCCAATACTTGGATATTGGTCAAGTGACTATCGAATGAGGTTATCTTACAGCTGTCCACTTTAAATGATTTCTATTGATTTTGGGCTTACAATAACTTTGATTTTTGTACTTTCCCATTTTCAGATTGTGCTCAATTGGGTTTATTTTCTTTGTTCATATTCCCTTTGTTCACTACATAGTCATTTGTGACCCGCACATCTCTGTCCTGCCCAGCTGGTACTACCTTATTTACTTCACTCCCCATCCCCGTTACACACTTACACACTTCCACACTTACACTTCCTTTATCCCATACCTGCAAAGTGACTACAAGAAGTCAAAATGCCATACCGATTTGGTAAGTTGCATCGTCTCACATTTCTATGTCTTCTCTACTGGTGTCCGCATGGTCAATGGACCTATGTCCATTGTGCCAGCTGAGGGTCCTTGTTGCACCACTGACACCATGCCCTAATTCATGGACATCTCTATTGTGTATCCTGGTGTTTATGACAGAAATACCTACTTTCCTTGAATCCAAAGAGCTAAAACAGCCTTCATGACATCACCGCTAACTTCATGATCAGAAATTGCCGCACAAGGCCGCGCTGGCTGCAAAGCCGTTGATTGTCTCAAAGAGAAAACCAAGATCCCCAAGGGTGAATTCCGTGTCGGCACCTGGGTTGACGGTGGGAGCTACCAGTCCTGGTCTTGGCGCCACTGGTGAGTCCAGCCTTGCTAAGACACATGGAGGTCTTAACATGGCTTCTACCCCTGACCAACTAATTCGAAATACTAAAATCCTCCAGGGGTTGCTTTACCCCCAAGCAAATTGTGAATGTCAAGAAGGAACTCACCGAGGACTCTGAGGAGCCTGATTTCTCTCGCCTTGATGGCTTCGAGGAGCTCAGTGAGGAGTTCCAGGAGAAGATTCGCAAGGCCATCGAATTGGGTCACGTCGAAGATGAGGAATGGAAGGGCGTAAGTTTACCTTCCTCGATCTCCACACTTCGATCATTTCCTTTGAAAATAGATCAACTAATGCCTCCTAGGACGCTGAATGCAACCGCCCTGGACAAGTCGGCATGCATGTCAAGACTCACAAGGGCAAGGGAAAGGCCGATGAGGTTGGTGGATTCCATTTTGTATCCTGATGCCATTTGAGATACTAATTTCACCCCCAGTCCGAGGAAGCTGAGCAGTCCTCGTCTGCCAAGAAGCGTGGTCTGAACGGTTCTGAGAACGCGGGCGAGCAGCCTGCCAAGAAGAAGCAAACCCGTACCAAGAAGGCTACCAATGATGATGACGATGCCATCGCCGAGGCTGCCGTCGTTGAAATTGAACCCAAGGAGGCCAAGGAGCGTGGCCGCCGCGGAAAGAAGACTACCGAGGAGCAAGTTGCTGCCGCTGAGGCTGATGTCAAGGTCGATGCCAAGAAGCGTGGACGTGGGCGTCCCCCAAAGAAGAGTTCTGAAGATGAGGGTGCCGATGCTGACACTGAGATGACCACCGAGCCTACTGAACCCACTGAGTCCAAGAAGCGTGCTTCTCGTGCCAAGAAGGCCACTAATGAAGCAGCCTCTGCTGGCATCGAGCCCAAGGAGACCACCCAGCCCAAGAAGCATGCTCGTGCCAAGAAGGTCACCAAAGATAACACTGCCTCGGACGACACCGAGCCTAAGGAGGAGACCGCTCAGTCCAAGAAGCGTGGTTCTCGTGCCAAGAAGGTCGACGAAACTGTCTCTGCCGACATCGAGCCTAAGGAGGAGACCACCAAGCGTGTTACTCGTGGCAAGAAAGTCGTTACCTCCGTTTCTGACAACGAATCCGGCGAAGTTGGCCCTGCCAATGAGGATCAGCCACCCAAGAAGACGCCCGTGACTCGTGCAACTCGTGCCAAGAAGGATGCGCAGGAAAATGTTTCCCCCGTCGACAAGGACGTCTCCTCTGCCGACAACGAGGCCGCCACTATCTTCAAGCCTACCAAGAAGCAGGCGAGTCGTGGCAAGAAGGATGTGAGCAACAATGTTTCTCCCGTTGACCAGGATGTCTCCTCTACCGGCATCGAGACTGGTTCTGCCAATGGCCAGACGAAGAAGTCTACCACTCGTGCGAAGACTGCAAATGGCGCAAAGACCAACAATGCCTCGAAGGCTACCAACGGAGCCAAGACCAACGGAGCCGCTTCCAAGGAAGAGCATGCTGATGAATCTACCGAGAAGCCCAAGCGCACTCACAGTACCAACAACAAAACTAACGGCAACGATTCTACCTCTGAGAACAAGCCTAAGACAACTCGCACTCGTAAGGCGACTGCCGACAAGGTCACTCAAACCTTCGACACTACCAACGAAAAGCCTAAGACCGGAGTTCGCAAGCCGACTACCACGAAGGCCACCGATGAGACCGCTGACCAGGCTGATAAGGAGCCTACCGAGGGTTTCAATGAGAAATCTGCTGAGGACATTGTCATGAAGTCTGAGGATGGTCCAGAGAATGCTTCCACCGAGGTCCCCGATGAGCCCATTGTCGACGCTACCAAGAAGTCCGCTGAGGACGCTACCGAGGAGCCCGTTGAGGACGCCACTGAGAAGCCCCTCGAGTCTCCTCTGAAGCCAGTCAAGGCAGAGAATTACGATGACGACTGCTAAGCTCGCCTATTGTCCCAGCCTGGCTCACTTCGTGTGCAGAAGGAACCTCGCACTCTTGTGAATTACGAATACCAACTTTTCTCCTTTGTGCTTTATGTTTTGACTGGTCTTTTTCCATCGGATCTTTCTGTTTTCCATTTCGCTCTGTACAACAATCCCGATGGATGCCAGCTGGATACCTGCGATTTGCGTTTTTTTTAAGTTCTTCTAATTGTTTTCGTCTCTTTGCTTTTTTTTTTTTTCCTCCGGGCGTGGGATTCGATTTCCCTTTAGCGATGCCTGGTTTGCACATGCGCATCGTCATACCTGTACTCATTTTCGGGTCGTTGTCACCATCAGCCTGCGAGTTGACATAATGAATTGATTGATTTTCCAAAAAAAGAATTCCAGCTGTACTTCTTGTAATGACAAGGAGTTATGTACATCAAGGTCGTTGAGCAGGTATGTGTTCGAAGACTGGCACCACTATCAAGCAAGTACCCAAACTCTGGATATGGTACTAATATCCTGGGAGAAGATACTCTTGTCGGTATAACTTGCGAGAATCAAGCTTCATGTGACCATCGAACTACATAGCACGGTGAAAGGGCTATCACTGCGAGTGTTGGAGACGAATGTGATCTGTTGAATAAAAATATCTGTCTATGATAAAGGCTAGCTATGAGCGTGCATGATCTCCCTATGTCCACCCTTAGGACGACGAAAGGAAGCGAAGACAAACGATTCCATAGAACTCCTTCTACTGCGCAAGGTGAAATGACTGAAACGCCATAATGAGCAAATTAAAATGAAAGGCACACGAAAAAAGCGGATTGATTACGAATAAAATAACCGGAGAGTAAAACCGGTACGAAAGCAAAAGAAACAAGCAAGCCGTTTTATGGGAGACAAAGCCCCCTGTGTTGTTCCCATTCTATAGGAGTTCACATCAGAAGATTCCCAGACCGCGGCTCTCAAGGAGGGCACGGGTATTCCCATACAACTCCGGGTTATGGATGTGAGCGACGGTGCGAAGATCGAGGACTTTGTCTTGAAGCTTCGGATGAGATCGCAACAACGCCCAGAACTGCTCGTTGGCGTTGTATGTGAGCAAGTCGGAGGCCTCGGCAATGAAGTGAATGAGCCATGACTGGAGGTAGTCGCATTCAGCCTCATCAAACTCCATACGACCGGCGAAGGCAAGAGACGCAACTTCGAGGAGAGGTTTGGATTGGTATAGCTCCGGGTAGCAGTTCCAGGCGACTTGGAGCTTGAATGTAATTCGATAAACCAAATCCATCAGGCCAAAACGGCGGGCTTGAAGGTATACTCTTCCGAGGGTGGTAATGGCGTTTTCCAGATCGAGGCTGTTGCTCACGCCCTGCAGTTTGAAGTTCTGACCAATTCCCATTTGGTCGCCAACCACGCGGAAGGTGGTGGTGCTGCTGTTGGAATCCAGGGCTGGGAATGGAGTGGGATGAGAGAAGCCGGAGGTTTTCAGTGTGATCAGGCGAGGGCGGAATTCTCCATCTGCTAAGTATTCACGAATCTGCAAGCGCTCAGGCTGTTTCTCAAGAGCCACAGCGCCTATGAACACATCGGTGACCTTGGCGGCTTCACTTTGATTCAGGAAGACATGGTTCAGAGCCTGGCTGAGGGTCAAATCAAAGATTGAGAACTCCGCAGCGGGTTGCTGGGGTGTCATGTCTGAAACACGGCCACCGGTAGTAGCAATACCAGCATTAGTAGTGGTAATAACACTACCACTGTATATTTAAATATATTTGTTAGTGGAGACACATTGAGACTTTGAATCACTACCCAACGAACCTAGTACTCTCAACCTTAGGCACCGTGCCTTGAGTCATGCTGGTTGGTGGGGTAAACGCCGGTGGGGTTGGGAGAGAATGAGAAGAAGTGGGAGGCAGAGGGGGACACGGGTTGAATTTCCAGGTCATCCCTAAGCTGGAACCCTCTCTGTCTGCAAAAGTGACTTTTTCAGATGGAGATGAAGTGGTGTTGGCATCGTGAAACAATTTCAACGGTTGCCTGAACTGAACACCATGCGCAGAACGCGCGTTGGAAAATGACCTGATAGTTGTTTGCTCATTAGATGAGCGAGGTACAACATCAGTATTAGGCTCCACTCCATCTGATGGAACTTCTTTATGTTCATCTTGAGCGTCATCTTTGTCCTCTTCATCTTCCTCGTCAGACTCGGAGTGACCATGGCTTTCTCCGCCGGAGACAAGGTCTTCATGGCCACTCGGTAACACAAGCCGGAGTTCCTTGCCTCGTTTTCCTTTGGCGCCTTGTTCCTGAAGAGCCATGTTTTTCCAGAAATCCAGCCCGGGCTTAGTTCGGATGATGTCCATCAGATCATCCCAGACCTTGGCATCTAGCTCTCTCCCGGCACGTCGAAGAACGTTGATTGTCTTCTCGTTGAGGACAAAGATATCCTGGAGTCCGACCCATTTGCTTCACACATGTTAGTATGCACATTATCATCAATCAACAGGCAAATATGTGTTATCAGAAAAGCCGGCATAGAGATCCACAAGAACGAAGAAAAGCTAACGGGCCCACATATGCATAGTAAACACGCGACGTCGGGGGTCTTTTTTGGGTGTGAAAAAAGAGATCAAACTTACTACATGTTTCGCCCGGGAAGATACACGGAATACACCCGGTCTTTCAGATGCGTCATCCACTCACCCTCAGTCGGCTGGGCACCAACAGGGCGGCGAGAGATATGTCTGGTTGGGCCGAATTGATCCGATAAAACCACGCCAATCCAGACGTCGGATCTGTACTGACGAAGGGAATTCTTGTACCGGACAATGAAGGTTTCACCGGGATCCAGGCTGCGGGGCTTGTTTAGGTGCCTCAGACCAGTGGTCAGATAGGTCCTGGGCCCCATTTTGGTCGAGGTGTCGTTAAATGGGGTATCTGAGGCTTCACTGATCATTTCATATGACGGTTGTTAAGCTGGTCACCGGAAGCTGGATGTGATTGTCAGTGTCAGCACAAAAGGCTTCACGAAGTTGAGGGTTTCTTGACGCACAAGACGAAGTGATGTTGCTGCTGATCTAGCTTTTGGTCGTGGCAGCCGATCAATCCGAACGAGGATATTGGGGATTGATGGAACAGAGAGTATGGTGGTATGAAGCCGCAAGTTATAAAGTTCACGGTGTGAGATTTCTGGAGACGCTTAAAGTGATAGCAGGGTTTGAGATGTAAAGTTTGGGAGGAAAGGAACTGAAGCTCTGAATGAAGATTGATGCGTCACCCGAACCAGCAAACAATGAGGCCTAGCTCACTCACGCTTTGTCGTTCTTTGCTGGAATATGTAGAGGCTATATCGTCTATATGGAGAGAAACTGTGATATAGAAACTCGCATCAATGTCGGGAACAATGCTCACTTTCAGGTCATTTATAAGATGGATGATTAAGCGATGGGTGAGAGCTTCGGGCGGCGGCATATAGGCCTTTTTCTTGACTGCGATTGGAATCAATGGTTGTTGATAAAGACTGTTGTGAGGATAGAGCACAAATGCTTCTTCTCTGGGCTTGTCCACGAAATTGAAGGGATTATATCGCCGTGATACAAGATCCCCAGCTCCTTGATATCGCGCATTAGGGTTCCGACGTTTACCCGAGGGGCTCGACTACAGTTGTACCGGCAAACAACGATCAAAGTTAAAAAGTTAGGGGAGAATAATCAACTGGCCTGCAGTTCTAATATGCTACAGAGGGGCTTTTTATCATTATGGATTGTGGATAACCTCCTTTCTATTCCCGCAGGATTGAACAACCAACGATACAAACTACCATTATGAATGACAATGCTTGATGTGATTTGAAAGATTTCCCAGAGACCACAGAGCCCCCCGAAGGATTCAGGATACGAATATTTGTATAAAGGGTATGTGCCAAGAATAATTGTACAAAATATCTGAAAAGCGACTCTTGTAGAGAATAAAAAGATCGAAGTATGCAGTCCTTCATTCACGACACCAAGTCACTTTCATGAAAGGAAAGGATGTGGTAACTAATTACCATGGGACAATTCTGACGATTCAACCGATAAAAGCTATTCATGATGTGCTGTAGATAGAAATAAAAAACTGTATAATCAACTATAGAGGATGGATACTTTCTGTAGAATTCACTTCTCAAAAAATATGGTAAATAGTAAATACCATAAGCATTAAGACCGACGTCTTTACATCTATGGATCTCACATTCATTTACTTGTCTTATCTCAACAGCCTGAAACAACCTGAAGAGTAAAAATAGTCGGATATGAGATATAAGATCCTTATTTATCTATTAAATGTTTCTACGGTTTGCTTGCTTGAGGTGGCCGAATTTTTTTATCATTTCTGTTTCTCATCACCAAATAGGCACGTTGCCAGATTAATGGCAAAGGCATCATTATCGTCGCAAACAAGAGCAGCAGATCAAGTTCATATCATAAAAGACTGTGTCAAAGAAGCTTAATCTCAAGGAGTGTAGAGTGGTTGAACGCATGTCGATATACGCCGTGGATTCGATTAAAGGCGAATAAGGTCGGTTCTTCGAACCAAAAGAGCGGCCAACCTCGAGAGAAGTGAAAGTCAAGTTGCTGTCACAGCAAAAGCACAGACCAGTGCAAGTTCATTGTCAGTGTCATTCTGGTGTAAAACTGCAGGCCTCGCTTGTTCAATTTCAAAATCCAAGTCGCTCGATCCAGTAGGGAAATGTTACAGCCACTTAGAAGAACCTCGGCGATCGCTTGGTGCTGGTAGACACGAGTGTAAGCACTCAGGGGTCGACATCGAGGAAGACAGTCAGCAGTAAAAGAAGGATACGCAGAGAACTAGGGTGAGGGAGAAACAGAAGGAGAAATTGAGTCATACCGTAGTTCCGAGAGATCATCCATGTGGTTACACATTGCCACAAACAGGTCAAAGAACAACTTGCCCCCTTCCTCCATCTCCATCTGCAAGGTTCCGCTGCTCTTAAATGTCTTGCGACTGCGGATGATAAGGGCCAGGTAGTGCGCGCGCAGTCGGGAATCGGACTCGGGTGTGTTGTTATATGCATATCGAGCGGATCGCAAGATCACGTCGGCCGGAATACCACTCTGAAGGCTTTGCTTTCGGAGAGAAAGGCGCTTCAGTTCTTCCAGGCCGTACTTCTCGGCAGCACAGTACACTGCCGTGTCTCGGAGAATGAGATCTCCCACTTTGGAGTGGAACATTGTCGGCTCGCTCGATCCACGGCCTCCAGTTTGATTGATATCCTGGGCGTTCTCGAGCGACCAAGAGTTTCTTTGCTTTCCACGCAACAAGCGCGGGAAGTAGTCGCCCTTGTACAAAAACTCGAGAACACACGACAGAATCTCAGGTTCTCTATATCGAGTATAAGTTTGTGCTCAATCGAAATGGACAGGGTTGTCTCACTCGTCAGGCAAAGTCAGTTGCTTGGTGCCGTCTTCGAGAAACTGCTCCTCTAGAGCAGAACTAAAGAACGGCGACACAGATAGGATATCTTCATGGGCGGCGAAAGGACGCTGGTCCTGGCCAACAATCATAGCAATGATAGGGCTGGTAAGGGGACTATCGGGATACATTATCAGCACATGAAATGAATGTTGATGTCTACATATGGAAAGCGCGGGTCCGCATTTATATATATATAGATAAAAAATAAACACACCTTCCCATGGGAGGACTTTCCATTTTCTGCTTCATCTTCTCCTTAACCAGCTCGTCGTACTTCTTCTTGGCGACCTTGACAGTTTTACCCGCCCGGTCTTTAGATACGAAAGAGCGCTTGAACATAACGGCACAAAGGAACCCTATTTCCGAGATATGCCCGTAGGAGATAATCAAAAGTGACGATATGGATTTGTGTTTATCGAAAGGAATGATATGAGTTGGTCGAAAGAAAGGCGGATTGACGCTGCTGATCATGCACACGAAGCATGTGAGTCTTGGAAGCTCCCCACAGAAACGTCCCCCGAGTCTTAGTTAAAAGACGAGGAATACGCAGTTCTGGGATGACTTTGCATTCGAGAATCTGAAATGACTCTCTTAGCGAACAGTTATCGACTCCGGCAGGCGTGGAAGGAAAGGAAAAAGAAGAAAGGAAATCGGGAAGAGGGGGTTTATAAATGCGGCGGTCAGGTGATATCAAATGTGACCAAACAGCAAGTCACCTGTCAATTGAGGCTCAGGTTCATGTGAAATTACGTGTGGCTGGTTCTTTGATTGAGGGCTGTGCATGTTGGCGCTAAATTCTCACGTCACACGTAGGATAGATGCGATAAATCAGAACTAACGAAAATATATGGAGAATCTTTCCCAAGAGTGTGTTGAAGTATTCGGAGGTCAATGAATACTACATGTCACCAGAAAGAATTATAAATGTAAAGTAGGGTGCGTATACGTATAGCTGCTAGTACGTACATCGTAGGTAAAAGCAAAGCTAGTCCTGATTAGGAAGTTTACCCAAGTCACTTTGCGCCTGCATTCTGCCGGTGCTTTACCGTACACCTTCCACCGCACGATGCATGACTACTTGTATGAATAATATACGGCCTGTAGTTGTGTTCATTTATCATTCCATTCGGAACCTTGGGATAAAATATTGAGGTTTTAGTGGTAACGAACACAGCGCGATTGACCAAAGTCTACTCAAAATTGACAACGCGAATACCGCTGTTAGCTTCTTATTTGGGCATCTTTAGTGATAGTTTGCTATACCTGTATTCTCAGCATCCCGCAGGTTTACACTCAGAGAAATCTCATACTGTGACTGCCCCAGTTGCAGATAGACTCGCCGATAGGTGAGAAGGTCCAGGAAATTTGAGGTGCAGCATATTGTACGCCCGTCCCGAATGATGCAGTTCAAAGCTTAATGCAAGTATTTCGACCGAGGGAAGAGAAAATACAGCAACGTCCAGAAACTGGGAGACCATTTTATCGGGTCATTCTGTTCCGACCAATGACCATCTCGGTGGGCTTTCTATTATTCCAAGAGATCTTCCATGTTTCTCGTACACCAGGGCATGTTTCACCATGCTAAACTGCAGATAGAACCGCAATATGAAGACTACAAGTGACTTTTCATTGTGATTGGCTGATTTTCCGCAGGCGTTCTCGCGCCACCGGAAACTTTCCCAAAGTGGAAATTAATGAATCTCAATGTATTGCTTCTTCGATCGCCCGTTGAAAAAGAGTTGATCGTTCGACTGCCATCGGGAACATTTTAACCGATATTACTCTGTACAGTGTATTGGTGGAACTTGTCCCAATCAATGCACATCGCATAGGGCTCTTTGCTTGAGCGCAGCCTTCTTCAAAGTCGCTCGCGCCAAGAATGAGCCAAGCTCCTCGCATGGAGATCAACATAGCTTAAAAGCTGGAGATGTCCCCTGAGTATTCTAGACAGAAAACAGTTTTCATTCTTTGCCTGGACTCCAAGATGGGCTTTCCTCCTAAGGTACGCTAATTTCTGGTTTGGGAATCCTAGAGTCTGGCTTGGTTGGCCTTATAAGGCAACATAAACGATATAACTCATATATTCTTTTTAACAGACCATGAGGTAGTGGAATTGACGTCGAATGAGATATTCTTTCATTAGACTGATCATTTTGGGTGACCAACCATCATAAGTACGTATAAGCTAACTATTAGAACAGTATATGATATATTAATTATCTGAGGTGGCGTTGTCCACATAATAAGTGATCCGTGTCGAACATTGCTCCGTTATATCCGCATATGGTACTTAGCTCAGATAGCCACAACCAGCAGTAAGCATTATAACGCCAAAGCTTGCGACGTGACCGGGGGTAACAGCGTACATGCCATTGCCGGCGGAGCAAGCCTTGTCGCGCTGGCCTTCGCACTTCACGGTGCTAGCCTCGGTGCCAGAGCTGTAGTATTCCTATACATGGTTACGGTTGGTAAGCAATTGAACATTGGTATTAAAGGGGGCTCAGTAAGATAACTCACGGTTCCGTAGTGCTTGAAGTTGACAAGCCGGGTCGAGTACATGTTCTGTGTTTTATGGTTAGCGACTTTAATTTAGCATGACAGTTTCAACCATGGCTTACTGGAACGCCGTCAAGAGCGTTATTTCCGCGGTTGAAGGTACCGGGCTGCGAAGTACCAAAGTCGGCCCACGCCTGGTTCCCGATGGGGAAGGCGTTAAGGGCATTGCTGATGAGTGACTTGTCCGGGAAGTTCTGGGCCAAAGCAACGTGGGCAATGGATGAGAGGGCACCACCTAGGGAATGTCCGACTGCCTCCAAAGTGTAATCCGGGTACTTCGCAATGAGCGCCTTGACTTCAGTAATAATGGTGTCGTGTACAGCGGACCAAGGTCTGTGAACACCTCTCATGATCTTCACATCTGAAGGGAAAGTCACACCCGAAAGCTCGGGGGTGACGAGAGCAATGTCAATGTCGTTCACGAAGTCGGTGACTAGATTAATTAGCACGGTGAGCTAGTATTAAGCTGAGTCGATTTGTCCATACTGCTAGTCGAGCCCCTCATGATGACCGCGATTGTTTTCTTCTCAGTGGAGTATCCAACGAATCCCTACTGAAATTAGTCATTTTCCAACGTAGAGCAATTACGACGCCTACATTGGTGTCGGTCAGGAAGTCATGAATCCTCTTGGTAATAGTGACATCGAAGGCTTTTCCAATGCAACCTGTATAGGCAGCGGAAGCAAGCTTTGCTGCACGGTGCAAATCAGGGAAAGCGGCGGCGGCTTGAGAAAATGTTAGAGCTGCCTGGTCGTACAGAGCTGGGCTGATGAGTTGGCATACCAGCGGTTGCCCGCGACTCCAAAATAGGCGCAGAAAGGGCTTGAGAGACCAGGGAGACTCCCACGAGCAAAGATTGGTAGTTGAACAACATATTGAAACGATGTACGAGATGTTATAGAATGCTCTGTAGGTACTTAGGAAGCCTGCTGGACCGTTGTCTTTGGATATACAAAAGGAAAACTGTCTTGCCCTTTAAATAATCCTTCAAATGCCCCTCAAAATCGCATGGTACTCGTTGTCGCTATCTTTGCACACCATATGCAGGGGAGGAGACCGAATGTGGGTGCCAAGTGGGTTACGCCGGGGATGACATCCCAAACAGGCAATGCAGAGTACAGAGCCAGGAAGCCATCATGCAAGTTAAATGTACAAATGAGCCATTCGGGTAATCCCCGTGAATTTCTCGGGTTTTCCTGTCTAGTGACAATAACTCCAGCAAGTGTAAGTACTACCTATAGGCTTCAAAGCCTCATTTGATCCTCACACCGTATGGGACCAGGCCACTGAGACATATGTGCCGAAAAGCATTGCGAATGAATCAAATTGCTGATAACTACCCGTGAACCACTTTGACAATTTCTATGTTGTATGTCTCCAAGCACCAAAATGGGGCTGTAGTACGGAGGAATTCCCATACTAAATTTCAAACGCCTGGCTCACCGTTACCCACTCCGTGCAAATCCTTTCAATAAGCTGTTGAATATCTAAAATCTATGTATAAAATAAGCTATAAAATACACAAACAGGTTGTTGGGCGAATTAAATATCGACTCATGTCGTAGGTGGTTCAAGTATTAAGGATTCAAAATACGGAACAAGAACGCATGGTTAGCCGCTTATACGGCCCAGTCAAGCGGCTTTTTTTGGTACACTTAGCCACGTGCTACGTCTTTTACATAAAAGGTGGAGTCAATTCAAAATACGGACTACGGAGTACTAGAAAAAGAGACAGAAGGAAGAGAAGTGGAGGAGCAACCGCTATGGAGTAGTAGAACGTAAGTATACTATATAGCAGGCCCCACTTTGTCCACTATATCAATACGCATATGGACTAACTAGGCGAGTAGACTAGTTACTAGCTAACTAGTTAAGGTTTATAATATAGACAGGAAGGACAATCGTTAGGCATGTGATAACATGTGATCGTAGGGGTCTTCATATTTCTTTATCTCCCACCCCGGTTCTGGCTGCCAACCATGCTAGTAGCTAGATGAAGAAAAGTTAGTCGCAAATTATAGATGCAAAAAAAAGGTGTGAAAATTGTACACAGGATTTTGAATCTAATTTCCATGGAACACTCATGTTACAAACCATACTACGGAAAGTCTGACCTGCACTAGCGGTGAAACATGAGCAACCAGGCATGGACTTGGCAAGGCCAGCCTAGAAAACGGCTAGAAAGTGGGCTATATGAAGAAATATTTGCGGGGAAGCGAGGAATATAGTCATGTGTTTAATTAAACTGTCTTGGCCTTTTCCAACTCGGAATATATTAAAGCTTGAACCTTGATCAGACTCTGATCGACGCCAACTGATAAAGATCGACATTATATTCCACCAGAAGTAGAAGTGATCCTGGCGGGCTATACGAAAAATATGGGATCTTCGTGCCCGATGATCCCGAGCTGAAACCGGGCCTGTTATTACCCGCTACCCGGGAACGTTTTTGTCTTGTTTTTACTTTCGGTGAAGCTTTTATTTCTGGAGCCTGATCCGCCCTATTTGAAGTATGAAAATACCCATTGTAGTGAAGCAATCGAGAACTTAGGGTTAATTGCGGACCAAGGTGGTTTGGTTTTGCGGGGGGTTGAAGTGGAAGATGCAGGACGGCAAAATAAATTAAATATGAAGTCATCACTGCAGGAGTGGGGTTCATGTACGTGTTTTAGTCGGATGGCCACGTTTTGTGTTCCTTACAGACAGTGAAACCTAATTATAACGATATAGTATAACGATACATATAGTATAGACAAAAAGAAAATAACCAGGTAATCATTAAATAAAGGTAGTTACCATAGTCCATTGCCGGGCGGGGTATGCTGACTGCAGAACCAGGCACCCATATATTGCAGACGCGTTGCATGGTAGGGAGTATGTACCTACATACTGTAGTAGCGAACCTTGTCCACCATGTATTGGCCTTGCCTGCCCTTTATTGCACGGTTTTATTATTCAATCCTTGAAGTACGGAGGATACAAGTAGCATATAGATACAGATTGACAATACACACTTTTACACCTCTGTGAATTCACTTCTTGGGCAGTCCGCCTAGGTTCTTTTGCATGCAAAGCTAGGTATGAAGCTGAATTGCGAGTGCTGAATCGACCTGTATGCTTTTGAACATATAACCTTGAGCGTTCCCCTCTTCAGTGAGTTCACGATACATAAGGGTTATGTGGGTCGGAGGAGCTGGAATCAACGAGTCGAAAGGGCTATCCAGCACCCAGGTCATCATCAATCAAAATAGTATTGAGACTCTGTCTCGTTGCATTTAGTCTCCGACCCGACCCGTAACGCTCCAGAGTGAGCAAAACTAAACAGTGCCAAGGTCAGATATTCTTTTTCTTCGTTTTTTCAACCCCTCTAATTCGGTAATTTTATAACGGTACATATTCCATGAAGAACGTTATAATATAGGCAGATAAGCCAAGGAAACGATTGTCGGGCGACCGACGGAGTTCCAAGGTTGATCCTACGATGGCACGGCCAATCGCATATATCGCACGGATTTCAGAAGATCACCTGGTCAGGAACCTTGGAACTTCCCGAGGGCTTGGCATATTCTTGGAATCTTGGGACAGTGGAACGGGCCCCAGGCTAGCCTATTGAGACAAGGTAGCCATATTAATCCTATCCGGGTACTATTCCGTTCAGTATGGTCTGTTCGAAAGAGGTAGACCACATGTTCCGGGAGGCTGCAGGTCGCTCTGTATCCCCCATTCTCACTTCACTTCCGACAATTCAACTAACCCCAGCTTTCCCCACATGTGGTATCCAGCCAACGCCTCATGTCGTGAGGGCCTTTGGCCCCGCATTTGCGCCCTGTCGGAGAGCTTTCGACTTTGCGTTATTTTCTTCAAGAGCTATTCTTTGATTTGACCCCCTCCTCCCTTACCTAGGTATGTTGATGGTGCGGCCATGTGTATTACTTCGCCGGCCAGTCCATGCACGATGGGGACTTTCATAATTTCTCTGGGTATAACATACACATGTTGTTAGAGTGATAGCTCACATTTGACTAGGGTGTAATTTCTACCTTGGCAATTCTTGAGCTCGCCACGCTCATCGTTATCGCGACCGGTTAACAGCATGCCTTTTCGTAGCTGCCGTGCTATCCTTGCTCGCTGCGTGTGCGATTACCATTTTATCTCACCATGAACATACTCGTCTACTCATCCATCTTTCTTTCTTGCTTTCTACCTATGTCTCACGGCTCCACTCAGGCCTGCAATTACCCGCAGATACCGGTCCCTTGAAGCAAATCGCAGTGCGGCAGGTGCGGCTCTTGCTACCTTACTTGCACAATGGTCCATGACGGTACTCAAGACTGGGCATTCAAGAGGCCCAGAAGATACAAGTCTATTTCCAGAGAAGAGAGTTAGCTTTATGTCACGAATTCTATTCCTTCGCTTGATCGTACTCGATTGACCGGCTACCAGCGCACCCTGACCGCGGCCGATCTAAAACCGACTCATCGCAATCTCTATACAGCATATTTAAATATCCAGTCCTCATGGATATTAACAAGCTGTTTAAGCTTTTCCGACGCGTTTTATAAATCCTATAGACAGCACATAGGTTTCCAACACATGCAGTTTCCTATTTCGATCGCCCTGGCCGAGCCCTTTTCTGTCTAGGTCGATACCTGTTCCTCCCAATAATCCCTCGGCTGTGTCTTGCTGGGCTTACCTTTGGGCGGCCATCTCTCACCATAGAGCTGGTACATTATTTGAGGGGTGACTCCGCTCCCAATAATTACGGATATGAGGTCTGGCTGAGTCACAGCCAGCCCATACAATTTTTAGCAGTGGAGGTGGTTGGAAACAGGGCCTAGTATATTTTCCTCATTGCTGCTATCGGTATATATTACGAATTTATAATGCAGGCACTGGCTCAAACGATCGCTTGGAAACTTAATATTATCCCCCCCAACAACGTTCATCCATAACAAGAATCCGGTCGAATGCCACGACTGCCCCGAGTCTATAAAAAATTGAAGTTGTGACTTCATCCGGCAATCTCTCTTTGATCAGCCTTCAAACACGTTGCTCATTTGCCATGTCCAGCAAAGGCTCTGCGGGACCCCGAGCTCCTTTCGTCTTGGGGCACTAGCAAGGAACATCTCGTACCCATAAGTGTATCTACTCAACAGAAAAGGCATGGTTCAGCCCGTGACTACATAATTAGGCAGCACTTATTCTAGGAAATGCATCATCTTACCATTCTTTTGTTTTTCTGACGTGGCAATAGGTATCGCTTGGTCAAACCCAATCGATTATGTGTCGCAAAGGATGGATCCAGGCCCAAGAAAAGTGGTTATCAAGCATGCTTCATCTCGAAGGGAAAGGAATTAATAATTAGAAGTGACAGATCATTTGAAAAGAAGATAGACCCAATAATAACTAGCAAGGAACTGACTAGCTGCACGATTCTGATACGCTTTTTGTTTTTTAGTACGTACGTAGGTGTGGATGGATTATGACATGGCCACCCTTGACGCATAGATAGATCTACGTATATTGACTTCAAGCCTAGGATGTTCTAGATCGTTGTACAGAGTGAGAGCAAAGAATAGCAGGGGTGTCTCCTGTCCTTAGGGAATCCTTTCTTTTATCACCTAATATTGTTGTTATTGACGAACTTCTATGATCCTTGATCCCTTTGTCGATGCGTTTATTCTCTTTCCACAATACCTTTCCGACGACTTGGGGTGGTGTGACCGGCACAGAAACACACATTCGAGTATTGGACTTATATAAAATTACTAACAAGATAATGCCAATAGCGTCACTGGAGTGGATAGGATCCTTGCAGAGATAAACCGCCCTAATATAGTGGCGGCTATAGGTGAGCTGTTATTAGTGCGAATGGCAACGAATTCCCCATTTTCCTCTCATTTCCACTGAACTACTCGCTTGCCAATTAGAAATATGCCGGTCTATTATTAATATCTAAATCGGGCGTCAGCCTTATCTCGCCCCGGGATATCTGTAACATGAACACGTTGTCGAACCTAGCCTTGCAGCAATATCCAGCGCTTATTTAGAATGTGGAGTATATCTGTTAATTCTGTAGTCTAGAAGCACAACTGTTGGGTTTCCCACTCCGATTCAACTTACCATTTCATGTCGTCCCCTGACTCAAATCGAATCGCCAGCACGCACCTGCTTCCAATTCACCGAACGCCTCAATGAGCAACCAAACATGCCCAAATTGCAGTATCAGCTCGTCAAAACATAAAGAATTGGTCGGATGGGTCTGGGACAACCCCGGCCGTGGTACGATAAGTTTGATCACAACATGTCTAGCCACAATATTTTTGTGCACCTGGGTCGTAATTCATCCCCGAGTCTACAAGCGCGAATCCTACGCAAATCTCCATAAGGTCGCTCTTTTCCTGAAGACAATATTCGCGCCGGAGTTTATTGCGGTGGAAGGACTTCAGGAATGGGCACAGTGCCGCAGGATGCAAAGAGAATGCCTTGATTCCACAGCAGGTCAATTCAAACTTGTGCATGCCTTCTACATCAGTATGCTCGCACTGAGGTACCAAACCCCGAATGGCGATCGTGTTATTTGGCCGAACCAATATACCTGGCTACTACAGCAAAGGCTTATTCGATGGGAAGACCATCCGAGTTGGGGTCTGTCTCTCGATGACATCTGTGACAAGAGCAAATCAGATAATGCTGCAAAACTACTGGCTTTGATCCAGGTGACCTGGTTCTCGGCACAATGCATACTGCGTATCTCTTATCATCTCCCACTGTCGCAGTTGGAGTCGATGACCCTGGGATATATCCCATTGTTTATCGTGACATACTTCTTCTGGTGGAACAAGCCCAAGGATATCAGATCTCCATCTCTTGTTGTGCTTCCGGAAATGGGCCTGGAACAATTCCACTTCTTTCAGTCGATGGCTGTCAGTAATAAGTTTGACAATGAGGGGATGAAAGACCAAACATCATATTGGAATATATGGTATCTTACCCCGCGGGTATTTGAGAAGGTAGAGGCGGACAGACTCGTGCAGGAGTCTCAAACCAAAGCTCTGAAGGACCCAAATCAGAATCCAATCACCGAACCACCGCATGAACCCACAATCAACGCAAGCAAGATACGAGATCTCGAAGATCCACATAAGTCCCGGAAGGATATCGTTGTGTCCCATTGGGATCCCGATCTATATAGGTCAAGAATCTGGCCTTTGGCGTGTCTGTTCGGGATTTCATTCGGCGCCCTTCACCTCGTATCTTGGAATACCATGTTCCCATCGGTCGTTGAGTTGTGGCTCTGGCGTGTATCCGCCTTTGTTTCAATCGTGTCAATGCTTATATTTATGCACTTTGAGAAGGTTGTCCTCCGGTGGGATGGCGTCTTGACACTTTTCAGTCTCTCATCCCCAGTGTTTTATCTTCTTAGTCGCATTGTGATGATTGCAGAGGTATTTTCCGCATTAAGAGCAGCAGACTCCGCTATTTATGATACCTACGAGTACTCAGTCTACTGGTTGCCCTTTTTGTGAGAATCTCTGGGTTACATACGATCTCGACGACTACATAAGTCGCATTGCTTGATAATTTTGTAAGAAAGTCATTGTTTGTTCTCTATTCAGCTGGCGTTGGAGAATCGACACTGCGTTTTCCTTTGGTTTTCTTTTCTTTTTTTTAGACTGTGATTTTCAGCGGGGACAAATCATATTGAGGAGACATGCACTCCGTACAACAGTTGTAGGCGCTGATTTAATGTATGTTGTACGGATGTGCGCACACGTCTATATCCAATCAAGTAACCCCAATAACCGCCGGGGCTTGGTTAAGCTCCACATGGCTGGTCTCATTCCAGGGCGATGAGGCCGAACAGACCAACCAAGCAGGGTCGGGCGTTTAGAAGCCATACCAAATACTTATCCTTATAGTCCTGAGAAATAGCGTATTATTTATAGGCTGAAAATGGGTTTCCACCAAAAAGCGACATTTAACTAATGGGGGAAGTATGTAGACCCCAGATGGGTTAGCCCGCCCCACTTCTTTAGTGTGCTGCACCAGGTCGACCGTCAGCGTTGAGGATTCTCCTTGCATTTCCTTCATTCCTGTGCGATATTCCTATTCCATCGTTTAGTCCATCATGACAGCTAGCGAGTTAGCTGGTTCTTTCTTCAAATATGCTTCAATACCAGTCGCTATTGCGGTTGGGTTATATGCGATCCTACTTGGGTTACTCACCACATCAACCTTCCAATCACATGTCGTTTATCTGCACGCAATTCAGATGACATGGTTCAAAGACCTCAATGTCCCCGAAACTTTTGGGTTCCTGAGGAACCAGGTCACTCCGTTCTCTATCAGAACGACGGACGGTGAATTCCTACACGCTTGGCATATTCTTCCCGTGGAATTATATCGCAAGCATCAAATATGTCTTATCGAAGAGCCAGTAGGCTTTGTGTCTGATGTCAAGTCCCGACTGGGATTTCAACTATTACGAGAGGACCCCGACGCTCGTTTAATTCTTCACATGCACGGCGCTGGAGGAACCGTCGCCTCGGGGTACCGGGTCCCAAATTACCGTGCACTGTCAGCGGGAAATCCTGGGAAAATCCATGTTCTCACATTTGATTACCGAGGATTTGGCAAGAGTACTGGGACACCATCTGAAACCGGGCTCATCATCGATGCCCTCGCCGTGGTGGACTGGGCAATGAATGTTGCAGGCATCCCTCCATCTCGAATTTTGATATTTGGTCAATCGATGGGCACAGCCGTGAGCATCGCTGTGTCTAAACATCTTGCTGTGCAGAATCCACCAATAGTCTTCGCAGGCACGGTGCTGGTTGCACCATTTGTCGACGTCGCGACATTGGTCTCAACCTATCGAGTTGCGGGTACCGTCCCAATCTTGTCACCAGTTGCCAGGTTCCCTTTCCTCTTCAAATATCTTCAACGATTCATTCGAGACAAATGGTTGAGCAAGGATAATATTGCGCAATATATTGAGTCTAACGAGCGGAACGGGGAGAAATACAGAATAACCATAATCCACGCCGAGGATGACTATGACATTCCATGGCACCATTCTCAACTTGTGTTTTGGCACGCGGTTAATGCCTCGATGCCAGCGGGGATCAGTTATGACGACCTTGAACAAAAGAAGCTTGATTCGAAAGCAGATCTAGGAGCTGCTGGATCTATGATGGAATGGAAAACGGAGAACGGGGTTATTCGCGAAGAGATCTTAAAAACTGGATTGCATGATGTGATCATGGGGTACCCGGTAGTCACAATGGCGGTGATGCGATCTTTTGAAGCGGCAGATCCATCATTCACACCCTGAGCTCAATCGTCCGTTCCTAGATAGTAGCACCCAGGCATTCATGTTCTAAAAACGTGAGTATGGTACATAAAATGAACAACGTTTACATTGGTGTATTTCATTTAAAGTACAATTTCAAGTTGCACAAGTGAATATATAAATAGCAGCGCCCTACTCAATAAACGAGAGATACACACAATAGAAGACTTCAGAAAAGCAGATCTACAAGTGGAAGAGAATTAACCAACGAATGAAGACCTTGTCTTAATTCAAATGATGTTAGGATGTTCGAGCCAACCTTGGATGTTCATAGATAGGAACGTGTGGCGGTGCTAGTGATGTGGTGGCACATGCGGGGTTGCCAAGCCACCGGTGATATCATCACGAGGAACAGGCTCGAGCCGAGCGAAACAAAAGCTTGGGTTTGGTGTTAGCGTGCAATCTGCAATCTGGTGAGCTGCGAAATCTTCTGATCATCGAACTATTCTATCTGACATATCGCCTAGCCGCTTGGAAAAGTTGATCTATCACTAAACTTTATAGCGCGCGTCCCCTTACCTTCAGTACGCGCCCGTCTTGTTTCAGCCTACTTTTTCTTATCGTCTATTTCCCATCGAGGAACACGAAACAAGCCCCCATATTACCATCCTTCGTACCGCGAATACCTTTGTGATGGGCATGCAATATCTCAACCAAATAAAGAACCTGCGGCGTTCGTCGCAAATGACCAGTGCACCGAAGCCTGTCCTGTCGCCGGAAGATGAAGCCTACCTACGCGAAGTCACCGCCCAGTCGGAATCTGTGCCCATTGCAACACAGCAGAATGAGCAGATCCCAGCCGAAAGCCCTGCTGGGGCTTCTCTGCAACCTGCGATCAGCGTACAAGCTGAAAACATCCCTCTGCCTACCTCGCCGGGGGAGGATTTAGCAAAGGAACTGGGTGAAGAGGGTAGGCAAGAGAGGAAGAACTCCCAGCCAACATTGACAAGGTCGGATACACCGAAGTCGGAGGTTTCAAAGCCTCAACAGAAGAAGAAACGGTGGAGTGCCATGTTTTGGAAAAAAAACACAGAGAAGGTTAGTCATTTGTTTAGTCGTGTTCATTTTCGGATCCTTGCATCTGGCTTGTGTATGTACTAACATACGACTTCGCGTAAATAGGATAAAGAGGCCCTCGATGCAAACAAATCGCAAACCGAAGCTGCGACTCGTCCAACTACATCGGATACATCAACAAACGGGAAAGACGCAGATAAAGATAAAGATGCAGAGGATATGACAGATATTCTTGAGCGATTGAACCTGGCTGCGGATAACAACCGTGTATTTTCGATCAGTGAGGAGACACAGGAGCTTTTACGCAAGTTCAAACTCATCTTCAAAGATCTGATCAACGGAGTGCCAACTGCCTATCATGACTTGGAGATGCTGCTGACCAACGGGAATCGCCAACTGCAAGAAACCTATACGAAGTTGCCTGGTCCCATGCAAAAGCTGATCGAGAAACTTCCCGAGCGTTGGACCGAGACATTGGCGCCAGAGATGTTGGCCGTTGCTGCCGACCGCGCCGGCAAGAGCGGTGTCAACATGGAGAATGTTGGCAAGGCCGCTGCAGCTGCAGAGAAGATGGGGGTCAATATTCCAAGCTTAAAGGAACTTGTGTCGAAGCCAGCTGCTCTGGTAGGAATGCTGCGATCCATTATGACATTCCTGCGAGCTCGATTCCCTGCTGTTATGGGCATGAATGTGCTCTGGTCCTTGGCATTGTTCAGTAAGTGAAACACTCTACCAAGTGCATGAGTCCGTTTGCTGATTATGGTGCTCCTCAGTCCTGCTCTTTGTCTTGTGGTACTGCCACAAACGCGGACGCGAAGTCCGTTTAGAGAATGAGCGTCTGGTGACGGAAGAAGAGATCGCCAAGCTCAACCAAGACACCTCCGAGGGTCTAATTCGTCCTACTGAGACTTTGACAACGACCGCACCGCCGGGCGCTACGTCTGATGAAATACGCGAAGGCGTTCGAAAGGTAGAGGAGGCCCGCGCCGCTCCTGTCGAACCTGCTGGCCCCACCGAAGTGGATAGCGAAAACCAACAAAGTACTCCACAAAGTACTCGGCCGGCGGCAGTTCCCACCCGGTCGAAATCACGTTTGTCGATGTTTGGTCGAGCCAAGACAGAGCCCATGCCTAATGATGTTGCGCCTTATCCCGGCACTTGATATCACCTTTTTTTTTTTTGTCGATTTTGTCCACCTTGATCTTGTTTCAATGAAGGAACCATGGTTGTTGACCCAACCAACCAAGGAACCTTTGGAGTTTGAGTGGACGACCCAGAATGGAGGGATTGTTAAATGGAACCTCGTACCCCAGGGATTATTATGTCCATCTAAGACTTGGATTTATGTTATTTTAATCTAATTAATATCATTCGGTCTTGTGGAGTACAACACTCGGATTTCATGTGGTTAACCGCTTTCCTTTTGATAGTTGCTCTTGGCAGTCCCCACTTCTTTCCACTTCGGTCAAATATCCCGCATTCCTTTCTGTTGGTTTTTAGTGCTCACTTGTTCCGGTGATAACACCAACAACCATATTCCTATATATTGTAGACTGTGGCCGTGGTTGGGCCTTCTATCAAGTGTTGTAGAGAATTATCGCCCCCACCTCTTGATTCCTAGCGTCCCTGGGCAGACACGACAACGCAACCTCCTCGCCGAACCTGAATGGAACTAACCGTCTCTTCGCTTTCGAAAGAATCCTCACTAGTTGCATCATGACTGTATTTCTTGACCTCCCAGAGGAGACTCTCTACCTCATTGCAGAAAACCTGGATCACCAGGGTGATCGCTATTCCCTGGTGCTATCATGTCGTCGACTTTACACAGTTATGCTACCAAGTCTCTATTCCCAGGTTATTCTTGGCGATGTTATCAATCATACAATTGGCCAAGTCAGTCGATTTTTCAATGCAATCGCACGGCGACCACAGTTGGCCAGCGCCGTGCGGTCTTTGCGCTTGGAGAGTTGGGACACTGAAGATGACAATGAGGACGTCGACTGTGAATTCGAATATGATCCAGACCTTATTTACCGACTTATCGCTGGTACCCGCTGGTCGACACAGCCGTATGATCAACTGCAACTCGGAAACACCGATGCTTGGTTAGCTTTGCTCATTCCCCAGCTGAAAGGCTTGAGACGAATCAGCATATGCTACCCATATGGGTCAGAACACGTCGAGGGAATGTTCGCGAAGGCTGCCAAAGAGGATACCACAACATTTTCTCGCCTTACTGAAGCCTTCGCCGAATGGTCTGACACGGAAGATTCCATCGATGCAAGCTGTATGGAACCGTTCTTTAAATTCCCAGCGATGCGCGTAATTGGAGGATCCTATATCGTTGACTCCGATCGTGAGGAGGGACAACCCCGCATTACACCCTTCTCGGGAGTCACTGATATCGATCTTGAGATGACCAACACTGAGTGTGGATTCGGTGTCTGGATTGAATCATGCAAGGCTCTCAAGACTTTCCGGTTGAATGTTGGAGGAGCAACGGTCTCGGATGGACCCGATCTTGTATCTGCTCCCCTTCGAGAATCCATATCCCTTCATAAGTCATCACTAGAGGCATTCTGGCTCTGTGGCGAATCGTATCAGGCTCCGGAGGACGACGATGGATGGATGGGATCGTTTGCCGATTTCGATATGATGAAATATATACATATTTCTATATCAATGCTCGCCAAGCTTGACGACAACTTCGAGCCCACGCAAGAACTCGTGACGCTTTTGCCGCCGTCCCTTGAGACTTTGTATCTGTGTCACTGCCACAACGAGCTGCTCGAATGGGCCATCAACCAAATCGAACGCTTGCTGGATTCGAATTGTCTGCCGCGCCTTACCTCCTTGGGGCTTGAAGGTTACGGACCTTCGGAGGTTCATGAGAATTCATTGGAGACTATGCGCAAGCTGGATGGGTTGAACAAAAAATGTTCAGATGCCGGTGTGTTCTTTGCGACTTCTATTGGAAGTCACAGAATGGTCCCGAGCCATTTTGTATCGCTTTGGCCTTGTGTCTAATTTGATGATTGCTGAATTTGGTATGTTTATGCAAACTGGCGCTGTTGATGATCAGCGATGCGGGGGTCGCTTAGCGTGGTATATAATCTAGCAGATTACTTCAGTTTCTTCAATGTTATTGGAAATGCGTATGATCTTATCATTTTGTTACATATTATGGGGGCCAAAACAAGAAAATAAATCCCCTTTCTGAGGGATAGAAATTGAGATATATGGAGTAATTTGTGAGATCGTTGTCTTTATACTCAATTCCTCCCGTAGGTCTATTTTGACATAGAAATACCCAACTATCCACATTCATTATCTAGATGCCATTGTACGGACTTTTATCTACCCGTACTGTGTTGCAATCCGAGTTTGGACACCAAAATCACGTAAATTGTACTCCGTACGTACTGTATGGAAAGAAGAAGGAAGTGGGGAAGGCTGCAAGCTAGAAGGCCATCGAAGTGGCCAAGTGGAGGATTGACACTTGAATGGTGAATGATCCGCTTCAACTGAAAAGATGCTAGCGTTGGAGATATTGTTCCTCACAGAAGAATCTGATTGGCATTGGGGGAAGGAGAAAAATTTTCCATCGCAGCCACTGCGGGGCAGAGAGATGATCTTGCATGCCTCCGAACATCAGCAAGGGCAAGAATGGACTCAAAAACAGATAATCGGAAAGATCTTCCGTTCTACATTTGCCCCTCATTCTTCTTGATCCACAATATTATACGTATAAAGTAGAACATACTAACTAGTTAGTTGGTAAATATCTACGTTGCAAGTTAACGGTATAGACTTGTCCCCCTCACCAATTGGAAAAGATAAGAGAGAAATAGATCTATCTCATGCACGTTAGACGCGCCCAGCCTAAGCCATGTTGTCCATTTAGTTACCGCCTCTGATCTTGTTTTAAGCCAGTTAGGCCAGTTAGGCAGTTAAGCCATTGGGAGGCAAAATAAAAAGAATAACTGCAGGTTCCCGGGACACGGGTAAATTTGCCAAGCCGGTCGGAATAGAGTAGAGCGCTTTGCCACTCAAAACGTAAAAGTGGCCGGATCTTGGCTTGAACCAATGAGCCCGTAGATTTTGGTGAAAATTTTGGTGAAGTTCAAATACGAAACAAATATGATTCATCTCAAGGATCCAAGGATGTGTCATCGATAAAATAAATATCCCAATCCGAAGATGAATCATCATGCATGCCGCACGGGTCAGTCACTGCCCCGTGTATATTCTAGTTTGACGTCTAGTGCAGATAGATGTTCTGATGTGCTATTTCTGTCAACATTGACTCGAAACTTCAGTTACTCTGTAGTTGGCGGGTTTGGAAATAAGTCAATGAAGATTTTGCCGGGGAAGATCACGCCGAGGATCTTTAATGACGTTTTTTTAGGTTTGTTTTGTTTGAACTCGATTGTGCCGGGATATATTCCTAGAAAGCGCTACTAGCAGCGAATATAAGAAGAATAGATGCAAGTATACACCGTACTGCACAACATCAGCAATGAAACCCAATATCAATATAATCGATATAATGTCAATGCAACCACCTAATTTAAGTAAATGAGCAGGTGGATAATCTAATTCATCACTCTCCCATTGCAACTTTCGGCGATCGCTGATTGGCGCGAAAGAGTCGGTGAGCAGCGCCAACGAATAGGCGGTCGTGTTCTGCATCCAATCACAGCTGTTCCCCTCCTGGGGAAAAAAAAGACCTTCTCATTCTTCTTCCTTTTCTCATAGCACTCCCAACTGATCTACTTCGGATATCCCTGAACTTATTGAAACTCTTGAAACCCCTATCTATTCACTACATATCCACTACATATCGTCAAGAATTCAGCCAAATGGCCTTCGTTGAGCTGTAAATGCCTCGCTGGGGAGCCTGTCCCTGCCGGCTCCCCAGTCCTGCAGCTCCGATCTTCAATTCTACTTGACGATATTTGTTTCTCTTTCGACGCCTCTTACAAAGGCGTTGGAATTGCCCCCTAGCAAACTTCCAGAAGGAGCACTACAGCGTCCGCAACGGACTGCGGGTGCTTTCGTGGTTACGAAAAAAAAAAAAAGAGAAAACTCCTTGGACTCCTCCCCTCCACTCCGCTTCTCCTATCTCCTCCACACCATCCCACCTCCCTTCGACTTATCCCCTTAAAACGGATCACCACTTTGGGCCAAACTACGACCATCCTCTCACCTAAGGAAGATCTTCCCCTCTTCCTTCATCCCATCATTGGATCCTCCTGGAACGGACCGGACCATTCCATTTGAACAACAAAAAACAAGGACCAAAGAAGTCCACACTGACAAAAATAACCCCTATTCATCCATACTTGTGTACTACAAAATGCCTCAGAGTTCATACTCTTCCAAGCGGGCTCCCAAGAGCTCAGCCAAGAACGCTCACCCCCCGCCCTTCAACCCCCGAGCCCAACATCATGCGGAACCTCGATATGTCACCCAAGGCCAATCAGTCTCGAAAGTCAGCCAATGCTCAGCCATCCGATAGGAAGCGGAGAGCATCGTCATCATCAGTCTCAAGTGTTTCTTCGGTCTCATCCCTCGGGGATCTGAGTGACGAGGCAGATGATTCAGAAGAAGATGCAGATGACGAGCAAGAACCAGCAGTCAGGGCCCCGTCTTATGGTCGTCGCCGAGACAATAAGGCGGGGCGACAACCTGCAATCAACAAGAGAAGACGTGTCCTGAACGACACCAGTGACAGTAGTGACGGCGATGACGGCGATGACTCGGATGACAGCTCGGATGATGTGTATGCCGGTGTAGACTACATCACAGATGCCGAGGATGAAGACCAAGACGTTGAGAAGATGGAGGAAATGATGATCGTGGAATCTGAAAAGACCCACCGTCCTTTGCCTAGCACTGGATTTGCCGAGGATCAGTGGGCTATCAACTCCTTCGACGACCACATGTTCCTACCGGCTGCATCCTTCTTTGATGAAGAGCACCTTTACAGTGCCATGGACACTTTTGGAGAGCCTCAGGTGACCAGCGAAGCCGCTGAGACACCAGTCGCCCGGCGAGTTCACTTCGAGGAGCGATCCGATTCGTCCTCTGATAGTGACTCCCACAGTGACGACGACATACCCGGTGACTTCTTACAACAGGACAGCCTGGACCCACAGTTGCGTCGTATGATCGAAAACGACAACGAAAATTTCCGGAGAAACACCCGCCGTCAATCAGAAGAGATGTTTGGTGACGCTGACTACGGCCATGGAAGCATTTACCACGTCGAGTCTGCAGGATCCTCAGAGGGCAGCTTGAGTGGCTACGAGAGTATGATAATTGGTCAATTCGTATTGCATTTCGGTTTTGCTAACATAACCTCTCTGAAGGCGATGATGGTGACACCACAGACGAGGATCTCCCCCCACCAGCAACTATTACTCACCCTCGATCCCTTCTTCGCCGGGATTCATCCGACTCTTTGGCCCCTGTGGATGAAAAGAGTGATTGTATCCCCCGCCGCCGAGGACCTATCATGGGAACCTTCGTAGCGGATCCCCACAAGCCAGTAGCCTTGGTTGACTGCACTGGCAAGCATCTCGTCATCATTCCCGCGTATGCCTCTTCTCGCCACGACTGGCTGGACTCCGCCGCGAACAGTATGCCCGGAACTGCCAACACCAGCCCTCGCCAGACTACGCTTCACTTGGTTGATGAGAGCGATACGGATGCACTTGCCTCGCCCAATCAGCTTGATTTCAGCCCAATGCTGGCTTCGAGTGCCAATCTCATGATGACCGCTCTCGGCAACGATCTCACCCCGGGAGGCCAGGTCATGGGCCCCCCTGAGGCATTCTACCCTTCCCAGGACTTCACCATCGACAGCTCGTTCGAAGAAGACGAAGAAGATGACCCAGAGTCTGCTCTCAACGTCGACGACTTCATCGACTTTGGCAATGGATCCTCCGATGAAGATGAGGACATTGATAATGATGCCATGGTCTCCCCAATGGCCGCTCCCTTTGCCAAGTCCTTGGGTACACCTACCCCCACTCGCAAGTCTGCGTCGCAACCAGCCAACAACGAAGAGCGCTTCCTCAATCACCTGGACAAGGGTATTGTCACCGCCTTCCGTCGCAACCATAACCGCTACCAGGCGCTCCTCCGCCTCCCCCAGCACCGCGAGTTCATGCCCGCAAACTCTCCCGCACGTCCTGCCAGTGTCTTCCGACACGCCAAGAACAACGACCAGCGAACTCCCACCCGCAAGCGCAAATCGAGTAGCATTGCAGGTGGAGAGGCTGTGCGACGCAAGTTGATGGATGCCCAGCAACGTCGCTCTCAGCTCCCCATTCCAGCACCTCTCTGAGGTCTCACGATTGCACGACTTTTTGGATTTCCACCAAGATCATATGATAACCACGGCCAAATTTATTCTATCTTTTTCTAGTCGCTGGCAGACTTTCCTATTAGTGTCTTGTGCCTTTGACCTGCCGACCTCGCGATGAGCACACAGGCTCTTCGCTCTGGTCGTATTGCATCTTGCTACGTAAAGTGTCGTGGAGACCAGTCTATCTTTGTAATGTTCAAGTTAGATTTTCCATCCACATTGAGTTGGCTTGCGAAATATCGATGTTGGTTCTTAGAACACAAAAAGCGATCGATCCATTTCTGACATTTGATTATCTTTCCTGTCGTTCATTTTCATTTTCATTTTTCTTTCTACCATCATGTCATATCTATTGACTGGCCATTTTTCTCCCTCGTCTGTCGCGGGGGCTGGGGATACCTTTGGATTTCTGGAGTTGAAAACTTGCGGATTTGCGTTTAACGAGTGATGGATGATTAAGTTGCTGTTTACATCTACCTTTACCAATATCAAAAACATTCGAAACTTTTATTACATTCTCTTGTGCTCGTTCTAAGGTTAATATCTAGTGAAGCTCAGGCCTCATTATGTACCCACAGCAGCTCTAGACCCACCTACCTAGCTAAACCTTATTCAAGTAGATCTCCCAAGGTCCGCAATTGGCTTCATCATCCCTGTCCCCTCTTTATTGTACAATACATAGAAACAAAGCAAACATAGAAGGGAAACATGGGGCAGGAACCAAAAGGGGGAAAAAGCGTCCTCACAGATGTGCGGGGAGGCACGGAGCTTCACCTGCCTTGGTGTGTATTAGATCGTCCTCCACGCTATACCTTCCATCACTAATACTGAGAGGGTGACTTCCTCTACGACAACATAATTAAGATCCTAGCCTGATAAGACGAGAATCTCATGAAAGCCTTGCCTTGATTCATAGATCTAAAAGTTCGATCTATGCGGGCTATTACCGGCAAGACTCAGTTTGCACCTCGACTACTACGTCGACATCATTGACACCACCGAGCCAATTCTCAACTCTTTCACCTCGAGCCCAGCGGTAGAATCATCAGACTCATGTTCATCCACCTCCTCGTCCGAGTCATCCGCAATCACAATCCAGGAGTGCTGATATATTCCCTTTTCATTCGGCGGAAATCCATCTGGTCGAAGCCAGCAGAATATTCCCCGAGTGGGATGTTCTCAAATATGAATACGTACTCCGTATTCATGTAGTTAATATATTCTACAAGTGACTGAATACCCACGGAGTACTCCGTACGCCCTACTGCTACTATATGTCTAGAACAGATTGTCGAGGGGGACATATTGCCCCTAAATACATAGCCCGAAGTAGCTAGACATAATGGGAAGTCTAGACAAGCCGTGGCATCAATAAAATGCAACCTAGGCGCAGATAGTTCTCGTGTAGCATTTGCACAGTAACATTAAGGCGAATATATTAATATCAACACCTCAGACTTTACCAATTAATATGATCGTCTGGGCTCTGACAGTTCCAAGGGTACAGCGTAGTATTCCCGTGGCGCTAAAATTTTCATTCGTGGGGTATTTTTAGTTGAGCGTTTCAGGTTAATCCGGATATAAGCCCGGGCCTGCACCTGGGCAGACAAAGCCATCGTCCGACGTGCCGAGAGAGATTATTTGCATTTCTGCTTTCATTTCTAGAAACTAAGTAAATATTGTTATGGAACATGGCTGAAAGAAATAGAATATCAGCACTCTTACCCCTCAAAGCCTGTCTTTGCGGAGTAATAGATCGGAAAGGAGTACAAGCAAGCCAAGCTAGACATACCTTAGGACTTTATTCGAATTGGATCAGAGATGTGATAGTAATGGCATTGCATATTTAGAGGAACCCCTCAAGCTGTTTGGACAAACTCCACTAGTCTTCTGCTCTAGACAGGTTCGTTGGCGCTCGGCTTTTTTTTTTAGTAGGTCCGCATAAATCAGCCAAGAGAGCGTTCAGGTACCCGCCACTGGGGGGTTACCCCTAGGAACAAAGATAAAAATAAAAAAGAAGGCGATTTTGTGCGACATCCAAGCAGGACCGTTGGCCCCAAAAGTAATATTCCATATATGTCCCTTCTCTGATTGGTCAACCCGGGCGCTTCGAAGGCGCATGAAAGTGCTTGTATATTTGGAAAGGAAAAGAATGATCATCAATAATAAGCACATATGGAGTCAGGTAAGAAAGTGGGCGTCAAATAGGAGAGGCGCCAGAGGTATTTTTCTCTTTTCTCACGGTCGCATTATGTGGAATTGGAAATAGTTGGTTTCGGTTAAAGGGGAGTTCAAGACACTGGAGACAGAACCCCATATCAAAGAACTGCACGTGGATTCTGGTACTCCCACCTATACTCTACTTGTACTCTACCTATACTTTACCTATATTCTACTTTGAAGGCCTTTCTTTCAGCCCTCGGCCTTATGCAAGTTTCCGTGCCGATCAAGCGCCTAATACTCGTATACTATTTTTACTCGAAGATGCTCATTGGCTGGTCACCAATTAATGTCGACTGATCTCACAGTCACATCCCACGGATGAACTGATGCTGAAATGCGATTGGTCCCCGGCAAGCGCCTTGGTCAATGACCCCAGTCTGCAAGTTCTGAGTGGCTCTTCTCCAGCTTCTGCAGGTCGTTCCTGCACTAATCGGCGCCGAGCTCTAGATGAATCCTAAGCCGGTCCTCTTTTCAGCCACTACCGTTTCATCTGTACCTTCAGATACCTGCCGATTGGAGAAGAGGTTCGCTTTTCTCTGACGAAATGTCTTACCAGGGTCCTTGACGCCAGGATATTTTGGGTCAGTAGAGAAATGCTTGCTAGCTGCAGCTAACCCTTTGTCTGCAGAGGTTCGTGGCATAGCCTGCGTTGGGCGATTGTTTAAAGACCCCAACACTTCCCAGATCCTGCATCTCTTTCATCCTTGTCATTGTTTGATTCCCTTTTGGCTTTTTTGCCCATCTTGGTTCGTCCTCAACCAAAGACGCTCGTTCAGGGACACGCGTTTCCTTGTCCCACCCTCTTTCGTTTGATATTGGTTCAGTTTTATTGAGGCTTTTTTCTTTTTCTTATTGTCGCCGATCAACAATACTAATAGAAACTACCGCCTTTGCTGCCTATACAATTTTGGCTTTTATCGCAATATCTATTGAGGCCTAGCTTTCTATATCGCAGCCTATCCAGCCTTGACTTTTATATCACTCCATTTTTTTCTTTCATCCATACTTCTTCTGTCTTCTTTTTCCTTCAATTCCATCTTCCTTTCACGTCCCACTTTCCCGTCACTCGTTGTCGTGTCGTTATCCTTCCACTATGAAGGTCACTTCGGCCATTGCGTTTTTCTCTCTTCTGGCCTCCGGCCAAGCCACTGGATCGGTATACCTTAACTCACGTCCTATCATCTTTGATATACATTCTAACTCAGATCGTTCTAGTACTGGGGATCCGACAAATACTACTCCAGCCCGGGTAGATCGCCTAACAAGTGTAACGAGTACCAGAGCAAGGGCTTCAGCTGGACTGACCTCGCTGCTGGCTCTTTCTCCGAGTATGGTGGCTTCTCCTTCTCTGGTTTCACTTGCGGCAATGGATTTGGTTCTGGCCTTGGCAAGCGTGGTGTAAGTAATTCATGTCTCTCTTTCATCTGCAAATACTGACAATGACCCTAGACCCAGAAATGCATTTCCGGTACCGTCTCCAAACGTAGCTCTAGCTCCAGTGATGCCTCTAGTTCCCAAAGCGCCGGTTCTTCGGCTCCATCATTTGCCTGCGGCTCCGATGAGAGCGGCTTCTCTGTGACCAACTTGCACATTGCCACAGAGAAGGATACCGAATTGCACATCATCTACAGCATGCCCGATGGATCGACATGCAAGAACACCGCTTCCTGTAACTCAGCTGGTACTGTGGTTACCAACGACCAGTGTGGTGGTGCTAAGTCCGTTCACTTCGAGCTGCCTGACGATAGTGAACATGAGAGCTGCGGTTTCGGCATCTACAGCGTTGGTTTTGACTGCACTCCTGGTTCCACAACCACTGCGCCTGTCATTGCCACCCCTGCTCTTGCTGTCAGAGCTCCATATGAACAGATATCTGTGTCTGTTGGCGCCGGCTCTGTCGTGCCTTCAGTCTCTGTTCCAGGCTCTGATGTGGTCCCAACCACCACCTCAGCGGTGAGCACACCTCTTCGGATGACTACATCGACTGTGTTTACCACCAGTTTGATTACCATCACTAGCTGTGCTCCATCTGTTACTGATTGCCCTGCTGGATCAGGCTCAACCACTGTGGTGACTTCCACCATCGCTCTATCCACCACAGTCTGCCCTGTAACAGAGACTGAGCCTGCCGGGGAAACTACACCTGTTGCGGAGACCAGTCCTGTTGTGGAGACCAGTCCGGTTGTGGAGACCAGTCCGGTTGTGGAGGCAACTACTGTCGCTACAAGCTCGCCATCTGTGCCTGTCGTGACCAGTCCGACCGGTGTTCTACCTGTCAGCTCCTCGGCTGGTGTTCCTCCTTCTAGGGACACATCCGTTCCTACATCTTCGGTTTCGGCTTCTTCTTCTATTTCCTCCACTACCCCCGCGGGAACTTCTGCTGTTTCGACCCCGTTGATCACCACTCCAGTCCAAATGACTACCTCAACCGTGTATACCACCAGCGAGGTCACCATCACCAGCTGTGCCCCCGAGGTTGTGAGCTGCCCGGCAGACTCGACCACAGTCGTCACTTCGACTATCCCGATCTCGACCACTGTGTGTCCTGTCACGGAGACTACTGTTGCCGCTACCAGCTCAACATCTGTTGCCGTTATACCCGGCCCGAGCGGTGTTCTCCCTGTTAGCTCATCTGCTGGGGTTCCTCCTTCTAGTGATACATCTGTTCCTTTATCCTCGATCTCGGTTTCTTCTACCTTGTCTGTTACGACTGACACCCCCGGTGAAACTTCCGCCGCTTCGACCCCGTTGATCACCACTCCAGTCCAGATGACTACCTCAACCGTGTATACCACCAGCGAGGTTACTATCACTAGCTGTGCCCCCGAGGTTGTGAGCTGCCCGGCAGACTCGACCACAGTCGTCACTTCGACTATCCCGATCTCGACCACTGTGTGTCCTGTCACTGAGACTACTGTTGCCGCTACCAGCTCAACATCTGTTTCCGTTATACCCGGCCCGAGCGGTGTTCTCCCTGTTAGCTCATCTGCTGGAGTTCCTCCTTCCAGTGGTACACCCGTTCCTTTATCCTCGGTTTCGGCTTCTTCTACTTTGTCTGTTACGACTGACAGCCCCGGTGGAACTTCCGCCACTTCTACCCCGTTGATCACTACTCCAGTCCAGATGACTACCTCAACCGTGTATACCACCAGCGAGGTTACTATCACTAGCTGTGCCCCCGAGGTTGTGAGCTGCCCGGCAGACTCGACCACAGTCGTCACTTCGACTATCCCGATCTCGACCACTGTGTGTCCTGTCACTGAGACTACTGTTGCCGCTACCAGCTCAACATCTGTTTCCGTTATACCCGGCCCGAGCGGTGTTCTCCCTGTTAGCTCATCTGCTGGAGTTCCTCCTTCCAGTGGTACACCCGTTCCTTTATCCTCGGTTTCGGCTTCTTCTACTTTGTCTGTTACGACTGACAGCCCCGGTGGAACTTCCGCCACTTCTACCCCGTTGATCACTACTCCAGTCCAGATGACTACCTCAACCGTGTATACCACCAGCGAGGTTACCATCACTAGCTGTGCTCCTGACGTTGTGAGCTGTCCAGCAGACTCGACCACAGTAGTGACCTCGACAATCCCTATCTCGACTACTGTGTGTCCTGTCACAGAGACTACCGCAACTGATGTCGGCTCCACCACACTTTCACCTACAGGCACAAGCGTAAGCGGTATCTTGCCTATTAGCTCCCCGGCTGGAACTTCCACTGCTTCGACCCCGTTGATCACCACTCCAGTCCAAATGACTACCTCAACCGTGTATACCACCAGCGAGGTTACCATCACTAGCTGTGCTCCTGACGTTGTAAGCTGTCCAGCAGATTCGACCACAGTAGTGACTTCGACAATCCCTATCTCCACTACTGTGTGTCCTGTCACGGAAACTACCACAACTGATGTCGGCTCCACGCCTCTACCTACAGGCACAAGTCCAAGCGGCGTCTTGCCTATTAGCTCCCCGGCTGGAACTTCCACTGCTTCAACCCCGTTGATCACCACTCCAGTCCAAATGACTACCTCAACCGTGTATACCACCAGCGAGGTTACCATTACTAGCTGTGCTCCTGACGTTGTGAGCTGTCCAGCAGACTCGACCACAGTAGTGACTTCAACAATCCCTATCTCGACTACTGTGTGTCCTGTCACGGAAACTACCACAACTGATGTCGGCTCCACGCCTCTACCTACAGGCACAAGTCCAAGCGGCGTCTTGCCTATTAGCTCCCCGGCTGGAACTTCCACTGCTTCAACCCCGTTGATCACCACTCCAGTCCAAATGACTACCTCAACCGTGTATACCACCAGCGAGGTTACCATTACTAGCTGTGCTCCTGACGTTGTGAGCTGTCCAGCAGACTCGACCACAGTAGTGACTTCAACAATCCCTATCTCGACTACTGTGTGTCCTGTCACAGAGACTACCGCAACTGATGTCAGCTCCACCACACTTTCACCTACAGGCACAAGCCCAAGCGGCGTCTTGCCCGTGAGCTCCCCGGCTGGGTCAACTACTCTTAGTGGCACTTCAGCTGTTTCTACCCTAGTCGGGACCTCCTCGGCTCCTGGTGTGACCTCGGTTGCCTCTTCCCCTGCACCTTCGTCTCCTGCTGGCACTACCCCCGCTCCTGGAGAGGCTACCACCACTGTCGTTACTTGGGAGACTGTAACCACATGCCCGGTGACTAACACTGTTACCTCCGGTAGCTCGACTTTTGTGACTACCTCAAGTACCATTTCAACTGTTACTTTGACTACTGTCTCTACAATCTGCACCCAGTGCTCGGTTACAGCTACCTCCGTTGCTGGTCAGACCACCGTTGCCCCACCTGGTACACCTGGTACACCCGAGGCTTCGAGCACTGTCGTTTCTAGCAGCGGGCCATCCGGTACGCCCGAAGGATCAAGTCCTATCTTTTCCACGACTGAAGAGGCCTCTAGTCCCCTCCCCAGTGGCCCCGATGTTACTAGCTTGGTCCCCTCTAGCGTGGGTGCTGGAACCACATCTGCGATTCCCCAAGGATCGACTGCCACGGTTATAACTTATGTAACTGAGACCACCTGTCCTGTGACTGCCACCGTCACTTCTGGATCGTCGACGTTCGTCACGACATCCAACACGGTATCAACTGTTACGTTGACCTCCACTTCCAACCTTCCAAGCTCTGTCGCTGCCGGAAGCACTCCCGCTCCCTCCGAAACAGGCGTCTCCACCACCGCTCCTACGGGTCCCGCTGTCACCAGTACCATCTCATCTAGCGTCGGCGTCAGCTCTACACCCACCGTTCCGGAGGGTGAGACTACCACAGTTGTGACTTATGTAACTCAGACCACCTGCCCTGTAACTGCGACTATCACTTCTGGGTCATCAACTTTCGTCACGACGTCCAGCACAGTTTCGACTATTACCCTGACCTCCACTTCTAACCTTCCCAGCTCTGTTGCTGCCGGAAGCACACCCGCTCCCTCTGATACAGGTGTCGCCCCTACCACTGCTCCTACGGGTCCCGCTGTCACTAGTGTCGTTTCATCTAGCGTCGGCGTCAGCTCTACACCCACCATTCCCGAGGGTGAGACTACCACAGTTGTGACTTATGTAACTGAGACCACCTGCCCTGTGACTGCGACTATCACTTCTGGGTCATCAACTTTCGTCACGACATCCAGCACAGTTTCAACTGTTACCCTGACCTCCACTTCTAGCCTTCCCAGCTCTGTCGCTGCCGGAAGCACACCCGCCCCCTCTGATACAGATGTCGCCCCTACCACTGCTCCTACTGGTCCCGCTATCACTAGTGTCGTCTTATCTAGCATTGATGCAAGCTCTACACCCACCATTCCAGAGGGTGACTCTACCACCGTTATGACATACGTGACCGAGACAACCTGCCCGGTTACCAGCACCGTCACTTCGGGTTCTTCCACCTTCGTTACCACGTCCAACACAGTCTCCACAGTGACCCTCACCTCCGTCTCAACTATATGTACACAATGCGCCACTACCGCTACTGCTGCCACGGAGACCGATTCTCTTTCGACAGCCAGTAATACCCGGGCAGTCCCCACTGGTGTTTTCCCGGTATCGAGCCCAGCTCCATCAGCTCCCTGCCCGGATACGGTGCCCCAGTGTATCAACACCTGGCTCACCCTCGCCCCCAAGTGCACATCTAACAGCGATGTCTCCTGCTTCTGCCCTAACAGCGAGTTCACCAGCAAAGTAATCTCCTGCATCCAAGCCTGGGGTGCCTCCAAGGCAGATATCCAATCCGCCCTTTCCTACTTCACCGGTATCTGCGCTGCCTGGGTCCCTCAGAACCCAGGCATCGTAACCGCGATCCCGTCAACCATCACCCTGATTCCGACAGTGGCTCCTTCCGCGCCCCCATCCAGCGTTGCCGGCGCCAGTGTCACTACCGGCGCCGTCGTCCCTATCACCTCTGGCCCCACCGCCCCCTGCACAACAATCACCTACTCGACCTACACCGTCACCGTGCCGCAGGTCAGCTTCGTCACAAGCACCGGCACTAGCTCCGGTGCCACCCCAACCGTCGGTCTGGTTCCGGCTGTTCCTAGTGGCACTTCCCCAGCACGCAGCGGCCGTCTTTCCCGCTCTGCATCGGCCACCTGGTTGACCTCAAGCGGCTACGCGTACGCCAGTCGAAGCCCGATTAGAAGCGCTTTGCCCAGCGCATCCCCGGTCTTCAACTCGGCATCGAGTGTGTCGATCGCTTCTAGTCTTGTGCTTGCTTCTCTCGCTGCTTTCTTCAGATTGGTAATGTAGATGCGTTTTCCTGCAGATTAACCAACGAACATCTCGTGGTTTTCCTTTTCTTATCCCTTGTTTCTACAAATATGCACAGTGCAAATTGATTTGGTGGTTTTTCTTCTTACTTGCTTGTCTTCACGGACCCTGGGCTGGTTAGTCCTGGTTCTGAGGTGAACTATTGGCTGGGAATTGACGCAGATCCTAAAGGGATTTCTTTGTATTTTATTTATTCGCTCCCTAATTCAACGCGATAGACCTCGCCTTTTTTTTTTAAGAATGTCTGATTTAGTTATCTTCTGTTCTAAGCAAGTAGTTTTACTTGACTCGTATTAAATCCATTTACCCATAGTCATTAGGCTCTCTTGCATTCAGATATGCCATTGATCCATTCCCTTAGATTCAAAAAGTATGAGGCGTGAAGAATAAATCGACGTCGCCTAATTTCCCTTTTCTCTCTGCAACTTAACTTCTACGGTTCTATTGACCTTCGGGGCACCCGGACTTAATTGTGGGAATTGCAAAAAGGATGTCATTCCCTATGAGCTAGCTAATGGCAATAAGACGGTATGTCCCTCGGGGGTCTAATCAATACTCAGATATTCAGCATAGTAGTAAAGTCTTTGCTGCCTACATCCCCTGAATGTCCCTAATAGGTGTATCACTTCATTGCGAGGGTAACACGCCATCATCACATAGATGAGAATGTAAGTTCATGTCCAAATAGCGGTTCGAAGACGTCAACGCGCATCCTATCCAAATATCTGTCGCGGATACTTTTGGAAGCGCTTGATAAATGGTGCTGTTGAACGGGTTTCCTACCACATATATGGGTTACCGGTGAATTCGGAGAGGTTCGAGACATATTTTTGGAAGGCTTTGAATGAGAGTGGCAATCCCTGAGGCTGCCAGTGTTTGTATCATTTCAACTCGAACGTGTTGCTCGCCCTGTGGCAGCGATTTAAAGACAAATGATGTCCCTAACAGTTTCCAAGCCGCAGGTTCATGGTCCGTTGGCTCAAGTTGTTGGTAATTTCACGCTTTCTGGCTCCCCCGATTTTAGTTGATCCACCGTTATTGGCAGGGATGAACTGGTTTTGGTCAAGGTTTTCAATTCCATGAAGTAGGCTGACGCATCATCTGAAGAATAAATCATTAACCCACGAGAAGAACGCTGCCATCAATGCCCCGGGGCGCTAGGGTCGATCGGGGGCAAAAATGAGGCCACACGCGAACACTCAATGATTACTGCCTAGAAGAGTATGTTTGAAAATCTCTGTTCCATTTTCTATGGAAATTCTGGCTACCTAGGTTGTCTTGATGTGGGAAGCCTTTCATTGGGTTCAAGAAATCTCGCTCAAGACAGGCATTAACTCAAGAGGCTGACCGTTTCGATTTTTCAATGGTTTTGGATTGTTTTCGGGTCTTTTTTTTTCTTCATTTTCTCGTGATAAATTGTGATGTTCATAAGTATATTTGGTGGCCCAAATATGAAGAAATTTCCGTAAACAAAAACAAATTGCGGTCCCATGTCGTTTCGAAGGATATAGTCTTTCGTCAAGGAGTAGAAGTTTGACCGCGTTCTCGAAGGCACAGGGAGTGCTAGGTGTAATCAAGTTCGGCGTAATATTTAGCGGGCCAAACCTTCAGGACTTTCAAGCCACTCCAGATAATCCTTGACGCCTTCCTTGATCCCACGGAAACGCAACACGGAGCCAGCCCGGCGGAGCTTCGAGATATCAGCGCATGTGTGGTTCTGGTATTTGCCCTTCAGTTCGGCGGGGAATGGAATGAATTTAATGTAGCCCTCCGGATTACCGAAGTGACTGGCGACTTCAGTGGCAACGTCGTGGAAACTGCTGGCAACACCAGTGCCGACGTTATAAATGCCGCTGATCTCCGGGTGGTCAAGGAACCAACAGTTCAGGCGGGCAACGTCCTGAACGTGAACAAAGTCGCGCTTCTGCTGTCCAGCTTCGATTCCGGCGTACTCCCCGAAGAGCTCAATCGCTTTGAATGACTTGCGCTTTTCGTAGAACTGGTAAACAGTGCTGGGGATTGTATCGAGGTTCTGTTCTCCGGGTCCATAGACGTTGAACAGACGGAGACCCGCAACTTGGGGAGAGCGCGAGGTGGTGTTCTTGACCACATACTGATCGAATAGCATCTTCGAATATCCATAGACATTTAGAGGGGCTTCTTGGAAGTTTGCCTCGGTGAAGGCAGTGTTGTTTCCATAAACAGCGGCGGATGAGGCGTAGATGAAGCGAACACCATTGTCCTTGCACCAGTGGAAAAGCTCCTTCGAGTAAGTGAAGTTGGCGTCAAGCATTTTCTGGCCATTGGTCTCGGTGATGGAAGAGCTTGCGCCATAGTGAAAGATGATGCGGGGACGGTGGGGAAAGGTTTTGGTCCGAATAGCTTCACGGAAGGCAGTCGCATCGATGTAGTCAGCCACGTCGCAGTTCAGGAGATTGCGGAACTTGGATCCATCGGTCATGTCATCGACAACCACGACATTGGTCACGCCACGGCTGTTCAACTCCTTGACGATATTTGAACCGACGAAACTAGCGCCACCGGTAACAACAATCATTTTGGTTTGATTTGAAATGGAAAAGGCGGTAACTATGGAAGGTGAAGGTGAAGGGGATGGTGAAGGGAAGGTGAAGGTGAATGGGAAGGAGGAGAAGGAGGAGGAGGGAACTCAAGTTGGGAACTCAGAACTCAGTGATGGGGGTGAAGATGTTCATGAGAAGGAGCGACCAAGGTGAACTTCCTTCTTTGGATGCATCTCTAGGTGTTTGATGAATTGGTCACAAGAGGAAGCTTCGACTTCGGCTTTTACTCTTTTGTATAAGACTATGGATGAGAGTAACAAGAAACACTACCTACTATCTAGGTATATACCTACGTCGACATCATTGACACCACCGAGCCAATTCTCAACTCTTTCAGCTCGAGCACCAGCGGTAGAATCATCAGACTCACATTCATCCACCTCCTCGTCCGAGTCATTTGCGATCACAATCCACGAGTGCTGAAATATTCCCTTTTCGTTCGGCGGAAATCCATCTGACCGAAGCCAGCAGAATATTCCCCGAGTAGGATTATCCGATTTTTCATCCGAGTACAGATCATACTCACAATCCTTTGGTAGAGCAGGAAGATCCGCACAGGTACCCCCTAGTTTGGGATCAGACACACACATAGAAAAAGGCGCAGGCACAGACGCAGACTCCGGCGCACAATTAGATATCGAAAGCAACGATGAAAACCGCGCCTCTACCCCCGTATCCTCAACCCTCGACCCATCCCCAAGCTCCCAATCCCAGCCCTCATATTCCAAAACATGGCATCCACACCCCAGATGCTCTCGAAGCGAAATATCCGTATCACAGATCTTAGTACTGCCAAATGGCTTCCACTGCCAGGAAGTAACATAGCCGTGATTATAGCTCCCGTCAGTGGGCGTTGCAAGGAAAAGCAGCCTACACTCATCCTCACGCCGGACAAAATCTGCATCGGTATCGTAGGTACCAGGTGGCTGTGTCATAAATGTAGTCGTAACTCCCATCCACGCCTCAGCCTCAAGTGAAGGTGCCGTCATCCCCTGCTCGCATTGCTTCAGGTATGTGCTACTTCTTCCCATAATCGCTGCGCCGAGCCAGAGACTGGCTACGCGTGGTTGACGTGCTGAGAGACCATGGAGAAGACGTGGGATGTTGTTTTGTTTGATGATTGGGTTTATTACTGCGAAGGCTGGGTTCTGCCATGCGCTGACTAGATTGCATGGTATGTCTGGGTTGAAGAAGGTGCTTTTCAATGCCGGTAAGGTTGTGAGCCACATTTCGCTGCTTAGGGTCATGTAGTATGGGAGGAGCTTTTCGTGTTCGGATATTAGAGCTGAGATTGATTGGGGGGCTGTTTGGGTATAGTGGTACTCGGGGTTTTTGGTGGGTCTTGGAATCGGGAGAGTCCGTGGTTTGCGGAGGAAAGAGTCGCGCGTGAAAAACGATGCTGATAGCGCTGCTGTGCATTGTGCATAGAGGCGGTGGTGTTCGCAGAAGCGGGTGAGATACTGGAAGGCTGTTGCTGGTGATGGGGGTTTGTACGTTATCGACTGGAGATTGATTCCGTGTTTCGCCCGCATTGATATAGCTCCGCCTAATGAAACGGACCATGGCGAGACGAACCTCTCGGACTCGTATTCCACGCATATTTTCCATGCAGGTGTTCCAGAGAGTATAGCGTTCCACCACACGATTTCGGCTTCGCTTGCGCCTGGAGGCAAATCAACCTCTATGACCTCTGGTTGAACTGATACTTCGGGTTCTTGACAGGTTTCAAATGAGTATTTTGTTGAACAATGGTGCTTCTCGGAGCAATCGAGCAACTCTGCCCATTTCGCAGATAGAATGTATGCCCAAGCCAAGAACAAGACGGCGATGTAGTTACCCTTGTCATAGCCAGAGATACCACGCACACCAGGCCATTTGGACAAAGGGACATCCTTGGATAGTTCCACCTTTCGGGCTTCTGCAACACCTAGCGGAAGTCCCAACGGTATGACCTTAGACGGGGTAATACAGTCCGCGCCAGCTTTGGTCGTCTGCCATCTCGACTGACCCTTTATCTCAAGCTTGTCACGGACTTTAGCACAAGCAAATGAGAATACTTTGTCCGAGGGAATCAATCCGTCGGCGAGAAATGCAGGTGTGTCTTTGAGAAGGGATTTGAGGTCGATGCACTCTAATGGAAGGAGGCTATCGCTGGTGTTGAAATGTGTGGACCATAACTGATAGCTCGCGCGGAGTGTGTACCCAAAGGCTTCTTTGCTTGGGCGGAGAGCGTCTTCCATGTTTAATGTATAGATATTGAAAGGAAGGTAATCACGGGCGAGTGAAGTGGGACTAGATAGTGCGGCTCATTCCGAAGCTCGTGCTGTTCACCGCTAGTTGATGCATCATAGACGTTCATTTTGATATTACGGCGCTTGGCTCATAATCGGAACTCCGTTACTTCAATATAACTGGAAACGACCCATCGTTCATAATACCCACCTACGGAGTACAGATTACGTTCTTATCCTCTCTCCTAAGAATACCCTCAATTTGGGTCCAAGCAATCCTTCCCGATAGTCTGGGGTCGGGGGCGAGTGCGGAGGGGCAGAACGGCCAAAGGTTAAATGCCTGAATTATAGACCGCTTTCGACACCGCTCTATACGTGAATTGAACCTATTCCCATCCCACAAATCACCGGTTTTTTCGAATCCCGAGCGTTGAAAACTGTCCCGGCCGTATAGAATACCTCCTTAGATTTGATCGGTTGCAATAGCTTCAACGCCGAGAAATAGGTGTATACGGAGATTTGTATGGCGGGAATAGCTTACACCCGAGATTCTGCCGGTTAAGTATCCACCAATGAAACTAATGACTAATTGGCGGTATGTCGAATTAAGAAGGCGGTAGCGGAAGGGTGTGTTAACACTTTTGGGAGATACTTTGCTTATCAAGCTCTCTGTAAGAGTGATTCAAATATTTTGATTTCTGCCAGTCTAAAATAAGGCAGAATTCAGGCATATTCAGGCACATTAATGTCTTAAGCCTGAGAATTCAGGCATTTGACCTTTGGCCGCTCTGCCCCTTCGCAGGCGACAACAAAATGAGATTGTGGGGCGAGAAACGGTGGAGAGGCTGACGGGGGTCGTGCTGAATTGATTCCCGTTCCTAACGGGTGCTGTCAGTTTTATTATCGAGCGCCACCAGTGCTTACGAATGTGGCTTTTGAAGAAGAAAAAAGAATTATATTAATGTGCCGAAGATAGGTATACGGAGAAATCGATGTCTCTCCGCAACGGAGGCACCAGAATACACCCGGAGTGCACACTCCACTGTGCATATAGTATGCATATGGATGAATCAAATTCTGAGCCAAGGGAATAAAATAATACAATTATTGAACTTCTCCTTGCTATTTTGCCGCATTTGCCACAAATATAAGTACGAAGTAGAATAAAGTACAATAGATCTACCTGAGTGCATATGACAGTTGACATATGAGGATCTCCTATCTTGGTGGTAAAGATAAGCCCAAAGCCCTAGATTGGCTGACAAGGGGTTGAAGACATTTCTACTTGTAACAACCGTCAATGGGAATCAAGTCAACTCTAAACTCGAACTAAACTCGAACTACCATCTCATTCTCTGAGCTATTGAACATTACTCTTCCCTGCCGTCGAGATAAGCCCTCCTCCACCAGTAGGCGCCCATTATTCCCTGGTTCTTTTGACACTCGTGGAGCTATGGGCATTGACAACCGCATTGTCCAGAGTGACATGGTTCGTTATATTAAACCCCGGCTTTCCCAGTTATGTTGGATCTGCAAACGCTTTCTGCAGGTCATACCAGTATGTCTCACCACGAACACACCTCACTATGGTGGCCCGAAGAGCGTATCAAATCTACCCTCAACGCAAAGTACATCGTCAGTCGTCTGCGACCAGAGAATATCCCACGTCTCTTTGAATTACCAGACTGGGGCGAAGGTTTGACCAGCGAGACGTACATGGAATGGATCCTCACAAAGGCCGGTCGTGTTTTCATGATCCTTGATGCCATCGGCATTCCCGATCGGATCTTCGCGCTAGTCGACGGATCCTGCGACGATGATGATCTACCCGTCGCGGAACATAGCGTCGATTTACTACATTTATCCCCCGATGGAGAAGATCTTACTCTCGAGGATAGTTTCTTTCATGCACAATGGCATTTCCTGGTCCGTGGGATAGATGAGGGAGACCATGTCGTCTATACTGAGAATGAGGGTGTGCCGGTCGAGGCGGTACGCACCAATACCGGCAGCGGCATACACGGCCGTGATGATACGGTAGACAGGGTAGTCCTCGCCGGATCGGTTTGTCGAGTCTACATGCGAACCCAAGTGCAAGTTGGCGGTGCACCGCATTTTTTCTCTGCTGATGAGGTTCTTGCTGAGATCCGCAACTTGAAAAAGCTGTCGCACGAGCATATTGTCTCCGTCTTTGCCTCATATCTGAAAGATGATAGCGTCTCAGTGCTTTTCACGGGCGCCACGGCAGATCGAAACCTACATAGTTTCCTAACATATGAGCCGATGTCCTTCAAACGACTTGAAAAAGAGCGACGTCGTCAGATCTTGATCACCTGGCCCCACTGCCTTGCATCTGCAGTCTCCTGGCTGCATGCACGCGGCCACTCCCACGGTGATATCCGCCCATCCAACATCTTCATCAACGCAAACTTTGACATCTGCCTCGGTCAATTCCAAGCACTCGACTCCCTCCTGACACCACCACAGGTCAACGACCTTGAGGCATACAACTACTCCGCCCCAGAGCGCTGGACTCGCCCTGCAGCCCCAGTCATCCCGCAAAAGTCAGCACAGCCCTCCCAAACACTCCTTCAATCCGGAGGACGTACAAAGCGCAGACAACGACCAACATGTGTAGCCCTAGCCCCATTGAACGAAAGCCCACCAGCATCCCCAGACGGTACAAGACCAAACTCTGCCGCTTCAAAGGGCACAGTAATCCGCATCGGCCAACCAGGCTCACCCACCCGCTTCTCCTTCGCCTTCTCATCCTCTTCTTCATCCTCCGAGGCCTCCTCAGCGGCGTCATCAACCCACACAGACGCAACAGCAACATCCCCCCAACCAATAAAACACCGCATCTCATCCTTCTGGTCGCGAAGAAACAAAAATCCCCCTCAGCCCCATCAATAACCTCAACCTCAACATCCTCCTCCTCAAACACATCAACCATAACATCCCCAAATCCCCAGCCCTCCCCTTCGTCAGCCCTCTTCCCAATCCCGCCTTCCTCCCTCCATCACTCCAAATCCACTCAATCCCTAACACCATCCTTCACAAAACCCCTAACCTCCCAAACCTCCCAAACCTCCTTTGAACCCCAACCAAACCCCCACGCCCCAGCAGACATATTCTCCCTCGCAGCAATAACCCTCGACATCCTAACAACCCTACACAAAAGAACCCTAGCATCCTTCAGCACGCACCGCAGCGCCCGGAACCGATCCGCGGGCCGCGGTGGCGGGATAGCAGATGCATCGTTCCATCTCGCGCGAAATGCCGTGCAGGTTCAATCGTGGATTGCATTGCTAGAAGGGGATGCATTGAAACGATGTCGACGGGATCGACTCTCGGATCGTGCGTTCTGGGCTGTGTCGAAGATGTTGATTGTTGTACGGTCTATGCTTGATTTTGAGAGTGGGAAGAGGCCGCTTGCGAATCGCGTGAGGAGGGGGTTTGCCGATGCTATTACCCGCGGACGTAGTGGCGAGGATAAGGATGGGATGCCGGGGTTGCATTGTGTGAAGGAGAAACGGGGGAAAGAGGGGACATTCAAGGGATCTAAGGAGAAGGAGAAGGAGAAGGAGGGGGACAGAAATAGGGGAATGGGGGCTTGGAGGTTATTCGGGAGACGGGGGTTGGGAGGAGTGCTTTTCATAAGTAGGTGGAGGAGATGTACGATAATGTCTTGATGGTCGAATGATCGGATTCTTTATGCAGCCAGCACTAATAATTCATTTCTTGTGTACACTCCATTCTTCGTGAAAAGACAGACCTGAGATAACATAACCTGTATGCAAATACAGCACGCCGACTCCAATATATCATGCAGTGGCTTAGCCGAACTCTTCTATCCCAAATCTGTGATGCTATCAATACAATGGCTTGAGCCGCAATCATCAAGTGTCGAGTATGAAGAAAACAACAAAATCAAAGCCAAATGGCAACGGCACCCAGCAGACCAGACAGCACCAAAGATCCAGCAAGCAAGCGCTCAGTAACTGGCGAGCCGACGGTCACAAAGTGCGCAGTGCCTTCCTTTGTTGCCGATGCAGTGGCAGAACCGCTTGAGCCAACAATAGTAGCCTTGTTGTTCTTACCGGTCGTTGTGGAATCAGATCCCTTCTTATTAAAGGTCTGTCCCAAGGTAGGAAGCGGCGAGCTTGGGTCAACTGCCCATCCACCAGAGGTCGAGGCAGGACACTCGATGGCGGTGAGGCTGGATGCGCTCTTGCGATAGGCGGAAAGGGCAACTCCGGTCGGGTGCAGAGTAGCCCACTGAGACTTGAGGTTCTTAAAATCAGGGGACACGGGCGTCGGTGTGCCCCTGCGGGTAAAGCCATCCTCGATGCTGCTCGCGGTCGCAGTCGCAGCGTCGACAGAAGGTCCGTAGCTGATCAACCCATAGTCGTTTGTCTCCTCAATCCACTCGTATATAACCGATCCAGACCAAGTATCAGACATGTGCTCACCAAAGATGGCGGCCTGGTCCTCGAACGTGCGAGGTGAGGGGGTGTTGCAGCCAGTCTCGGAGAAGAAGATAGGGATTGGGTAGTCAGTCGCGTTCTTCTGTAGAATATTGTATCCAGACTGTTCATAACTAGACTCACCGCACCATTCGTAGGCGTTCAGCGAGTAAAAGTCCAAGCGCTCGGATGCATTCTTGGCACAGGCCATGTAGTTTTGCAGCATAGGTCTCAGATCAGCAATATCAGCTGCAGAGTAGCCAACGGGGATCTCGCGATAGCCCTTCTTATCACGGTAGTCCTTGATATCGCGAGCAGCCGCCAAGACATAGGGGGCAGCAGCGGAGCCATCGGCCGTGGTGAGCACCTCATTTCCGACCAGGACACCGGCAGTGTTGTCGAACTTTTGGAATTCATCGAGCACCTCCTTGAAGTGATCAAACTGGGTCTGGTTCCAGTGAGGCTCGTTCTGCGATCGTCAGTAGATGATCCACACGAGGAAAAAGTGGACCTACCTGTTCGATCTGGGTATTGAAAGTGTCCAAATCGACGAACAAGTGGATTCCTAAACAATCGCATCAGTACGCATAATTACCCTGGGAAGTGGAATTCAATCATACCAGCATCGGCGAGCGCCGACATACAGCCCTTGTGATCAGCATGGGGATCCACGTGGTACACACGGATCGCGTTGGTGCCCAGCTCGGACATCCGAGCAATATCGCGCTTGCATTGGGCAGTGTCGACAAGCGGGTCACTTGGGGTAAGCTGATAAGCAATACCTAGTCAAGTCAGTTAGGTACTACCTACAGTGTAGGATTCTTAGGTACCCTTGATGTAGAACTGGGTGCCGTTCTCGTAGAAGAACTTGGAGCCGACGGCGGAAATGGGCGAGATTGCGCCCACTGCGGTAGCCTGTAAGCCAGCGAGTAGCAATGGCACTGCCAAAAATGCCAGGGATGACAACATGATTAAATTCTGTGGAAGTAACAGTGTAATAGACGATGCGATGAAATAGCAATGACTTGAAGAGGAGAAAAGCAAAGTCTCTCAATTCTGGTATGTACGTTGACGCTCTTGACGCTCTTGCCCGGACAACGAAGGAATCAGGGCAGGTGCAAACGAAAAAAAAGTTCCAACCCCACGATTTTAAGGAAAGAGGGAAAGCAGACGTGAAACATGAAAAGAGGTCCATCTCTCAATTTCTTCAGTTCCTTGATTTGGGACTGTAGCAACCAAATTCATCTGCAGGGCGTTTATTTCCAAACTAGCGTGCTTCATTCCTGACCTCATTTGGGGCATTCCAGATAGTATTTTGTTGGGTTTAAGCTTCAAGGGATACGGAGGACAGAGTACAAAGTAAATTAATCAGTGGGTTAGAGTACACAACATATACGACTGAAGTACTCCGTATGTTATACACCTGGGCAACTTCAAATGTTGACTTGTTGTCTAGCCCGTCGCTGTTGGGGCCCAGCCCTAATTCCCCATACAGATATATCACAATATCACACAATTGAAGGAGCAATTGAAGTATGGAGTATGGAGTAAATCAAGATTATGGAGTACGTACTACAAATAAATAGTTACTCAAGTAGGTAGAAGATGTGCAGTCTCCAGTTAATATCGAAATATTTAAAATTAATACTTCCTAGGTTGTTCTGTGTACTCCGTACTCCGTACTCCCTTCCAATATTGTTATCCCCTAAACCCAGAATATACCGAGTTCCACAACACATCTAGCCCCTACAACATATACTATAAATACTTCTAAAATATAAAAATAATATTCTTATATTGGAAGGCTTGAGACATGTCTATACTAACTAGTTAACTAACTATTTATTGTCGCTATTACCACTGTGCCACGATGTCCGACAGGTACTATTTGCTTCCCCCATCTTGAACCCTGTCAATCACTTCCTTAAATCCACTCTTACTGGACATGGGAAAGATAGTCCTTCAAAAACCTGGCACACGGCAACTCATCGATCGGCAGATTATTTAATTTTATTATTTCTTTCAGAAAAATTCTGTATATTGTAGTTATCGTACGAAGTAACTAACTAGTTATAGGGATGTTCTTTGTTCATAGGATTGGGCAGGCATCAGGCTAGGAAGAAATCAAGGTCTCGTGGACCCCTAATGCATGTAACTTTGAATCTCACTACAACATAGCAATAACGCAAACAAGATGGGAAGTCTTTTTAAATTCCAGACTGCCACGTTACTCCACTGGGCGGTTTTCGGCGGTCGCCATCGGGGGGGCTAGAACGAGGTCCTTGCGAGATAAGGAGGTCAGGGTATTATGGCGAATATCTCGAGATTGATGGCAGATGATGTTGAAAAAAAAACACAACAAAAGTAGTACGCAAAATCGCAAACAATAACGTCGCATTCGTCTAATATCTATGTAATTGGGTGTATTGTGTTACCTCTTAAGTAGTAGATCTATAAAAACACCCCTAACATCCTTGGATGTGCAACAGTCCAGACTTCACTCCAATCTCCACTTCCCCACTTCATTCCGACATGTCCACCAATTATCATCGCCATACACAGAGTGTTCGTCAGCTAGTGGATCCCTCCATTAGGATCGTCTGGGCCTTCACTTGAACTTGTCACCCAAAAACGGGAGACTCTGTAAATGACGTTTCCGCAAAGGGGGAGAGGGGGGGGAGTATAATATCCAGCCCGCATCCGGCCCTAGATTATTTTTCTCGAATGGACTACTTCAAGTCAGCCCTATCCTGTACCTGGTTTTATCGATATCTCGACATGGTTCTATAAGCCCCTATATCATTATACCCGATCGCACGATCCACAATAAAAATACCCGAGATACATACGATTCGATATATCATCCACAATGGCCTCCCCGTTCCACATCACACGACATGAGCAAGTCGAGCTAGAGCGCAATGAAGCTTTTCGAGTAATGCGCGAACAGCTCCGCCGCCAGGAATGCGGTATGGAGCGACCGAGTTTCTGTGCCGGCCATCGACACTCATGCACCTCCACCGAACAAGAAACCTACCGCCTCCACCGCGACATCATCCACACCCTCCTCGTTCCGCTCTTCCTAATCAACCACCAAGCCGAGCGTATCGCAGCACGCACCCTCCCAAGCCAGAAAGGCGCCGAGCCCGAACGCGCATTCCGCGGAGAAGCCCGCAGCGCCTTCGCCTGGCTGAACTGCATCCTCACCGAAGAACATGACTGGTACCTTACAGCTCGCTGTCCCGCCTGCATCGTCCAGCACGTGCTACACTCCGAGCCGACGATCCGATTCGTCGCAGTCGCCTCACAGCTCGCAGGACCCCGCTCCGGTTTCCGGTGCTGGCTGAACGCCCTCGAGACAGCCGTCTGCGAAGATCCCTTCTGGGGCGATGCCTTCTGGCCCGATATCGAGGAGCGTGCATCTCGTTTAACTGACGGTGTGCAAGAGCTCGTCCGCCAGTGCTACGAGCTCAGCGCGACACTCGATAACCCGGCTCGGACTCGGGTTAATCCGCCGCTCGCCAAGACCCCCATGCCTGTCTACGGCAGTCGCTCCGCCTCGTGCACAATCCCCTTGAAGCCTTCTAGTTTCGCGCGGAAACAGCTCCGCCTCACGCGGGAGGAGCAGAGATACCGTTCCTCGCTTATGTGGAATTGCTCGCAGGAGATGACACAGCCGCTGGCCGGCTGCACTACTGCGACTCAGTCTCGGCGCCGGTCACTGACTTCATGAGGAAGATCTTTTGGGCCATGGTGGCGACCCTCGTTGCCATGTGCATTTCCTCTCACCTCTCAACTCTCAACCAAGCCGGATTTCTCAAACAAACCGGTTACTCTACACACCGCCGACCGGGACTTTTTTTCAGAATCAGCCCTTTCTTTGCCGATTGAAACCACTCGGGATTCCAGAAAGGTATCTACGGACCTTGGGAATTTACGTTGTACAGAGAACCCTATCGGGGATTTTGCGGATGTCAATTCCCAGATCTCATGGGACACATGGTACTCCCTGGCGTTCCACGCGACCGAGACCAGATTCTCGATATGCAAGGGTCTTTGCGGATCTGGAGTCCGCTGTGATGATGCAATCAGACCCAGAACCGTGGATGATTAAAGTATCCCACCTACTCGGGTCGATGGAGATACTCCACGGCTGAAGAATGCGTCGGTCTACATGGCCGACGGGAATGATGTGATTTGTCGATCATGTCGGATTACAGTGATTATACCTACATGTAGGTGTAGTGATTGTATGATAGTATAATTTTAATCATAATCTACCTTTTTTTTTCCCCCGACCATGGTTTCTATCATGTAGCGCGAATGCACTTAATATCAGTTGACGTATACTCTTCTATTTGACTTTCGTGTACGGAGTATGTATATATTAACCATAAAGTAGCCAACTCCACATGGCATGTCAAATAAATTCTTAAATTTGCTAATTCACATGATCCTGATGGAGTACAACACAGCATGACAATCCCAAATTAATCTAATGCCGTGGCGAAATACTCTAAGTGAGACGGTGGAGTCAGTCGGAGATGGGAACAGGGAAGTGAACCAGATCTCGGCGCACGGTGGAAATTAAAACGGTCCCAACGTCCCTCAGACGATCGGGCTAGATCTGAATCTGGATTATATGGGGTTGCCTGTCATAGTACCACTCGGATTCCAGGATTCTGAGATTTCAGGGTCTCCGGAATGCGAACTGGCTGCGAACTAGACATTGCATAAATCTTAGACTCAAGCATATATATGCTTCATTCGACGTATAATATATATCTATACAATATATCTCTATATATTTATATTGTAGCCTTGTATGTACTAATGCGTTGGCAACGAGTATATGCCGATGCCCAACCCCTCTCCGGAAACGGAAGGGACTACATTCGTATGCGTATACACTGGGAAGTACAGAGTACTCAGTACCTCAACCCAGGCCCACGCTCCACCTACGTTCTGTGGTACTGACGACTTGTGAAACCGAGACCACATTAAGGGAATATATAAAAGCGTAATATAGTCTTATGCTTGAGTCTGGTTCGGGTAATGAGGACTTCATTTTAAGTATCAAATATAATATCCAAAGTGTAGGGTGTACATGATTTTAAAGTGTATTCTGGTCTCAACTTGCACAACCCGAAAATGATCGTCATCCCCGTGCCAAGATGAAAGCCCATCGGTCGCTCTAGACTACATATAGGTGTATATATATATTATATTTTATGCACAATTATAACTATACGTTGGACTTGTATTATTCTATATAATTTTACTATAGTTTAGTTCTATCGGATTAATTTCATTTAATATAATATATATATATATATATATCTCTCTCTATAAACTAGAATATCCCTTACAGCAAAAAAAAAAAAAAAAAAGAAAAAGAAAAAGAAAAGTAAAGTGGAAACCGATGACTCCATGACTTGGAAGGTCTAGACTGTCCCGACCTGAAGAGTCTGGCCCCAACCCTTGCCCCAGTTTGTACCCAGTACATGATCTAGTACCCTATAGTCCATACTATGCCGAAGTACCCAATACCCACTTTGCCCTTCCCGTCAATTTCCATTCGATTCACGCCCTCTTTTGCTTCTTCTTTTGCTTCTTCTTCCTCTTCTTCTCCCCTTCTCCCCCATCACTTCTTCTTTTCCCCTCCAAATATTCAATCATTTTCTCCCTAACTCCTTTCTTTAACATCGTCTCTATACCAACTCTCAAATTTCCCGCTTATTCACACTTGGAACCGATCATCATCTTTTAGTCATATTTCGATCATCTACCATCATTTGACGGATGATTCATGACGGCTGCCATCTCTTTCCGCCCGTTGGATAAAACAGACTGGATGCCACCCTCGTGCAATGGACAATATTGGCCTGTCACTCCAACTGTTAACGATCACACCATGCATGTCCCACCAACAGTGAAACTTGACACCAGAGACCATCTTCCCCAGAACTCAGATACACAGGAAACTGTAAACCCCGCCAGGATTCGCCGACGAGCTTCACAAGGATCTCTTCGGACAAGACCGTCGCCGGTATCTCGCTTTCTCTCCAAGAGCAGTGTTGCCGTGAACTTCCCATCGTGGGATCAACGTGCCTCGCCCAGTTCGCCCAGTTCGCCCTATCGTTTGGAGTCTCGCACTCGGTCGGTTGACTCCCGTCTTCGTCTCTCAACCACTGTGTCTCGCGGGCCGAGGCCTTTGGCTGCTTCACCCGCTTGGAACTCTCATTATCAATCCGAATACCCCGCCACATTACCCCCCACGCCGCCAGAGGAGGACATCCACGTTGCGTGGAACCCCAAATCCGAGATGATGTTGTTTGACACACATTCCCATCACCCGGGATCCATGGCAATCATGGACGACAACCCGAGTGTGGAAAATTCCTCTGCGACCGGTGCTTCCGATGCACTCAGCAGCCCATCCGATGGGCTCTCTCATATGTCCTCCAGCTCTGGAGGCAGCCCTGGGCCCCGCGATGACATGGATTGCCAGCAGGACATTGGCTCATGGCTGGATCATGGCATCGACTTGACTGGTAGGCTTTGCAAACATCCGTGCTTCAAGCCCAATCACTGACCTTTTCTAGCTTCATCACTTGCCCTCTGCAAGACACGAGGCGAGGCCGTCAAAATCGTTTCCCAGACTCTTCCATATCCCAGAACATCTGATCAGGCGGTCTCAATACCGAAAACTGACAGTGTGTTTTCCTCCATCGTGCAAGCAGTCCACAATCATTTGCAACCTGGCCAGTCTCCCTATATCAATGTCACCCACGCAGTACCGGAGCAATTCAGTCTTTCAAATCTGCCCCACTCTCCTCCCAGCACTCCTCGTTCTCCGACTGCTGCCGAGGATTATTTCAACGCCACGGTTTTCTCCAGTGCGGCAGTTGTGGGTGCTTACCACGATTACCGTGGACCCCTCCAACGGCAAATGTCACACGCCCCGATGCCCATTGTCCCCCCTCGCAGCGTCAACATCTCGGTTCTCGAGCGCTATCTCCCCCCAACCTCCGCTCAAGAGTATCGTGATCTGTTTTGTCGTACCCGTCCGTCTTTCCTTGTTGATCGCATGAGCGAGCTATCGCCTAATGGCGGCTCTCTCCTCTTCGTGTATCCGACGAAGAAAGGTGCATCAACCTTCAAGTCCCAATACCTGGGCCCCATCCTCGACCCCCTTCTCCGCCAACTTGTTGTGGTGAATGAATTGTCCGCAGACGTGGGCCGCTACCTCGGCAAGCTCTCCTCCGTCTCTCAAATGGACGACTTCGCCACCATGAAGGCAAACATCGTGGCACTCTGCGAATCACTGAGCGACAACAATTCCTCCTCCCGATTCCATATAGCAGATGCAGGCCGCGGAGAGGCCCACCTCGACCGCAATCTCTGGGCCGAGTGGTTCATACACCAAGAGAAGGCCCGTATGAAGGAAGTCCTCAGTCTGTACTGGCAAAACGGCCGCCGCTCATCTAAGAACGCAAGCTCCGGATGCTCCGGCATGATGGGCAATAAGGAAGTCACATCTTCTGGACTCCTGAGTGAGATCTGCGATGGCATCCGCAAGCGGCGCTATTACGAGGACAATGAGCCTCGTGATGGTATCGAGCTTGGTGTTTTTGTGATTCGTCGAACGAATTAGATTCTTGCAGCATTGCTAGATCGCTTTTTGCTCCCTCCTCGAATCCTCACCCCTCCCCTCTTTTCATTCTTCCACTACCCCTCTTCCGCAATAGCATATTTTAACAAACGGCCTTCACAAAAGATGACATGGGACCCATGGAGGTGCCCCCGGTGTTGGATTTCGATTTTTCGGTGCGAAAATAATTCTTTCGCACCTTTTGCATGGCTCGTTTTGGGGAATCTATTCCCCACGCGAACATTTTTTTGGATGAACTATGAATACCCCGGTTATTGGCGATTCGGGTTTTATGATTTCTTTTTTTTTTTTTTGGTTCTGTCTTGATGACGGATAGATATACACGACTTAGTGGGAATATATTTGCTATTAACAATATATTTTTTTTTCTTTTTCTGTAATTCTAGGATATCACCGGTCTAAGTATACATGTATGTTGGGGTTGTGCCGGTGGTTCCGTCAGGTTCTCGTTAGGCATCACCGAGATTTGCCTAGACATAGGGTCAGCCCTCACCTTACCACTTTAGTCCTATGGCTTTCATTGTAGAAGATTGGTTATCTATTTTAGTTCTAGCGTGATAATTAATTGATTCAGCACTTCCAGGCACGCTTATTGTAAAAAGAAGTTCTTTGCGGGGACTTTTTACCTCATTCTACTGCTTGGGGGCTGAATGGACATGAATAGGCACCTACAAAGACAAAAGGTAAGATACCTAGAAAGACATTGTAAGACGAATCTCGATGTAAAGTAATCATTTTGACCTTTCCCTATTGATCAACGTTCAATAGCCATTATCTGTATACAGTGATCAAAATTGTACAATTGACGGGCCATCTATGCCAAACCTTAGTATACATAGCTTACAATAGCTGTGATCTGAATCGGTAAGGAACACCAATAGAGGGGAAACTGATGTATATCTTCTACTTCTTCCACACTGTTTCTCTCAAATTAGAATTAAAAAGTCCATTTCCTGTTACCTTGTCTCCTTCACCTCATTGCCTATTCTCCTCGGGGGGCGGCCAAATATTCTGCCGTCCATATTCGACTGTGACCCACCCCTCTCATCTCATCTTCCTTTAATCACTAACTTAATGCTATCTATGCAACCTACCACCCTTTCTCGCCCATCCTCGTCACATACAATGTCCTACTCAAACCCTCCGCCCCTTAGCCCTGGCGGCGGGGCTGGCGGTGCACCCTCGAAACGCGACAAACGGCGCACCGCGCTCCAGGAGCGGCTCCAAGAACTGACGGGTCAGTTCAGCAACAACCGGGACACTCAGTTTCGTCAGCAGTTGCATGCACTCCAGTGCGATATGACCCTGATCAACAGTGCTGATCCTTACGTGACTGGTCCGCTGCCGGACTCTGCGGAGAGCATTTCTACGCTGATCGAGGATACTGTTGGTGGCGGCAGCAAGTTTGCGAAAGAAATGGCTGGCATCGCTGGATCCTGGTATTCCAAGTTTGTCCAGCAGGTCAATGAGATCAAGGAGAAGAGAGACGCAGAGTTGGTCATGGCTATGGTGAGTTACATGCTTGTCTCATCTATAAGGAGTTTTTCCTAACCAGTGACTTTTTTTTTATCTATACAGAATAACTACAACAACGTTATGGAAAGACAACAGCGGGACCGTGATTTCCGCACTTACTTCGCACAAGAAGAATTCCGTCATCTGTCTTCCACCCTTCGAGAGCGATTGGTGCAAAACATCTCCGGCAAGCGCGCCCGTCTGATGCGTGAAAAGGAGCAGCTCGACATCGCTGACACCAATGCCCTTCTCCTTCACCCGAACCAGTTCAGCATCACAAACCCTGCTAGCCCTGGTGGCATCCACAGCAACCGCAAGACCACTCGGCACACCCGTCACCGCGTTGACCTCGACGAGCTGGGCAACGGTTTCATGTCGGAGCTGAACAAGCGCAAGCGGAAGGCTCCAGAGGAGGAGACTGGGTCGCCTGCGCGGGACGCGGGCGATGCCACTCCCGCCAAGCGCCACAAGGCCGAGGTCACGAAGGAGCAGATGGCACCTACTTACTCAATCCACTCCCTTTTCACCGACAAGGAACTCAATGCCCACGCAAACCAGGCACACCTCGCAGCTGTCCACTTTTTCTCTACCTCCAGACGCCCAGACCACGGCTCCGGTGCGGTGACAAACGGCAACAATACCGATGCCGAGGATACCCCCGGAGGGCACAGGCCACGAAGATAATGGCACCCCTAGTGCGGCGGACATGATGCGCACCGCCAGCCACAACTTCCACGCCACCAGATCCACCCGCACCACCGCCGCGCACAGCGCGCTGAGTGCTCTAGCCGACCTGGCCGATAAGCCCGCCACCCGTCCGATCCTCCCCTACCACGTTCTCTCCAACCACCACGCCCGACCCAACGGCAATGCACCCCCATTGACCGCCCTAATGAACGAGGAAGTCGATGACGACTGCGCGCGCATCGGCCGCCTCGCTAGCAAACCACCCAACTGGATCGACACATCTCTAGTCGAACTCGTTGCTGCACCTCTTCCTACTTCCGCAGAACCGGCCGATGGCCACCCAACCGATCCCGCGATCTTCAGCCAGCTGCACCCGGATTTCTCGCCTTCTATGGGTATCGACTGGACTCCTACCGTCCACCAGCCCGGCTTCGAGATGTTCCAGCCTGCTGCTATGGAGCGCGAGCGCAGTCGAAAGCGGACGCGCAATCATTAGGGATTTGCACATGAAGTTTTGGATGTACGTTTAAGATGGGTTGGGATGGTGTTTACCGCTGGATGCGGTTACGGATTACCCTTTATCATTGATCATATTAGCTATGTTGTGAGGGATGGACCTCGGAGGTGTTTTGGGATTTCGATATCTATACTGTTTTTTTTTTTTTTTCCCCTTTCTGTATTTTCTTTTTTTTTTCTTCGAAGACTAATGTTCGCTCCAACCTGTTAGGCGTTGTTGGGAACACACACACACATAAGTACTTTGTTTTGAAGATTCATACTCACTCTTATATTGGGTACAATTTACATGGATGCCTTGTTTTTCAGTCTTCTATAGTTAACTTGAATTAGTACTACATGTTATGTCCCAGTTCTGGCCTTGTGATATCAACTTAGGGCTAGCATCCATATCATCATCATGACAAAAACGGAACCCATCACCGATTATTCTATCAAGTAGATTCTCAATATACACTGATAGACCACAGCAAACACAATATTCCAAGCATCAACCACCCCTCCATCCTCATGCTCCGACGCGCCCTCGCCATCCACCCTCTCCTCAAACAACCACTAATGACCTCACCACCACGACCAAAAGCCGAATCCCCCAAACCACTCTTCAGCGGCAACATAAGACCAAGCCTCCAAACCTTCACCGAAGAAGCCGCAACCCCCTCCGCGCACAGCCGCATCCTCACCGCCATAAAACACGATCATCTTGAACTAGAAGCCCACAGCAACAAAATCCTCTCCTCAACCGATCCAGACGAACAAACCCGCTTCCAAAACCAATTCACCTGGGAACTATCTCGCCATCTAATCGGCGAGGAACTCGTCGTCTATCCAGCCCTGATCGACTCTCTCCCAGACGGACAGGGAATAGCAGATAAAAACAGACTCGAGCATCGTGGTGTGAAGCACCAGTTGAAATCGTTCCAGGGGCTTTCGTCTACGGATCTGAGGTTCTTGCCGGCGCTTGAGGGACTCATGCGGGATTTCGGGATTCATGCCAGACATGAGGAGGATGTGGACTTACCTAGGCTTGAGGAGTTGTTGTCTAAAGAGGAGAGTGTTGAGTTGACTAAATCCTTAGATCGAGTTAAGATCTTTGTCCCGTCCAGATCGCATCCGCTTGCGCCTACTGAGCCGTTCTTTGAGACTGCTGTTGGGCTTTTGACGGCGCCGATTGATCTCTTAGCGGATTTGTTTCGGAAGTGGCCTGATGGGAAGGAGAAGAAGTGGTAGGGTTGTCAAGGGAGTTTGATATAGGTACTGAATCATGGTTATATGATATGAAGTTGATATATGCCAGTCCATTATATCCATTTAGCCACTGCCAGATTAATCTCTACTATCTTTTCAACCCTAACACTTCCAAGTTTGGAACCCACCTCATCTCATCCCTCCACAGCCAAAACCGCCGATCCTGTCGCGCCCAATCGATGTCCTGAATAGCCATAGCGCTGCAAGCGACGCAACTTTCCCAATCGATTTGCAGTCTCGGACGCAGACTGCTGCGTCTCATCATCACCCGATGAAGATCGTCTCCGCCTCCACGCCTTACGGAACTGATGCTGTTCGTCGTTCTGCTGTCTGTGCCGCATAGACAAGAAACCAGCATGTGCTTCTTTTTCTTCACTGAGGGCCTGGACCTTGCACCGCCAACAAATTAGTTTCATGGCGTTATTCTTTTTCTGCTAGAAATCGAATTTGGAAATGTGATAACGATCTCGACTGCATGGAACAATACAATAGTTAAAGCAAACAAAACAACCCCCAAAAACAAAAACAAAAAGAGATAGTTTCCACATACATACGATAACCACACCTCTTGCTCGGAACTCCATGCCTTCTGACACCTCTCCAGCTGTCTCTGCGCATGTACAAGCTCCCTCTCCTGCTCGACCGTCCACCGATCTCGACTGCGGATGATACTCGCCCAACTAACAGCGCGAGCGAGCTGGGTCTGCGTCGGACGCGTCTGGCTGGAATAGTGCACGCGGTTCTCGGAAGTTGAATCCGACGCTGGATCCGGGATATTTTCCGGTGCGGATGATGTTGATTGGGGGGTGGGTATTTCGTGGTCTGCGTGGGCCTTCACCGCTACCTGCACGGGTCCGTGGGCGTCACGGTGCATGAGGAGTGGTGCATTGTTTTGGGCGTGGGGAGTGATGCTGATGCCGGGGGAGTTTGGGAGAATGGTATCCTTTTCACTGAGGATTTGCAGTTCGGGGGATTTGCCTTTTAGACTTGCTCGTCGTTTCCAGGGGAGGGATAGTGGTGGGAGGGCTCTATGGACAATTGTGAATACCGACATGGTTGGGATCGTCGACGGATAAATAAACTATATGTATGGAAAAGGGATAGACGAGAGATTATCAAAGTATAGTGTTATATATACTTGTGATCTTTGTCTCTGGGAATGATCTTCTCGTATCGTTACCAACCCTGCTTTTATAAATGTCCCGGTTCGCCTCTCAAGTGGTACTTCACGATCTGGCCAGACCGATACCCCGATACCCAAGGACGAAAACGCGTGCAGGGACACCTCGTAGGTACCTCGCACAGAGGTGGGGAATGCGAGGCTCTCCGGCTTCTGCTTGGCTGCCCACGCGAGAAGTATACGATCGTGCAGGAGGCGCGGGTTGGTCTGGTTGGCCTAGATGGCGGAGGACTGCAGGTTTGGTCGGGACTTCAATGTCTATTGTGTTTGCTTCGGGTTACGCTTTGACGGTTTGAGGGTTTGGTTGTACTGTTGTTTCATTTGGATGAGACAAAGGGGGATTTGCAGTTGATGTTGACGTTAACTTGGCTGGTATAATGGGCTGGACTGAGTTTGCATTCTCGATCCAACTCAAGCGATTGATGTGTCCATCCTTATTCTGTCGGATACTCGGGGAAATAAGGGATCTTGATGCAGGAGGGCTCCGTGGTTGGCTGGATACATATGTTCGAGATGTGATATACACAGGGTGTTCGCAGTTGTAGTTCAGAGATCCCCCGGGATTTGGTACTTTGGTCACTTCGGTCCAAAACATGGAAGTTATTGTATACAGTACCTCATTAATGTCCAACTGATGAGGCTAGAGACTATAGAGGCCTAAACTAATCACAGGCGCAATAAACCCCCCAAAAACAGCCCAATGCTGCACACAAGCCTAACCAATAACCGTGAGGGAATCATAACCAGAACAAGAACAGACGCATTCAAAACAAAACCATGACGCCAAGTGCTCATCGGATATCTAAAAAGAAGTACATAATATAAGAAGAAGTGGGTGAAAAAAAAAAAAAAAAATCAAGACGTTCATCGCCATGTATCCACAGAAGTACCCCGGTTGGCCTTGGCCTTCCTTTCCTCTCGGATCTGCTCGCCAATAATGATGCTAATGAGTCTCCGATGCAGATCAGCTTCTGTCCAATCGATATGTCCGCTGCCACCATATTGGATATCGGCCTGAGCAAGTTCCTGGGCGAAGCGATCGATAATGGCAAATTGGATCTCTGTGATGGGCACCCCGTGATGGCCATCGGAGGTCCATATCCAATCACCGATGATGGCAGCCCGCCCTGGAGCATCGTAGTATTCAAAGTGCTCGGGGTATTGCTTGGCAACTCGGTAGATACGACGAAGCGCGGCGTAATGCTCGTCGGAAAAGTATCCGAAGACAGCAAGTGGTCGTGGCCCTGGAGACGCCCCATTCTGAGGGTACACTGGCCCTGCATCATCATTCTCCGAGAGATCTTGCGAGACACTTCGCTCGGAAACCGGCATCTCCTCTTCTTCCAAGAGGTCTCGAGAAACACTCCTCTCATGTACCGGGTCCTCCTCTTCTTCCATTGTAGGAAGAGGATCTTGCTGTATCTGAGGAGACTGAGATGGTGATGGCTGTCTCCAATGACTCGCGGGCGATTGGCTCGCTTGCTGTGAGAGCGGCCCATCCTGGAAATTCCCGTCAAGCTCCTTCGCAGATTCAATGCTGGCCATTTCCTCTTCATCTTCGAAGTTAGATGCTTCCTCCGGAATAGTACTAACACTTGAGCTTCGGTCACGTGTAGGAGCTTTCAGCCATTGCGGGGTGAAACTGGTTATTTTACTGAACCAGGATGATCCTGGCTCCTCCTTATTGGATTGACGAGGCTGTGGGGTGGAGGCAGAATCCACGTTGGCAGATTCCAATTGACTGAGAGCAGCGTTGGAAACACTGCTGCCATGATAGTCTTCTTCCAGTGATTCTTGGATAGGTGGGCTTCTTTGCACAACCTTTGGGGATTCCTTCTCATCGAGGAACGCGATTTGTGGACTGGGGGCTCGTGGGTTGGGAATATCGGGGCTGGACTGGGAAAGAGGTTGTAAACGAATACGCGCTGGAGTGCGCGATACCGGGTCCTTCATGGGAGAGCTGTTGATGAATGGATTATGTGTCCCCGATGAGCGGGTCAGCACACTCCGAGGAGTACTTGTTCCATTGTAATACCGTGCGCGGTTTGGTGTATCCTCTTCTGCAAGCAAGGCAGACAAATCGACTTTTTGTTCACGGAGCTCGCGAACTTTGGACGGTCCAAAGCGCGCTACATAATCATGCTCCGAAGTAGCGTAAGGAGACGAGCTCAGGTAGTCTTGACCTGCGGAAATTGGAGCAAGGTTGCCCAAAGGGCGTGCAAGCGGCTGTACATGAGACTGAACGTCATCATGCTCCGAGTGGTGTGAAATATGACTGTGATCGTTGGCTTCGAGTTGCCAAATGTCGTCAAAACCATCATCCTCGTCTTCCACGGGCTCGGTTTCGGGCTCGGGTTCAATGTCTTGGGCTACATATGGCGCTGGTTTTGGTATGGGCCCATGCGCGGAATCATCGTGCTCTTCATCGAACCCATGTCCGGCCTCAGATTCAAATCGTTGTTCATGTTCAAATCCGATGTCACCATCACCCTCCGCCGCATTGTCGTCACTATCAATATACACGACTGATTGTGAGTTTGAAGCCATCCGAGCCTGGCGGCTGACTTCTTCTCGTTCAAGTTGCCATTGTGCCTCCCGCTGTACCTTTTGGTGGGACATGGGGCTTTGCTGCATGGATTTATTGAACTTGAAAGGTGATGATTGGACGCGCCTCTCGATCTCGTATTCGAAGGGCTGATCGTGCTCCCGCTCTTCTAATTCTTCATCATAGAAGTCGTTATAGTGACGTGCGTCCTGTTCTTCCTGTTCCTCCTCGAGACGCTCCTCCTCAAGACGGGATCCTTCATTTTCTGCTGCTATAGCCGTAGCCTCATCTTCCTTTGCGAGCATTCGACGCATAGCAAGCTCCTGCCCTAGCCCCATAGCCACTCGGAGTTCTCGCTGCGTTTCGGCGTTGAAAGTGCTGAAAACGCCCTCCAACCGACGTCTTTTGTGACGAGCATTACTTTTGCCTGACCACTCGTCTTCTTGAGGCCTAAAGGGACCCTGGAGGGCCAAGCTTAGACGGACAAGTTTAGCCAAACTGGTCAATGTTCTCTTCTTTGGAACAATTGTTGGTTTAGCCGGAGACGATGCGGCAGGGAGTTCAGGGTAAGCGATCTCGTTCACATAGTTAACGGATTGCCGCTCAGCCGCATGTACGGTGTGCTTCTCCGGAATATAGGTGCTGGGATTGTCGTATAACCTAGGAACCAGGGCCGAAGCGACTGGACTGGATGACTTTTGAGCACGAGAGTCATCTCGGAGATCTTCGATCGTCCCAGGAAGTTTGCGTCTCAGTCGTTCTCCAACTTCCTTTGGTTTTGGGCCACCGTTTGTCACAGCGCTGGAGCCGAATCCATGCTGCTTGGCTGATGGGAGTGTATCAAGGGAAATCATAGTGAATCCTTCACTTTCCATGATAGTATCGAACTCGTCGTACTCATCTGCGGGATCTTCAACGGGATCAGTTTCAGAATGGTGGGCCTCTATCCTTGAGGGATGATCCACGTTGACTTGCTGGGTTTGAACATTTTCTTCATCGGTCAGCGAAGACGTGGGGGTCGGAGTTGGATATGTGCGCGATTGCGGGCTAGCTGTATTGTGAGATGAAGCTCTCGATGACAAGATTGCTCTCTCGCGTGTAGGTGATGGCATTTTAGAAGGGGTAGAGTGGATGTTTTCATCATCCAAAAAGTGATGTTCCGTAGCTCCGATAACAGGAGTCTCCAAGCTCTTTCGGCCATATTCACGGCGAGGATTTCCGAGATCTTCCGTGATGGGCTCTGTTGGGTCAGGAAGCTCTGCAATTGAAATGTCTGAGGTCCCCCAAGAGTCATCTTGGGAGTCCGCATCCCCTACAAGATTTAAGGGGCTGGCGTGCGCGTTACTCCCAGCGAAAGAATCCGTCGGGCTGGATCGTTGTTGTGCTAGGCCGGCATCGCTGGTGAGGGCATCCGTGGGGCTAGATCGTTGGTGGCCTATACTAGCTTCACTAGCTATAGTATCCATTGGACTGTATTCGTATTGACCTAGATCAGCTTCATTGGTCATGGTGTCCATTGGGCTGAATTGCTGGGCTTGACGGGAATCACGATTGGGAATAATATCCATCGGACTAAAGGGTTGGTCATATTCGACAGTAGGCGTTGGTTGATCATCCAGCAGCTGGAAATCCTGTGGTTTGGGTTTGGGCGTGCCCCGTGGTCGGCCTCTTTTGCGTGTTTGTAGCCCAGGAGTATGCCCCGGTCCAGGAGTATCTCCCGGCCCTGGTGTATTTACAGGGCGAGGGGTCTGCCCAGCGGTCCCGAGAAACGGGGACAAATTCATGTCAGACTTTCGTGGACGCCCTCGCCGCTTTAAGGGCGTCTTATCTTTCAACGGACTCCTCTCATCCTTCAATGGTATCATCGTAGTCGTGGTCGAGGGTTTTAATCGTTTGCGCGACGGGCTGCCCCGGTTCTCATCATCTTCGTCTTGTGTGGCTTCGAGGGTGAGCCGGATGCGCCATGGGCTGACATTTCCCTCCTGAAGCTTCTCCGGAGAGAGCGACCTTTGTCGACCACCATTGAACTTCATTGTTGGCGACCCGGGTAGTATGACATCGTTGAATTGAATTGAATGCGCGCTTTTTGCGGGACTGAGGCTGACACGCGGTCGCGGTCGTGCTCGCTTGGCCGGAGTTCGTGATTTCGCTATCATAGGAGACATCCAGCTTTGGCGCCCTGCAAAAGGTTTAATCGGCGATGAGATCAAGTATTGGGCGTCGCCTGGAGGACCCAGGATATCGGGGGAGGAGCTCTGGCTGCGCGACGAGGCCGACATGGCGGACTCATGTGATTGAATCTCGGGAGGCACGCGTGCCACCAAAGGGGTGGAAGAGCGTACACTAAGGAATGCGATGACAACGAAAAAGTGCGGTCAGTGCCGTAACTATTCACAAGCCAACTTTATGATACGGAAATTAAGAGGGAAAACGCGGGGCAACCATAAACAAGTCTCCCGATGCGTACGAAAGAGCGGTCCTCGAGGTGGTTAGGTAAGCCGACCAAACAAACAGTCCACGGGTGTATTAACTAGTTAACTAGGAGAACACGATCTTCTTTCTTTCTTCCCCCTTTGTATCTTGAAACATATGTGGAGATGTGACAGCAATATTTCTTTGGCTTGCCATCGGCTCAATTCTACAAATCTCCATCGACGTCATCCACACTGGGCACTTGCTTCAATGTCACACCACAAGCTTCAACAACCAGATTCACACACTCCATGACCATTTTCACATCTTTCTTGGAGATCCCTAATCGCCTTGTTCCTCGGATATGCCAGTAGATCATCCGTGGCATATCCTGACCCATTACCGCCGGCAAGACCACCATCTCTGTATCCACGTCATCCAAAACCTGGCGGTCAGACAAGAGTAACCCATAGGTGATATCAGCAAGCCAAAATCCAAAGTCTGGATGCTTTTTGAATAACCCAAACAGCGTACTGGTATTATGCGCATATATTGATTTTAACCAATCCATGCCGCGCGCATGATTTGCGTCGTCGCACTGCCGGCCTTCTCGGGTGAAGGAACATTCCCCATCTTCCTCAGACATGACTTTGGTGATGTTGAGGAGTGCCTCCGTCGGTTTAGGGAGTCCGATAAGAGCAATGTCCTTGAACAGTGCCTCGCGCATGCGTCGAATCAGCTTCCAGCGCGCACTGGTGGTCGAATAATCATGTTGGCTAATCAGGTACAGGTATAACTGGCCACAGACGTGTGGTTCTGGCGTTGTCGAAATCGCGCTTAAAGTTGTGAGATACCACTTTTCGCTGGGGATATTGGAGGCTTTGAATTTGGCTTCAATTGTGGTAAATAGCTCAAACCAACGCGGCTCTACGGTTGGTTTGTCGACATCGGATGTGCTCATAGTTCTAGCCCAACTGAGTTTACCGCGTATTTTCGAAAATGAGCAAGTGTTTGAGATCTGAATTCATGAAAAAGACTGTAAACACTCGGGCGATGACGCATGACCTCACGGTGGCAATCCACGGATTTTAAACCCTTGAGTGCTCTGCAATCCGTGGTTCGCACAGCTAACTCCAGGTTTATGTTGTCTTATATTCTTTATATACAAGAGGCTGCCTTGGCGAGTCCTCTGACTCTAGTCTTGGAAAGTTAGCTCACCATCAGCCCAAAGCTGCCGTCGTGCTCTATCTCTTTTTGCATAGCCTTGCCATAAACAGAAAACATAGCTTTGACTAGGCAGGGTAATTGATCCATTCATGCTTAGATTGCCTGGCAGCCGTCCGAAAGCTATGCAAGCTTTATAGGGAAGGGACCCTTTCAGCAGTCTTTTGGGATTCCTAGCTTAGGTCAAAGGGTACTCGGTCTTCTGGTATAAGAATGGTTAGTTCATTCGATGATAAGATGCGATATCCAGTGTGGAACTTATTGTCCGCCACCGTACGTACTATCTTCACTGTCAAAAATAGCAGCCCAGCTCAAGAAAGTCCCACACAGACTGGATATGTCAATATTCCAATGTATTCACAGCAGAATCTTGGTGGCCACAATGTCTAAATAGTAGTTTGTCCTTAAGTCAATAACTAGCGAACCCTACATGTATCATGATTTGAAACGAAGTGGTTCATACCGGCACATACTGCACGCCATGCTTCCGCAAGACGTTCATCTTTCCACTCGAGGGCCAGTCCGCCTGGAACCGATGCATCGTGAATATTCCAGATTATGCGAGAGGCTCGGTTGTCCGGATAGATTTCGAAGCGAATCTTATAGTATGAGGGATCTGTGATATCGTATCTCCCACTCTTCCTGACTTCATCAAAGCTCATACTCCACTCAAAGACGTGGCCGTGGTAGTGCCGGAGTGGGTAGAACTTTGAGTCTAGACCTCGGAAGGAAATCATAAGGTCACTTTCTGACTCTGGACTGAGGGTGATTTCTAGCCTGTACTTATAGTCCTTATTGTCATACTTGCCGACGTAGCATTTAAGGGGCAATGGCGGTGCTCCTTGAATTCGCTCCTCGGCCAACCTATTATGTAGTGTAGCAAATCGTTCAATCGTCCGTCTTTTAGCTTCTTCTGCGAGTCTCACATAATCGGTGGGGTTGGTGAAGTCGAAGAGGCCCTCGATCAGGAGTCGGGCAATCCAGTCAGCAGCATCGCTTATCGCAGTGGTGTTCATGAGGACTACCACGGCTGACTGTGTCTCAGGGAAGATAGCAACGAATGACGAGTATCCCGGTCCTCCGCCTTGGTGATAAATCATGAGCCTAGACTGGTTTCCAGCCCCAAATACAGGTTGCTCAGACATTTCCCAAAGTTCTGAATTTCCACCGAGCAGGCCCACGATTCCAGGAAGCTGTGCTCTCGCCCAGCCAAACCCGTACGATCGTTCCAGCAATGATGGATTCTTCATTGCGATATGGTTGCTAATTATATGCGGAATTTGTTTCAAGACTGGGTTGTTGGATGCCGCGATATTCTGGCTCGCAACCAATGTTTTCTTGGACCATATGAGAAGGTCACTCACGGTCGAATAACCTCCGCGTGAACTTTCGAATAGCGTATTCGCAAAATTGGGTTGAAATTGTAATGGACAAGCCTCCCCGTTGCTAAGTGAAGCATGTGGTTCAGCAACATTGTTGCTCCCTTCAAACGATGGCCGCAAAGTGGTAGACGTCATCCCAAGCGGGCGGAATACTTGATCCTGAAGATATTCGTGAAGTGACTGTCCAGATATATGCTCGATTATGTGCGCAGCAATTGTGTATCCCCACGGACTCATCCGCCAGCTCTCACGGTGTGGAAGTGGGTGAGGAATGCGGTCGATAGCTTTTGAGAACTCTTTGAGACATGGTTGTGTGTCCCCATTTCCACCGTCGGCTAGTAAAGTTGCAATTTCTCCATCCAACCCGCAGCGATGCGCTAGAATATCAGCTATTGTGGCTGTGTGGGTCCAGTAGACACCAGTGTGATCAATATCGGGTATTATTTCTCTCAGGAGCGTTGTCCACTGAAGCTTTCCATCGTCCACAAGTGTCCCAACACCAGCAGCTACCATCGACATGGTGATGTGCCCGATGCCATATTGGGTGTTTTCGTCTGGATGTGCTGTTTTGGATTTGTCGCGGAAACCGAAACTTTCGGTCCACAAAGTTTCTCCATGGTCAAGGACTCCAATAGAGACACCTGGGACGCCTTCTATTTCGCAAATCTGCTCGATCGAGCTGCTCAGTTTCTGCAGTCGCTCAATGGTTGATAGAGTGGCCCTACATAGTGTTAGCGAGTGTATCCTGCAGGGACAGCAAGCTGAGAACTACAATGGGAACTCAACAAACGCCCAACACGTGCATTTTTTTATATATTTCTGATGAGAGATCTCTTGCGAGTGTGAGAAGCCAAGTTCGAAGGAGGAGTTCTAGGCAGCCTCTGATGTCATGCCATGACCCCGCGATACAAAGTACATTTACTAGTGAATCCTTATACTACATGTACTTAGTCTAAGTCGTCTCAATACTACAGTTCTTTGTTTCCATTTTTGCTCTTTTCTTTTACTTGATAGAGAATTCCACTCTGGTCTTATTCATCCCTGTCAATCGTAGGTGGGCTTCGAATTGACCAAATATAGGAACGGGATTTGTCGACCGAGTAATTCGGTGGTTACATTGCGCCGATTATCCTAGTGTCTTCATGAAGCTACCGGTGATTGTCAATACCTAGATGATCGGACGGGGTCCGCAAATTGGCTTGACTATAGTCTAGTTATGTGTCGCAAGAGCTAGAATATCTGGAAAGGCGATTTATTAGTTATGATATGTAGGCAGCAAAACAAAAGGACAGTAGTTATAATCTTTTTGTCCTGACTCAGATTGTCTCAGACCTCACTATGCATGTAGGAGCATATTATTTTCATCAACCAGCCAAGTGGTCGAGCAGTAACTCGACCATCGCATCTTCCTTGGTCTAGTGGTGATGATTTCCGCTTGTCATTAATACCGATAAGCGCGGGAGACCGGGGTTCGATTCCCCGAGGGAGAGATTTCTTTTTGCACTTTGTTTCTTAGCTAACCGTCGATTAAACAAGCATTTATGTGCGAGTAACTGTGGTGGCTTTCTGTGGTCGGTCCCTTTTGTGCGTCATTCCATAGCCTAGTCCGCCGTTGGCAGACATTCAGGTAGACAAGGTCCTACAGCTCCGCTCAGTATCTATACAACAACAGAACAAGATAGTCTACGGTAAAGCTGTCGCTTGAGAACAATCAATTAACTTACGTCGAGTGTAGTAAATCAAGCTCTGCCAGGTCAATCAGACCTTGGGCGGGAAATTAACATTCCCAAAGCTCAATCAAATGATCAAGTGTAATGTATAATGACACGAACGTCGGTAAATAAAGGCTCATACTGGGTACACTAGCTTCTGCCTAGACATGGCCTGAGTCTGGATCATATCCACGCCTTCCTTTACACCATCCCATTTCCCGATCACAACCTTGATTGGGTGTATCCTGGTCCAGCAACGCCTGCATACTCACCATCAACCCCACCGTAAATTTATGATCATCTGGTCGCGCATCACGAGAGTACTCTCCCTCAATGTCCACCTTGCGTCCGAATACAGTCAATGCTAGAAACCACGACGGCCGAGGGGCCTCGGGCCTCGTCTCCGCGATAGTACTACGGAATAGATCGAGAGCAACGTAGCGATCACCAGCACAGCCCATGGAATTATAGCAGAGCTGCGTCGTGTCGGCCATGGTCACGCAGTCCGACGCATACGCCAGCATCCCGGCAGTGTGCCGGCGGATCTCAGGAGAGCATTCAGGGTCACTATAGTCGAAGGCGTGCCCGGCATAGAAGCGGCGGACAAGATCCAAAATGTATGGATCTACAAAGACACATGAAAAAAAGTACAACCGAACCCTAGTTGATTCGCAGGTATTTATATCCACATTATTTGCATTCCTGACTTCGGCTATATACTTCGGTCACATCAGCCACAAATCCGACCCTCCGCCACCTGGGAACGTAGTTATGTATTAAATACAAACTCCTCGGATCGCTTTGCTTTCATGCTTTCATGCTCTTTACCACTTAACCTATTTGCCAAAAACGGCCCAGTCACCCTGTCCCCAAGTGGTCTTCAGGGTCCAGTGCTTAATCTTCCACAATCCGTCCCCAGCATCCTTGACAAGCTCGACCGCATACAGTCCACCAGCAAGCAGGAAGTCAGAGCTGGGCTTCATGCCCTCTCCACCGCGGTAGTGTTGAGAAAGAGCAGAGCATGATACCTGAGCCTTGGATGCTTCGGTGATGTTGATACGCATGTTGGTGAGGAAATGGTTGGTGTCCAATTTGGCGATGTTGACATAGCACCCGCTGTATATGGCGTCGTAGCCTTCCATGACGGTGCCGTTGAGGACCAAGACGGCGTCCTCGGTCAAGGCAGATTTGAAGAGAACCTCGTCGGCTGTATCAAGGGCAATGACTCCGCGGTAGAGGGCATCGGCGATGGCATCGCGGTCGTTGAGGGCAGGTGCGAGGGAAACTGGAAGTGCTGATGCGGCCATGATGGGTATTTTGGATATCAAATTATGCAGTTGTACACTGTTGAGAAGAGGCTTGTTGGCTTGACGTTGAGAGATATGCTATTGTAAGATTCTAAAATGCCAATGAGAGCAGGATTTAGTACTTACGCCAAGATGGAAGGCACCTGAGGCATGCCATCAAATTGTGACCTACAGTAACATTCGGTATCTTCTAAGGGCTATCTCCGATGGATGGGGTTAACGGAGTTAGGGGAGACATCGGCATAAACAGCGCTGGGCCCGAGGTGACAAGAATCTTTGATTGGCTGCAGGGAACCACGAGTACCACGAGGTTTTCCCCAAGATTAGCGGGTCGGCCCCTTCAGGCAAAGCTTAGCAATGCTTGGGATCAGCCTTGGAATATCCCGAATTGAAACGTATATATCGGTCGAATAAGGAAGTTAGTTCCCGCTCGGTACACACAACAGTTATACGTATATCGCAGTAATCTTAACCAAAACACCACAAAGTCGCCTGCTCTTGGGGGTTCTCTTTCCTTGATTCGAGATTACGATGGTACCCCAAGTTTTGGGATTTCCAACCCAACATTGTATTATCAAATGAAACCGGATTGGCTCGATCTCATCCCGGAGATGGCAGATATAGAACATTTTCTGCATTTAAATTTCCTTGTACTCGGGATCAACCCACGGCCTCCTTATTTGTCAAGAAAACATATCCAAATCTCGCTGATTTAGATAAAGTTCAATCCATTTCCATAACCTCTTATCCGCAACGAATTGATTATTGAGCTGTTTGACCATGGTAAGATGGCGTGAGAGCGCCTGCCGCTGGGGACCAACACATGAAAAGTATTGTTCTTCATCCCGCTTCAGCCTCTCTTGGTCATCTTCATCTTCCAACACGTATTCTGCTGCTTCAAGGAACTCTGTCTTTCCCTTAATATGGCGAAGGTAAGGGTACACTTCCTGTCCGATAATTGAATGAATGAGTAGAGAGAAGTAGTGAAAATCTTGCAGAGAATCGAGATTAATCAGACGAAAGAATGCCCAGAAAATGTCGTTATGTGCGAAGTCAAGCGCAGTCGCACAACCGAACCCTTCTCCAGCTATAAAGCCGTCAACAAAGGCTCCTAAAAGAGAGGAATGTATGCCATCACGAGGGTGAGGGAGGCCGGGGCAGACAAGAAGCATTGCAGGAGGCACGGAAGACGCAAAAGCCCAGTCGATAATACACGTTATATTCAGATCCTCATCCACAAAGATATTTTGCGTGCTTATATCAGGGTGCTATAGTGGAAATCCGTCACAATTAGTCTCCGTATCTTTCTCAGAAAGGAAAGCCACCATATCCCTAAGTGAAATACCGACTAAAGTGTAATCAAGCCGGTTCTCCCTGCTCTCAATTTTGGATCCCACAGTGGCGTAATCGTTCCATCGATCAGTAGCCAGCCGATATTCTTCAAAGCTATCGTACTCTTGAACGACAGGCACTGGTGCATGGAAGAGGTGGTGCTCCATCGGTAGTTCTGCTGAATGAGCAAGAAACGAATTTATGGAGGCCATGTAGAATGTTTTCGCCTCTGAGAAAGGCCCACGCGTGACGTCCGTATCATCAAATTCGTCCCGATGCTGCCATACTAGGCTAGGAAATAAGCACTTCCGCGTAGCGTAAGAGTTATTGCTGTCCATAAAAAGTGAGCCGATTTCACCGAACCGTATATTGGACAGTGCGGCATGTATACCCCCAAGTTGTCCGAGGATTCTCCTTTTTTGGATTGTTGATAACACCGGTTGTGGACTGTCATCGATACCAGGCGGGCTGGCCATGTCGTCTTCCCATTGATATGTGCTTAGAGGTACCCCGGAAGCTTTGCTCATCAAGATATATGGGACCTTGATATCATTCTGGTCGGTCGCACTATTCAAGTCAACGAAATGATAAGACCTAGTAGGCGGAAGAGGCTTACCAATAAGAGAACACTTCTGGCACAGGTATTTTGCTCATTTCTCCGAGGTACTTCATCGTCGATACCTCACTAATGAGCACCTCACTGGCAGTGGATTTCTTGAGCTCGGATGATCTGCGTGGAGACCTGAAAACCCATTCGACCCCATCCTCAAATGAGATGAAGATGACCCAATTCAGGCTACCACTATTAGGGCGTTGGGTTTCATCACAAGAGCACTCCTTCCCGCGAAGGCTGTGCGCAAGTGATAAAAGGGCAGCGACATCAAATTTTGCGTAAGTAAATATATTTGCTTCTCGCGCCTTGTGCACCATTCTGCCTTGATAAACTCAGAAATGTTTCACTAAGCCTGGATATTGAGGCTAGAAGTGGTCAGAAGCGCGCAATTGAGATGTAGGACCAGAAAGCAGAAAAGAAGGGGCGTGAGATTCTGTTAGGATCGCATGGTCCCTACTTGGATATATTCGGTAAGCGGCCATTGTAAGCGAGTGGCTGCGAAGGGGCATAACGGCCAATGTCCCAATGCACTTTTTGGCCTAGTTTATGCCTGAATATGCGCTATTGATGCCTTATTTAAAACAGGCAGAAATTAAAATACCTGAATTACAATGACAGGTGTCTTATTAAACAAAGTACCCAAAGTGCCCAAGTCCAATAAGATGAAGCTATTCCCACCTACATAATACATATCATACACCCCCCCGGTAGTAGAACACTAATGGCACAGCAAAAAGTCTAATGGCACAGTTCACTAAACCCTTTTGGTCCTAGCTTTCTTGGCACCCATTTGTCGGCCTAGGTGTTATTTATTATGGTATCACCACAGTAAAAAACACAACCCCTAAATCACCCCAGCCACTCCATGGTCGGCCCCATAATAATGCCACTATTAAACCACGTGATCATGACGGTTTATAATAAATAAGATCACGTGATTATATTGATCACGTGATTGTAATTGCTATTTCCTAGCATTGTTTGCATTGTTTGCAAGACCATATTCAGATGGTTTTAATAGGCTATATATACCTAGATTTTCCCCACTTACTCCATCAACATGCCTACCACCGATAACGTCATCATCAACCTGCCTGCCACCGATTATGTCATCACCGACCCCCCTGCCACTAATCATATCATCACCGACCCCCCTACCGCCGATTATGTCTATGTCATCACCGACCTACCTGCCGCTGTCAACCCCCTGCCACCGACGATGCCATCAAAAAAAAAAGTAAAGAAATAAAGGTTTTACTACAGAAGATCGAAATTAATGGACGATAATTAGCATACAGAGATTTCATTGTGGGTGCCAAGGCTTGATTAACCCTATCACCTGATCTAATCTTAGACAATCATAATCACGTGATCTGATTAGACAATCATAACCACGTGATCTAATCTAGACAATCATAACCACGTGATCTAATCTTAGACAATCATAATCACGTGATCTGATTAGACAATCATAACCACGTGATCTAATCTAGACAATCATAACCACGTGATCTAATCTTAGACAATCATAATCACATGATCTTCATAATCACGTGATCTAATCTAGACAATCATGATCACATGATTTAATAGTGGCATGGCATTATTATGGGACCGATCATGGAGCTGATTGTGGCTGGGGTGATTCAGGGGTTGTGTTTTTTACTGTGGTGATACCATAATAAATAACACCTAGGCCGAAAAATGGGTGGCAAGAAGGCTAGGACTAAAGGGGTTTAGTGAGCTGTGCCATTAGACTTTTTGCTGTGCCATTAGTGTTCTACCCCCGGTATCTAGCGATGAATGTGTTTTCCTCTCTCCTCCGCTCTTTACCTTTACCATATAATAACTCTAAAGATGAGGTAAAACCCTATTGGCACGGCGTATGCGCTCTCATACTTGAACCCTTAGGGCATGTGCTCACTTCCCGTTGAAGTCCCTTACTACAAACGTCATTCAGGCGATTTGTACGAGGTCTTCGGGATGTACTATCTCTAAGACCAGCTTATCCGCGTTGACGATGATGTGTACTACACCAACGCCATCCAGGACATGTAGTCTTCTCTTGCGCGAACTGGGAACCCAAACGTTGACAAGTCATACTTGACAGCCCGAGAGTATAACTCGGCTTTGGCCTTCTCTGGTTTTATCTAGCCTTCTTTCGACGCTATCACCCCCTGCAGCAATCACGACACTACCAGACCAAGAGCACATCGCGGTACTAATGCCGTTTTTGGGGGTTAACATACGGGAGAAATTTGAACGGGCTCTTGCAGTGAAGCGATACGCAGCCCACAAAGGCTGAATAGAAACATTTTTAACTGTGTATTACTTCCATAGTTCATACCATATCATATTGAAACAGAGTATACACTACTATGCACAGACAGGCGGGCAACTGCTGTACCCTTTAATATATGAAATAATACTTTATTTTTACCGTGCCTTATCAGTTCATGCATAACAGAGCTCTAGGGCCTTAGCCCCGACAGACGACGGGGCCAGATGAGTTGATTGGTGTTGAATTAGTGGTGAACTTGCCGACCTACTTCTAATGAATTAAAATAGAATATATTAGAACCAATAATAGGTCTCACAATAATCGCTGCTAAAAGAATTGGTACTGACTTGAGTGTTGGGGGATGGGGTTGGGATACGAAGTTGGGAGGATTCCGCCCTAAACATCTGTAACATACGTTACACAACATACGAAGAGGCATAGCGCTCACGGGTTGCAAGTCGTCATTGATGCCTTGATGCCTGGATTTGGCACGGCAGAAAAATAAAAATACCGGAATTGCTATTACAGAGCCTAGTAAGCAAAGCACCCTGCCCGGTGGTTCTGGTAGCCTTAGGCACAGCAGAAAAATGAAACTTCTCATACCATACAAAATCATACATCCTCATTTTATTTGGGGGGGGGTTACATTGCACTTTGTTTAATGAAGCTTTTTATACTATACAAAATCATGCAGCCTCACTTTATAGGGTGGTTTACATTGCTCAAAGTGCAATGTAAACCACCCTATAAAGTGAGGATGCAATCGGGCCTAGTAGTTAATCCGTGCCGGCATCATTTACAGTACACTGTATAGAGCGGTGTCAAGAGCGGTATGACTTTAAGGCTAAAACTAGGAATTCAGGCATTAATAGCGTCATGCGACCCGTGAGCGCTATGCCCCTTCGTATACGTTGCCTGATATTCCCAACGGTTCAACGCTTTCTTTGCTGGGAGCAACACAACTGACGATTGACTTTGATATGAAATAACTAGTTAGACAGTTCTTTATGTTAAATAACCTGGATTCAGGGTCCCCAATTTGAATACTTTCACCCCACAGCCATCAATCCAATCCCAGATTTTTGTAAACTTGCAAGAGACCTACGATTTTCAAATCCACTGCCACAATGGCCAAAACTGAGCCAAGCGCTGGAAAACAACATATAAGCGAGAAGCCAGTCACATTCAGTAACTGGTACCAGCATGTCAACTGGATCAACACAACCCTGATCCTGATCGTACCCGTCGGCGGTATCGTCGCTGCATTCTATACACAGCTGAAGGCGATCACTGCTGCTTGGGCACTTCTCTACTACTTCTGGACTGGGCTGGGAATCACTGCCGGATACCATCGTCTATGGGCGCACAGATCCTACGAAGCGTAAGTCTGCCACTGTCTCACCCTCTGCTTTGCTTCGAATCAAGCACTAACTGGTATCTGATATATACAGTGGCCTTCCAATCAGGATATTCCTCGCATGTGTCGGCGGTGGTGCCGTTCAAGGCTCGATCCGGTGGTGGAGCAGTAAGCACAGAGCACACCACCGATGGACCGACACAGTCAAGGACCCATACAGTGTCATGAAGGGTCTCTGGTATTCGCATTTCATGTGGATGGTTCTAAATCAGAACCCGAAAACCCGTGGCAGGACCGACATATCCGACTTGAACGAGGATCCTGTCGTCGTCTGGCAGCACAAGAATTACGGATCTGTCATCTTGGCTTTCGGGGTGCTATTCCCTATGTTCGTTGCTGGCCTCGGATGGGGTGATTGGAAGGGCGGCCTCGTATATGCTGGAATCCTTCGGTTTTCATTTGTGCAGCAAGCCACCTTCTGTGTCAATTCCCTCGCCCATTGGTTGGGTGAACAGGTTAGTCGTTGTTCATGCCCTATTGTTGTCTTATTCCCGTTCGCTCTGACACGTGTTAGCCATTCGATGACAGGAACTCACCTCGCGATCATGTCGTTACCGCACTGGTCACTCTCGGTGAAGGTTATCACAACTTCCACCACGAGGTAAGAAGGTTCTCTTTCCCTTACATTTACCTCACATCCACTAAACCCTGACCAGTTCCCCTCCGACTACCGCAACGCCATCGAATGGTGGCAGTATGATCCTACAAAGTGGTCGATCTGGGTGTGGAAACAGCTCGGTCTGGCAACCAACCTCAAGCAGTTCCGCGCCAACGAAATCGAGAAGGGCCGTGTGCAACAACTACAGAAGAAAATTGACCAGAAGCGCTCTAAGCTTGATTGGGGTGTTCCCCTAGACCAGCTGCCTGTTGTCGACTGGGACGATTTCATTGCAGAAACTCAGAGTGGTAAAGCTCTAGTTGCTATTGCTGGCGTTGTTCACGATGTGAGCAAATTTATCACCGAGCACCCTGGTGGTAAAACCCTCATTTCATCGGCCATTGGGAAGGATGCTACTGCCATGTTCAACGGTGGTGTCTACACTCACTCTAATGCTGCTCACAACCTCCTTTCTTCGATGCGAGTTGGGGTTATTCGCGGTGGTGGTGAGGTTGAGATTTGGCGTCACCGGAACAACCAGAAGGGTCTTTATGCTTGAGCTTTAGAGAAGTAATTAGAGATCAATTTGTCAAGTTAAGTTTCACGAGAATATGAACAACCAATTCTATACCGAAAAAAGAAAACTTGGACATTATTACTGCTGAGACAAGCTACGAAGAGTCGAAGACGTATAGGCTCTTTTGGGAGGGGTTTATGCCTGAATACCTTAATTTAGAGCGGCAGAAAAGTTAAAATACCTGAATTACTATTACATGCGCCTTAGTAATCCAAGTACCCTGATTCTCCAAAAAATGAAGTTTTTGACCTCCATACAAATCAGGTAACTCCATTTTTTGGACTTGCAACCGCCATGAAATATATATTCAATTTGGATTTACCTCAGATTCAGTTTAGATTCAGTTTAGATTCAATTTAGATTCAACTTAGATTCAATTCAGGTATCTAGGCATCAACACCCTCCCAAAAAGGGGTTTTGACCCCGGGCCCCTATACGTCTTCATAGACAAGCATTACCTGAGGTCGTAGATTTCAAATCTTCTATAACCACCTAGGTATAAACTTTAAGTTAACTAGTAAGCTGTTCCATTTATGTCTACGGAATTATATTGATTGTTGCCATTCTGGGTCGATGCATCACCGTCCGTTCAAATCCCAAGTCCAACTTTCTTCTGTTCCTCTTTCATAACTTGCAACACCTTCGCACAATTTCCCCTACCAGCCCTTTTAATTTCTTCTCATTTTCCTTCGTATAATCAGTCCTATATTACGTCCAGCCACCACCCGATCTCTATTCATCTCGTCTCTCAGTGGTGAACCTCATCTCCCCTACTAGCCCTTCTGATTTCTCCTCATCTTTCTTCCTTGTCAACCACTACTCTCAGGCAAGCAAGTGATTTCTTCAAAGCAAAAGCCCGATTCCCGCATGGGACTTGAACCTACAGCTCATCCATGGAATCAAAGCGAAGCTCAAGAACCAGAAACCATCTCCGCTCGTATTTTCCTATGTCGGTCATAGGGTGATTAATAATCTGGACGGGCTTCCAAGGTTCCCAGATGTCTTTCTCTAGCCGGAAAGGCAACAAGCTAGTTTCACGGAGCACACTCCTATGGGTCTTTTCGCTATCCTCGATTGCTGCCATTCCAGAAGTGCAAGCACTAACTCTCCAAATTCTACACATGTGTTAGCTGCTTGTGGCGCGCCCGTATGTACGGGCGACTAAGTATGCCACCGGCACATACAACAGTCTACCCTATAAAGATTCACCAACCCCTAAACTAGCGGCCAATTTTCTTCAAATTTTCTTCAAATTCACTTCAGATTCATTTCAGATTCAGTTAGTAAGATAGTAAGATAGTAAGATACCTAAGGTAAGCTTTAAGTTAGTAAGCTGTTCCATTTACGTCCACGGAAATTATATTGATTGTTGCCATACTGGGTCGATGTATCACCGGCCAAGTCCAACTTTCTTCTGTTCCTCTTTCATAACTTGCAACACCTTCGCACAAATAATATCCCCTACCAGCCCTTTTGATTTCTTCTCATCTTTCTTCTTTGCCAACCACTACTCTCAGGCAAGCAAGTGATTTCTTCTCATTTTCCTTCGTATAATCAGTCCTATATTACGTCCAGCCACCACCCGATCTCTGTTCATCTCGTCTCTCAGTGGTGAACCTCATCTCCGTGCACGCACCTCAGTGGACCTCATCGCAGTGGACATCATTTCTCAGTTCACTTTGATTCTCACTTCACATCTATTCTCCCCTACCAACCACCAATCTTCGAAAAGCAACCGACCTCTTCTCATTTTCTCTCCTGTCATCGGTCTCGTATTTCTTCAACAAATTGTTTGTACGCGACCTGGTCAAATTTGAGCACCATGGCATCTCCTGCGCCTAGGACGCCCGCCAGTTCAGCCACGCCGACCTCACCAACCGCATCATCGCCTCGGCCTCGTGAAAAACCACCTTCAAAGATTCCGGTCCGAGTTAATTCCACAAAAGTGGCCGTGCCAGAGCTTAAAGCTGCCCTAGAAAGGGCAGTAAGAGCAAGAGGAACCCATTATTCGAATATTCTGGCGTTTGCTGTGTACTGGGACGATGACAATACACTCGCTAAGGAAGACAATCAAACATTTATTGCCATGATGCGTGATATATTCGACATTCCCTGCGAAACCTTTGTGCTTCAAAGCAAAAGCCCGATTCCAGCATGGGACCTGAAACTGCAGCTCATCCAAGGAATCAAAGCGAAACTCAAGAACCAAAAACCATCTCTCATCGTATTTTTCTATGCCGGTCATGGGGTGATTAATAATCTGGACGGGCTGTCTTTCTCTAGCCGGAAAGGCAACAAGCTAGTTTCATGGAGCAAACTGCAAAGTGACTTGACCCTTCATGGTTTGCTTATGGGTCTTTTCGCTATCCTCGATTGCTGCCATTCCAGAAGTGCAAGCATTAGCTCTCCAGATTCTACACATGTGTGAGCTGCCTGTGGCGCGCCCGTATGTACGGGCGACTAAGTATGCCACCGGCACATACAACAGTCTACCCTATAAAGATTCACCCACCCCTAATAAGATCATCTTTACCACCACACGCTTATTCCGTAACACACTGGTAGCATGTCCGGTTAATCCAGAGGTTTCTCTGGGTGGGCTTACCTTTCGGTTATCGAATTGTCTGGTGTCTCTTACACCCCTGGGTTACCAGGGGTGGAGGGAAGCGTTCAGATCTTTACCACCACACGCTTATTCCGTAACAGTGCAGAAGGAGACTCCAGCTGGTGCCTATATGCCTCGATTCTCGAGTCACAGTGGGGTAAAGCCGATCATTCTGCCGTTCAAAGTCACAGCTACTTCTAGTTCTGGAATTTCTTCTTCGGGAGCGTCATCGTCTGGGCATAAATCGAGTTTAATGCCTTCTTTGCCTTCAAGAACACCGCCACTACTAGCCCACAATCGAGAAACACAAGTGCTCGTCATGCTCATACTCAAGGGAAAAGCTACGGAAGTGGTACGGGATTATCAAAAAGCTATCGAAACAAAGCCTGGCAAGTTTCAAATAAAGATAACTGATGCGTCTGAGACCAGCGCATCAGCCGGCGTGTTTGTCCGAATGACATGGGAAGCATTTGCCCGCTTGCTGTCAACTGTCAACATGGAGCCACTGCTTCCTATTGTTGGGCCCTCGCTTATTAGCACCCAACTTCGTGAGGTTCCCATTATTCCCGCAAGAGAGAACCTGCCATTTAGGGAGAGTGCTCAGCGCAAAGAATGATCCCTGTTACCATAGTAGTAGTTAGTCAGCGGCACGTGCCCGCTGCCTCCTTAGGCAGCGCGGACCCGCTACCAATACAAACCATCTTGCCTTCGACAGTCTAAAAGAATCCCTTATTATAGCTTGGTATCTCTCGGAAAATGTACTTCAAAAGGGGAGGTAGTGGGAGATTGTCAAATCTCTATCGAGGAATTGCCCCGACGATGTTAGGCATACTTCTATATGCTAGCACGTCACTCCTTACCTAACTATAATATATTTGGAGACTGGCTTCGTACGCCTATCCTTATACCTTATACTCTAGAAGCGCAATCTTCCACTCGACTGACCGTAGTTGCGCAGCTTTCCTGTGGAGCAGTCGCTGGCATAGTCGCTTAAATAATTTCTTACCTGATTGATATTATTCGGCGACGGATATAAGTTGGAAGTGTGGTTGATATCAAACTAGGCATTTTGAAGACAGCCCAACGTATCTTTGTGGAGAGAGGAATGAGGGGTTTTATGTTGGGCTGCCTATTGGCTATGTGAAAATGGCTCCCATAGTGGCGACAAGTTTCTATGTCTATGATAGGATGAAGCGAATTTGGGGCTTTATTGAGTCGCTGCTTTGTTTCTCTTTCTCGTGCTCCATTGGATATTGACCTCATCGACCTTGGGGCGGTTACCTAGATAGGAACTAACTCAATTTGGAAAGGTCCACGGCCCCGCCCGATTGATGTGGCTGACTAATAACCTGGGGCGGTAAATTACTCCACCGGAGTTTTGCCAAGTTTTGCCGTTCTGCCGTTCGCTGAGTTCGGTCAAGGTAAACATTTGTTCCGTGCCGTGTCAGTGGCAGAACGCCTCTTGAGCTTGACTGGACCCACGACCCTTTAAGTTACATTGACATCCCTTGAAATCACCCCAGAATAGGGGCTTAGATCTTCCCCCTCATTATCCACCGTCCGCTTTGTTTAACTGTCCAATGGTTGACCTGTATGTCAATCACACCACCTGCATTCGGATAAATCCTGATCTCACCTGGTCTCACCAGGACCTTTACCCCGGTTTCCGTCCTTTACCCCCGCCCCCTAGCGTCCAAGCCATGCGGAGGTAGTTTAGCGCAAATTAGGGAATGTTTATTGCGATCCGAACGGACCTTCTTATAAAATGACTGTACCCCTCCGTGGGCTCTATTCATTAGTTTGCCCTGCCCGGTTCACGCTTCGTTTTCTTCTCCTCTTTTGTATCTTGTTTCTCTCGGTTACAACTCTCCTGGGACTCAAAATGCATCTCAAATCTTATGTCACAGCCGCCCTTTATGGGCTGCCTGCCTTGGCCAATGCTGTACCATCACCATCTCACTCTCAGACTGCGGCTTCCTCGCCGTCTGCTACTGGCTCAAATGCCGATCACTTCAAAAGCTACACGATCAAGGCGGAAAACATCACTGCCAAATTGATTCCGCACGGCGCACGTCTCACCTCCTTGCTAGTTCCAGATCGCGACGGCAACGTCCAAGATGTCGTCGTTGGCTACGATGACCCCAAGGAATACCTGCATGATAGTGAAACCAATCGCACGTTCTTTGGCGCGGTTGTCGGTCGCTATGCCAACCGTATCAAAAATGGTACCTTCACCATTGATGATAATGCCTACAATGTGCCTGAGAATGAAAACGATGGCGCGGACACCCTCCACGGTGGCGTCGTCGGATATGATATGCGTAACTGGACAGTCACCTCGCACAGCGAGTCCTCAATCACCTTCACCTTGCTCGATCAAGGCTTTGAGAAGTTCCCAGGAGACGTCATTACACATGCTACTTTTAGCGTATCTACCGAGAAGACTCAATCCAATCCCAAGGGACTTCCCCAATTGACCTCAAAACTGGTGGCTCTCTCGCTAACAGAGAAGACCCCCATCATGCTGTCCAATCACATCTACTGGAACCTGAACGCGTTTAAAGAATCCAATGTGTTGAAAGACACCACCCTGCAACTTCCCCTATCACAACGGTTCGTCGGTGGAGATAGCATATTAATCCCGAACGGCACCATCCACGGCGTTGAAAACACCTACCAAGGAGCTCTAGACTTCACCAGCCCCAAACTCATCGGCAAGGACATCGAGAAGACCTACGACCTCTGTGGCGCCGGCTGCACAGGCTATGATACATGCTTCCTCGTCGACCGACCCTCAACATACGCGTCGAATTCGTTGGCCACAGTCCTGAGCGCCTCGTCCAGCTCTACCGGTATTAGCCTCGACGTCGCTACCAACCAGGCCGCCCTGCAGATTTACACCTGTAGCGGACAGAACGGCTCAATCGCCACCAAGAAGTCGCAGGCGAAGCGCAACAAGGATGAGGGTGGTGATGCCGGTGCCACCCACATTAACAAATACGGATGCTTTGTTATCGAGACCGAGGACTGGATCGATGGTATCAATAACCCTGAGTGGGGTCGTGTCCCCTACCAGGTCTTCGGTCCTGATGATGGGCCCGCCGTTAACTGGGCTACATACCAGTTTGGCACTATCTAGATTGGCACTATCTAGATTTTATAATTCTACAGTACAGTGTACTATCTACTTGCATGAATTGATAATCATCACTGCGTGGGCCTTTTCCGCGCAGCCTTTATTTTGGAATTCATTGCCTCACTCTGTACGAATGAGAGCCATCTGTGGCCAATTCAATCATAGACCACGATACTGGAAAAAGACATAATAGAACATCTATACATGTAAGTTGTTCAATAGTCTACAACACGACCTATGCAGCCGAGAATAGACATCTACAACTTCGACATCCATCTGAAGCCAATAAATGGTGTCCTAGTTCTTCAGTGGCGATGTTGGATTGTTGATGCTCGCGGGCTAGTGTGGTTGGTCCATCTGGCTGGCTTGGGCGAAGGGTATCCGTGAAATCAGGCATTTTGAATCCTATGAATCTTGAGACTCTTTATTCAATCACAGTTCCATAACTCTCGACTTTATTCATACATCAAATACCCCTATCGAATTGCCTTGGCTAAATCATTAGTATCTTCAAAATCACCCACTCCCGAATGCCGACGCTTCTACCCCGCAAATTTTTAAATTACGGAGAATTAGCAAGTAGCCGAATAGACAGAAAATAGTGATGAATTATTGGCTGAAGAGTTCAGCGGGGGAATAATGTGTTACCGCAACGTGTAGAGTGGAATGCAATGGGATAAGATGGCCAACCACCCTAACTCAGCAGTACACAAGCTCTAACAAAATGGGAGACCGCACTTCATTCATACCTCCACATGTGGGAGACAACGTGTTGCCAAACGTGCCCTTTTTCCACAGACTACTGCGTTATGCGCAATGTAAGCCTTCGCCCATTGTGGTTCGCGACGTGGTTGCCGGCGTGGAAAAGACATACCATCATCTTGTTTCGGATGTGTTGGCTTTTCGCAAGGTTTTAGAAATCTCACTCAGTCATGAAGCTCGACGCGATTTGGTTGCGGACAAGGAGATATATATTGGGTTACTTGCACCGGGAGGGTATGAATTTACCGTCGGCTTCATCGCAATCCTCGCAATCGGTGCAGCAGTCGTGCCTATGGGTAATCTCCAATATTTATAAGGGAAGAAGCATAGCTAATAAATGGCAGCAGCAGCAGCAGCCACATTGCCAGCAGAAGAAGCCTCGTACTTCTTATTGAAAGCGCGATGTGTAGCTCTAGTAGCCAGCAAAGCCAGCGAAAATACCGCCCAGTCTGTGGTTCGCTATATGAGAGAAAGCAAAGGCGTACACGTCCCCTGCATATCCCCAATAGCGTCTCATTTCCATCCCACGCTTCTCCCGTCAGATGATGTGACCATCTCCTCCGGCCCAGTTCCAGACATGAATGCGGCAGCACTGGTAATCTTTACATCCGGTACGACAGGGCCCCCGAAGGGAGCTGTACAGCGTCGTAGTTATATCTTTGGGAATGGGGAGGCCGACGCGGACTACTACCAAATCACAGACAAGGACACAGTTCTCCATGTCCTTCCAGTGCATCATGCTTCCGGCGTGGGTCTGACTTTTCTTCCGTTCCTCGCGGCCGGTGCATGTATTGAGTTCCGCAGTGGAAGCTTCGACACAGCGTGGACGTGGGACCGCTGGCGACAGGGAGGTCTTACCTTTTTCTCCGGAGTTCCCACCATATACATGCGTATGATGCGGTACTATGAAGAGAATATTGCACACCAACCTCCTGAGATACGTGACCAGTATATCGCTGGTGCGCGTCAGATTAGAGCGATGCTCTGTGGTACTTCGGCACTTCCAGGGCCTGTACAAGAGTTCTGGCATCAAATTAGGGACAAGCCGATTCTCACTCGATATGGTGCGACAGAGTTTGGTGCAGTCATTAAGACTGAACTGGACTCCGATGGAACACCGCAAAACAGTGTTGGTCGTGTTGCTGAGGCGGTCTCACTCAAGCTTACCGATGAAGGCCAGATATTAGTGAAGTGCCCTTACATGTTTTCCAAGTATGTCAAATTTCCTTTCAAAGCTGAGTGTGTTCCATCCTAACATATCTCCTCAACAGGTATCTCTTTGATGAGAAAGCCACTGCGGATGCACACGACGCCGAGGGGTACTTCAAAACTGGAGATATTGCTCGCCGCGAGGGAAGATATTATTTCATCCTAGGCCGTGCCTCGATCGATATCATCAAGTCGGGTGGCTACAAAATCTCTGCGTTGGATATCGAACGCGAAATCCTGGGTCTGGATTATGTTTCCGAGATCATGGTTGTGGGCGTTGAAGATGAGGAGTTTGGTCAACGAGTTGCTGCTACTATCAGCCTGAAACAAGATCAAAACACAACCCGTAAGAGCCTCACAATTGCTGAGCTACGGGACGATCTACGGAGTAGGATGGCTGGGTATAAGATGCCGACTATTCTTCGTGTGGTCCAAGGTGAGTTGCCTAAGTCGGGGACGGGGAAGGTACAGAAGAAGATATTGGGGCCACAATTCTTTCCGCCTAACTATCGAGAGCTGCCTGAGGTACAAGTCTGGAGCAGGGAGAATAAGGCCAAACTATAGCATCAAATATAAAATAAAGCCTGATCAAATGCTGAATGTTTTTACCCGTATATCCATGGATGTACTTGATCTCATTATCCATATCAAATCTTGGCCTTAGCAGGCGCCGAAGTCACCCGACTATGAACATAACTAATACGCTGAAACTTCTTAATAGCATCCCCCCAAAGTTCCTGACGAAGCAAAGCATATACCCTACACAGCATTAGCAAATATTATTCCTATAAAAAGCTTCTTGTGCAGATCGAAACTTACCCCATCTTCGCTTTAGGCGCCCACTTCGCCCCCAATTCCAAAGCAACATTCAACATCTCCTCGGGCTCCGCAACAGCATCCACAATCCCATCCTCCAGTGCTTCAGGCCCAGTCCACTTATGCGCCTCAAGCAACATCTTACGTGCAATCTGCGGACGTAGCTTGAGACGAGGCAGCGAGCCGATCCCGTCGAAGTGCAGACCCAGGTTCACAGGCGGCATGGAGATGAAACCGCGGCGGGAGTTCATAATTCGGTAGTCGTGTGCCAGGGCGAGTGGACACGCCCCACCGAAGGTATGTCCAGTCAAGAGGGCGATTGTTGGGAATGGGAAGTCGAGGATCGTATGGATGAGCTGGATCTCGGTCGTTAGTGTAGTCTCATACAAGACATGCGTATGTCTCTGTTCTCACTGGATAGAATCCGTCTGTATTGGCAAACGGATTGTGGTCTGATTCATCTAACTCGAGTCCCTACGAGTATTTTGTTAGTTTCTCCAATGTTGTTCTGTTTCGAGGACCTCAATGTACAGTGCACCAGAATTTGGCATCATTGCCCCGCGTAATTACTGCTCCTTCTGAGTCGGAGCCCAGGATTCTTTCTATGGAGCGATAGGCCCGGATCATCTCTTGACAATACAATGAGTTCAACCGGTTCTCCGGGGGGGTTCTGCATGGTCAGAACGAATACATTCCCATGCCTCTCGAGGGAGAGATTGTGGAATGTTGGAATTTCTTTCATGATGTCAATTTTACTATTGAGTAAATATTGATATCGTATTTTCGGACTGCTTCGTTAAACCGTTTGTTATCTTGCCCGCATTTCCCCATCCTCACGTTTACGTTGCCGAAATTCACCGAGTGCCGAGATCAAAAGAGATTTGAGAATCTTCGCACAAATTCGTCCAGTATCGTATTCTCTATAAATGTTCTGGGTATATAGGTACATAGTAAAGAATTCCTACCAGGCAATCTCACCATTCCAATCTAGTTATCTCCTCCTGCCTTCTCCCGGTGAGGGGATACGTTATTGCACGAAATGACACGTAATAAAACCTCGTTTTAACGAATTTAGTATGGATACCAATATCGACACCGAGATGGATAGCTGCTTGAACAGCAGTGTTTTCAGTAGACGCTCTCTTGTTTAACCATGCTTGTGAATATTTATCCGAAGTAAAAAGACAAAGAAATCAAAAAGACAAAAAGATGAGGGCCCGAAGCGCGATTCGAACACGCGGCCTCTCCGAATTTGAGAAGAAACCCAAACGGAGAATCATACCTATGAGGAGTTAGCGGGGAAATTGCTATTGTTGTGGGTTGAATGAAACGTACCACTAGACCATCCGGGCGGAAGATGAGATAATCAGCAGGATTATGACTCGTGACTTGGAACTATTTCAAACCCATTGAGTTATTCTATCACACTACCTAGGTAGGTAGTGTGATAGGTAGTGTGATAACAATTGATTAAAGCAGTTTAACTAATCAAAAATAGTTACCTAGGTATGCCCCTATATTAATCACTATATCAAGCGGCCAATCTATTGTTTTTCTCTAAATACAAATGTTGCTACTGTATCGGTGTATATAACTAGGGGATTGATATTGGCACCCCCCCCCGGATGCTCGCACCCCCCTGCCTGAAAATTCAGTACCGCCTTCCTAATTGGGTACCGCTTCTACCTCACACCTAGATCCGCCTAACGGTCTCCACACCGCCTTCCAATTTTATACACCGCTTTCGTGTCAAACTCCCCATACAATTGTACCAAGACAGCAGGTACCTGCATTTTGTATGTAAATCCCTAACAAAATTAAGTCACTTTTGTCATATAGCACTCTATACATAGGATCAAACAAATTGATACTCTAATTCTGGTTTACATACATTAACCTACCTTCTTCTACCCCATTTTCGACCTTTATTTTTATCCCAAAACCTATCATTTTCATCCATTTTCATCATCAATATGGCCTCCATAGGCCTCGAATACCTCCTTTCTGACTCGGATTCCGAGCTAGAGATCGTCCCCGAGTCTCTACCCGCAGTGCCAAGCACCAATCCCGAGCCAATCACCCAGTCTTCCTCCGATCCCCTTACCCAGGAACAGGATCGATCTACCCAGTAAGATCCCTCGGGATTTGAACATATACTCGCGTAGGAACGTGGACAGGGACGTGGACGTGGAGGAAAACGCGCGCGGGGAGGTGCCTAAGAAGCAGGATAATCAATTTGTAGAGTAGATCAATACAGAAATGAATGAATTGTACGATTTTTTCTGATTAAAATGATGCATTTTTTGCTATATAAACCAGAATTATATGGTGGTGGCAGAATATATGGCAGAAAACTCTGCACCTGGCAGAAGGTTTGGCAGAATTCAGTGTCGCACCCGATCAGGAAGGCGGTACTGAATTTTCAGGCAGGGGGTGCGAGCATCCGGGGGGGGTGCCAATATCAATCCCCTATAACTATTTCCTATACAGCATTTCTAAACATAACATTGCCCAGGTGGGTTATCTTATTGATATTACCTAATAAAACATGATATAACTAGAGCTCAGCAAATTTAAAAAAATGTGCATATATTATAAAAGAATATGGTTCAAGTATATAAAGAAGAAATATATACGTACGGAGTTGTCACTCATACTCATTAGATCCTATATAGATAGATCAATCCAGGCATACCTACTCCACAGGTAGTCATTACCAAGATATGTAGACAAAGTAGGGTTCGTGGTATATAGAAAATAGGAATTTATAATAATTTATCGAAGTTCATGGATCCGTATAAAAATCTTCACCAAAAAAAGAAATAGTGGGGCGCCAAGTTTTTTATATTATATAAACTACACATATCCACAGGTTGGGCTCGTCTATTATTTTTGTTATGGGAGTCGAATAGTACCGAAATATGAATTTCTAGCTGAGCCGAATGGCTATACTCCTATGATTGATACCTACAACAATGCTATATTGTTTGATGGTCTATAGGTTATGTCCTAAGGGTTTGATCCTATCTAACTATATATCTTCAAACAGCCCCACAATATATCTTCCGCCCGGATGGTCTAGTGGTACGTTTCCTTCCACTCACAACAATAGCAATTTCCCCGCTAACTCCTCATAGGTATGATTCTCCGTTTGGGTTTCTTCTCAAATCTCGGAGAGGCCGCGTGTTCGAATCGCGCTTCGGGCCCTCATCTTTTTGTCTTTTTGATTTCTTTGTCTTTTTACTTCGGAATACAATAAGCTCTAGTTAACTAGTTATCTTTTCCCCCCTAACCATACGTTACAGTCCTACCTCACGGAAGGGAACATAATGTCCGACCGCCATCTATAGAATTTGCCCCAAGAGGTCTGTACTTTATCACCATCGAAGACAGACATTTCATACAGTTATGAGCTGAATGTCAGACCATAATGTTTCTTATGATAGCACTTATTATCAATGTTACGATGCCCACGCTTAACGAAAGCCAGGATATAATCGAACCTCCGGCTATCCTATTTCGGATGCCCCGTGATAGAGAAATATTATACTTAAAAATACAAGATATAGGGGAAACGCTTGGAAATCCAATGGGGTATCTATTGTTTTTGAAAATGTACATAGTTTTCATGCCCAGCCTGCAAGCGTCCAACTTGACCGATCACCGCCAGACCTCAAGCCCGATCGACGATCAGGAACAGGATGGTCGATGTCTCGTGTAGCTCCAGCGAGTCCATGTTGTAAGAACTTCTCTCGTTCAATCTCTACCATGCCCCGGATCTTCAGACTAGTTGTCAGGCTTGCACCCGCCCATGGACCAAGAGATTCAACTTCGCGCAAGACTCCTTGAATAGGAACTGGGATATCTTTGTTTTGTCGGCGGAGCTTTTGCTCCACGAAATCGATCTCAGGCACTTCCTTCGAGGGATCGGCTGGTTCGTTATCGGCGGATGGTGCTTCCCCATTTCTCTTAGGGGTTTCAGGTGGGCTGGAAGCGTTTTGGGCTGAAAGTCTCAGCCCCTCCAATCTCTGCCGCTGTCGCTCGAGTGCTTTGCCCCGAATTGGACTCCATCCGTGACGATCAATCAAGAGTGATACTTCTTTAAGGACTCGCTGCCGGAGTCCAGGAATTCGAGAACCGCCGCCCACAAAGACAATGCGGGACATACATGTTCCTCGTGCATCAGGGTACAATGAGAGAAGGGTGTTGTAGACAAGCAAAGGCAGGGGTTTTTCTTCGTCATCCAATTCATGTTCTTCGACACCTGGTGCGAATAAAACCTTCTCAGCAGGCTCGGCGAGACGTGAAAACGGCACGTCCATATATTCTTCCTCGGGGTTTGCGGGCGAAGGAATCGACAATTTCCGGTCCGGTTCATCTGAGCTTGTGCCTTCATCTGCCTGCGATTTGCACCAGGCAAAACGACTGACAACTTCTTCACAGTACGTGAATCCAACGGAGATCTTATCTGCAGTCTCCATATCTTGATCTCCGTCGGAAGCCAACCCAGTAAGAAGTAGCCCCATTTCCTGCATCAAAGACTTCATAGACCGTGTTGTTATTTTCGTAGTCATCTCTCGGTATTCGTAGATCGCCGTTGCCGTGGTCTCGGCCCAGCCAATGTCAACCACCAAAGCTGACCGCAATCCCGCAGCCGTGGCCGACATTGTCGCACTGGACAGAAGGGTAACACTCGGGAAGCGCCAGCGACTGAATAGTGTCGATAACAATGACGACAGCAATGGATGCGGCATGAGAGACGGCAGGACAAGAACAAGACGAGATGTGCCTGCATCCGTCAACAGGAACTGGTTGTATGTTTCCCGAAATGCGCGCTCGATCTTATCCTCGACCAGGCCCAAATCAACTTCTCGGGAGTCTGGCCGCCACAATTCATATGCCCGTGTCCACTCCTCCATGTCGATGAGTTGCGGTAGCCGTCCAGCACCGATGCTGCCCTGAATCCATCCTCGATAGTCCCCCACTCTCCTCGAGTCTTCGGGTCCAAAGCCAACCACACATACAGGCGCGCTGCTTCCTTCAAATCCTGCGCGGAGCCATCGTGCGCCTATCTCAAATATGATCGCATCGTCTTCGCTTCGAAAGGAGGAACTCGGTGATGTGCTGCTAGCAAATGAGGCGTTTCCCGAACGTTCCTGTGGCGTATGAGGGGAAACAGGTTGTGCTGTCTGGCTATTGCGCAGACCAGAAGTTGCTGATGCGCGTTTACTGGCACCCATTGAGGGTGCATCACTCGACATGCTTGGTTGGGCTTGCTCTCCTTTCTGGGAGCAAGAGGAGTCCGGGGATTCGTAGTGACAAGTATTCAATTCACCAGCACAGGGTTTGGAGTTTCAACGCCATCAGATTGAATTCAAAGACAAAAAAAATGAAAGGTAAGATCTATAAGCTTGCGCAGGTGGTTCAGTGGGGGAAGCTTGTTGGTAGGCAACGGATCTACATCGGGCCGTCTTTATTTACTTGACAACTTCCTCTCTCCGCAATAGCCAAGACGTGTTGTGTTGTACATCTTTAACTCCACATGCGCGTCTTTTCTGCATTTTTATTTTTCTATTGCCCATAATCGGCATGGGTATTCCTGGGTAAGTGAACAGAGATCGGTTTTCTTTTATTTTTTGCATGGTAGAAAACAGATCTTCCTGAGTATGAGTGAAAGCATTGTGTATCCACCGCATGAGAAGCCGGACTTTGTATCTCCAAATTTCTCGGTCAGAAGGCTAACCTTCTTAAGGCTAATCAATGCCATTGGCCCAGGAGAGCGTATCTCTCTGGCTAAGTTGGCAGTGACGCACCTGGAACGGACAGCAAGGCCAATCCGCATTGCAGTCGACATTTCGATCTGGCTCTTTCAAGTCCAAGCAGGTCGGGGAGGAAGAAACCCAGAGCTACGAACACTATTTTATCGATTAGTGAATTTACTGGCATTGCCAGTTCACCCCCTTTTTGTCTATGATGGACGGCAAAAACCTGCTTTCAAGAGAGGCAAAGCAGTCTCAAACCGCAGTTATGGCAATGCGCCGATTATCAAGCGCTCCAAGGACCTTATCGAGCGATTCAGTTTCCCGTGGCATGAGGCACCCGGTGAGGCAGAGGCTGAATGTGCACGGCTGCAGCAGGCGGGTATTGTAGACGCTGTCATGAGCAACGATGTCGATGCATTGATGTTCGGATCGTCTTTTACCATTATGAATTTTTCCAAAGAGAACGGGAGTGGCAGCTCTTCTGCAACTCATGTCACATGCTATGCAATGGGACAGGATGGGCATCAATCAAACATACCCCTTGACCGGCCGGGAATGATTCTATTCGCTATGCTCAGTGGAGGGGACTATCTACCATCTGGTGTTCCGAAATGCGGCAGTAAGCTTGCTGCAGAGATTGCCAAGGCTGGATTCGGCGAGGATCTTCTGCAGGAGCTTGCGTCACAGGCAGACGTGGATACGGGATTGAGCGAATGGAGAGAAAGGCTCCAGTACGAACTTGAGGAGAATGAGAGTGGATATTTTACGAGGAAACACCCAGCAGTCCGCATTCCAGATGTTTTCCCGGACCGACAAATTCTCGAGTACTATGCCCAGCCCAAAGTTTCCAGCGATGAGGAAATGACATTTTTGAGAAATCGACTGACACAGGCTTGGGATAAAAATATCGACCCCCTGGCAATCCGAACATTTGCTGCAGACCACTTTGAATGGAATTATTATTCGGGGGCAAGGAAATTGGTCAAGCTGCTGGCCGAGCCTCTTATCTCGTACAGACTCCGTCTCCAGAGACCAGTTCTAGGCGTGTCGCCTGGTTTTTCATATGTGCCCGATTTCCCAGCTGGTCTGCAAAAGGTGTATCGAAGCCGGTCAAGCTTTGGCACTGATGCAGTGCCAGAACTCCAGCTAGATATGCTACCCGCAGATGTTGTTGGGCTTGATCTGCTCGCCGAAGAACCAAACCCGTCGTTCCCATCCGAAAGTAGTGTTCAAGAAGGGGAGGAAGAGGACGACGCAGAGGTAGCTGCTCAATCGGCGCCTCCCTCACCGTCGAAGTCTCGGGTGACAAAACAATTCGATCCGTTCTCCCTCCAAAAGGTCTGGGTATTCGAGACTGTCGCAAAAATAGGTATTCCTGAGGTTGTCAAAAATTGGGAGAAGGAACAGGCTGAAAAAGCCGCGAAAGCCGAAGAAGCTGCGGCGAAGAAGAAGACCAGCACTCGACGCACTGGTCCCAAGAAAAAG